GTTCACTCAGGGTTCCTTTGTCAAAGACTACTGGCGCCTAAATGGTATTTTCTGAAAATAATTGAGAAGCTAGAGGAGACCTTTTATTTGTTTTGTGCCGAGATTTCTATCCCCATGGTGATTCTAGATGCTAATTGTGTTTTAATTTTCAGTTTCACATCACAACTTCATGGTATGGAATGTTCTTCCCCTTCTGTTTTCAGATGTACAGCTTTCTAGCCTAGAACCGTAACTGTCCCTCTAGATCCCTTGGTTTTGTGTTTGTAAATATTCTTGGATTGAAAACATTCAGAAAAATAATGCATCTATACTAAACCCATGCAGAATTTTTTTCTCATTTCCTAAGTAATGTGGCATGATTTCACTGACATTGTATTAGGGGCTATGTAATCTGGAGATGATTTAAAGTGCTTGGGAGGAAGTGCATAGGTTGTGCGCAAATCTGTGACTTTTGTATCTCTTGGGATTCTGGAAATAATCCTGTGAGGAATGCATGTAAGTTGCTTCCAAATGTCGGGACTGATATTGTTTGGATGTTTACCTTGATATTGATTTATATATAGTGCATGCATCCTCATCTTTCAGTGTTAATATCATTGTAGCTGATACAGAAACAGAAAAGAATGCCACAACCCTGTTTAAAAACAAAACAAAACAAAATATTTTAGTTCATTGTCAAGAAGGGCTTCACTGCTTTGGAGTGAGTAGAGATCTCCTGGTTTTGATTTATTCTGTATTATAAGCCAGATAAAACTACAGAAATTTAATGTGAATCAGCTTGCCATAAAGTAGACTATTATCTAAATGTGACTTTTAAAGCATAAAATCTTTGAAGAAATTAAAATGGAGCAGTCACTTACGCCATAGTCCTCCCTTGTCTATATCTGAAATGGATCAGACAACTTGTACTAATAATAGGAAAAAACCCTACATACAGGTCATGTATATATATTGATGGGTTGCTATTTCTATCACCATTGACTGTTTTATGCATTCATTCTTAAAAGATTTATCGTGTACTCAGAACAGAAATGCAAATAAAAAGATCTCTTATCCTCCTGGTAATTCACAGTCTTGTAGGCGAAAGCAGGGCATCTGTTGGCAGGAGGGTTTTAGATAATGGAGTCAGAGATTGCCTTGCTATTCAAACAGATTTATTTTAAGATTTTATTTATTTTTACTTGGAAAGCAGATTTATAGGAGACAGAACAAGATCTTCTATTCACTGGTTCACAGTGATTCCAGTGGCTAGAGCTGAGCCAATACAAGCAAGGAACCAGGAACTTCTTCCAGATCTCCCATGTGGGTGATGGAACCCAGAGGCGTGAGTTATCCTGTGCTGCTTTCCCAGATCATAAGCACAAAGCTGGATCAAAAGTGGAGCAGCAAGGACTATAACTGGTGCCCAAACTGGATATCATCGCTGCAAGCAGAGGATAAACCTGTTGAGATGCTGTGCTGATCCTAAAAGGGTTGGCTTTAAGATCACATAATATAGGATCAGATCTCAATTTTGCAAGTTCTTATGACGAGAGTGGTCCAGGATTAGAGGAATTGGCTCATAGCAGCCAACACCTTAGAAGACATCAGATTACCATGTTATTAATGTGCGTTGAGGAATAGAATGAACAATCAGATGACAATATCTTCATTAGCTTTGCTTTTTTCCCCAGTAGCAAAATCTAAATGAAAGCGTCTTATAAATAACAAGTGACCCAATGAGATTAGACTCTGAGCAAGGGCTACACATGGGAAGACTTTGGCAACTGGTAGCACCAAATAGTGATTGCTACCTTACCTTATTGGTTTCAAGTCCAGTAGTCCACTGGGAGCCCCAGCCTTTCCATTTAAATATTATTAGAGACGGTGACAAAATTGCTGAAGCCACTACCACTGATAGACTGTAGGTTGGTGGAATTTTAGTATTTTATCCAGAGGCATTAAAATATTAGGCAGGTGTTCCAATGACTTATGATATATGGTTAGTTCTAGGTCAAAGGATCTCATTTACTATGTATTGCTTTTATTTTTCTAACCACCAAGGAGAAAGCTTCTCTCCTGGTTTTCTTCCCTTTGTACTGAATACAACTGCTACTCATCCATTACACCTTAGCTTAGTGTCTTCCTTTATTGCACTTTTTCCTGTCCACTTCTCTCTGCTGATTTTAGAGGCCCCGTCTCCCCCCACCACACACACACACACACATCCTGGACTTTTCTCTCTTACCACCCTATGCTTCTGAGTTCTTTTCCCTATACACTTTGTAGTACATCCTACATCCTAGTAATTCCCTCTTTGTCCTCTTCTATAAGACTATGAGTTTTGTATGAACAGCAACTACATTTTATTAAAACTTGTGTCTCCAGCCACTAGTTTTATATGCACAAATACATGAGGGCACTGTCTTGTCTTATGGCAATCCTGGAGGTTTTCTAAACCAGAGCCATTATGTGAGTCAAGACATACATATATATGAAAGTAGAAGGCTAAGGTACATGCTAAATAAACATATCAAGTTTAGCTGATTTAGATGAGATCTGTGAGGGGTTGCATGGACTCTGTTCAGAAAATGACGATTTGTGTCAGAAAATGATCACTTATTGTTAATGTGTAAAGCTGAGTTTAAATGAGAACCACTAGGGCCAGTGCCCTGGGTAGTAGCTTGAGCCTCTGTCTGTGGCACTGGCCTCCCATGTGAGCACCAGTTCATGTCCTGGCTGCTCCATTTTTGATCCAGCTCCCTGGTTGTAGCCTGGGAAAGCAGCAGAGAGTGGTTCAAATTATTGGGCCCCTATACTCATTTGGGATTCCCAGAGGAAGCTTCTGACTCCTGACTTCAGATTGGCTCATCTCCAGCCATTGAGACCATTTGGGGAATAAACCAGCGGATGGAAGATCCTTCTCTCTTCTTTCCTTTTTTCTAAAAGTCTACCTTTCAAATAAAAATTAATAAAATGAGAACCACTGTGGCCAGCATTATAACATGCCTCCTGTGATTCTTGCATCCCATATGGGCTCAGATTTATGTCCTAGCTGCTTCACTTTTGATTCAGATTCTTGCTGATGGATCGAGGGAGGCAATGGAAGATGTCCCCAAGTAGTTGTATTCCTGCCAGCAACATAGGAGAGTCAGATGAGGCCCTGACACTGGCCTGATTCAGGCCTGGCATAACCCTGGCCCCTGTGGCCATCTGTGTGAACCTGTAGGTGAAGGGTCTCTCCCTCTCTGTGTATCTGTAACGCTTTCAAATAAATAAACAAACAAACAAATCTTTATGCTGTCCAATTTGTTAAAACTTGAATCTGTAACGATTTAAAGTTACTTCGTTTTTCAAGTGGAAACATAATGGTGTTTTGGCACATGAGGATTAAAAAGTTCTATTTCCTATTGTTTTTTTTTTTTTTTACCAGAAGAGTGTATGGAAAAGTTGGTAATTACACTGGAAAAATTTGGTAGTAAACTTTTCTTCATGCTACAATCAGAAATGGACTAGAAATGCACCTGATAATCCTTTTCTTAATCTAAGCCATTTAATGGATTTTTAAGTATAGTTAATTTCGAAAATCTTGACTCAAATCAAGAGAAGGACACAATGGGGATTTGGCAGATATCCTTTTTTTTAGCTGCATAGAATTCATAAATAATTTTCCTTTACTGATATCACCCTTAATTTATAACTCACCCCACCCCACTCCCTGCCCCCCAGTTTGGGAGGTAGAGAAAGAAAGAGCCAAATAAACGCTAGCAGTAACTATGAGTGGGCCAGGTCTCCCCCCCACCACCGGGTGACAGAAGCCGGTTCATTTGAGCCATCATAATGCAGATTCCTAGGGTCTGCATTAACAAGAAGCTGGCAGACAGAGTTAGGAATCAAACCAGTTCATCTGATGCTGGATACAGGTATCTTAACTGTTAGGCTAAATACATTCCACTGGTTTAAGACAATCTTGAAAACTATACATTAGGCATGCTGCTTTATATATATACATATAAAGCCTGTCTTCCACACTTATGGCTGCTTATCTTTGAGGCATTTAATGAGAACAGATGTGTAATAAAGGTCACCATTTGTTTGTAATATTCATAAAGAAATCAAGACCTAGGATCATAAAAGCCCTCCCTCCCATAGGCTAAGCAATGAATAATTCTCCTACAATGGACTGCTGTAGTAATGAGTGAAGAGAAGCAGCCGGGACAGATGCCCCGGATCGTAGCTTAGTAATGATCCCTGAAGGGGCAAAAGGATCAGTTGTTAGGAAGATGCTTCATCTTGTTCCTGTGATCTGTAAATAGTACACAAAGATTATAGTCAATGCAAAAAGAAAAAAAAAGGAAAACATTTGTTTCTGAAACTTGAATCCCAATTACTGTAGTAGATGTCTTGCTACCTTAAAGTCATTTTATTATTTAAAAATTGCATTTAAACCTCATGAAGCAGGAACAGTTCAGATGCTCAGCAGAGAGTAGGTGGAATTCGCAGTGTGCATATTCCTGATTGAAAACCTTCTGTGTGTTCACCTGTGCTCTTAGGCAATAAGGGTGTGGAGGAACAAGAACCAGATGTGAATAACAATTAGAAGGGTGGTGGTGATAGTTTCACAACCAGTGAATGTACCTAATGCCTCTCAGTTGTGTATTTAACATGCTTGAGGTGGTAAATCCATGCTTTGAGTATTTTTATTTTATGTATGTTGGTGGAAGTTAATTAAAGCAGTGGGATGTTATGAACTATGCAGGGGGCACGGGTTCTGCCCTACCTTGGGGGAAAAGATCCTGGAGGATAGTTGAGCCCTTGATCCTGAAAGAAAAGGAACTGTTCTCCGGCCTGGCTTGGGAACCCAGTGGAATCCACGATGTGGGATCTGATGAGCTGGCTGCAGCTACCCGCCGCAACCAGGGGCGGGATGCTGGTCCTGCTGCAAGGCGCTGTCCTGCTCTGTGAGGCTGGGGCCTTCCAGCTGCACTTCACCCTGGCCTCTGCTGTGCTTTTCTTCGCAGACAGCCATCCTGAGACGACAGGGGCGATACCTGCACTCAACAGTTCCCCGGAATGCAGAAGAGGAAGCCCAGAGCTTGTTCGTCACAGAGGTCAGGCTGCTTTCCTGCACTCATTTCTGTTTGCCCGTTTTTAACATTTCAGAATCCTCAAGGATATATCAGCGAAGCCATTGCTCTTTTTGTACAGGAGAGTAACGTTGTATTTCAAACCAGAAACTTACAAAAAGTCCACTGGGATAATTTCTAATGTTCTTTTTAAAAAAAGTGAATTTGACAGAATTTATTTCCTATCATACTTAGAATAAAGAGTAACTTGTAAATGAATTCACTGGAAATCTCTCTCGGCCACCTTGATAGTGATTTTTTTCAGTCTTTATTTTAAATAGTGGCTTATCACACACTTAGGTGTTCTATTTGTAGGGTATTTTCAAAGAGTAGTTTTAATATTCAGGAAGGGCCTGGTGAGAAGTGAACAGAGCCTAGCTGTCCAGGTTTGCTGAGTGACTATATGACTCTTGTCTGAACGCACAGATAACATTCTATAGCTGTGGAGGGAAGGGAAATGTGACCAGAAAAGCCCAGTGGGTTCTTTCCTCAGCTTATTATAGAAATAAAAAGCCAGGACTCTGTTGCAGACAGAAAAGTTTATTTGCAAAGGGTCCAGGTGAACAGGGAAGGGAGAGGGAAGGGGAAGCACCTCCCGAGAGAAAGCCAGGAGGTGGGGTGCCTCTCGAGATGGGAGAAGAAACCATTTGAGGAAGTCTTGGGATTTTGAGCATTCCCTGGCCCCTCCTTGTTGGGTAGGAACCTACAGGTAAGATGTTCCCCATTGGTGGTTTCTTAATCAGTGAGGAAATGGGTGGGCAATGCTGGTGCCGCCCACTTGGGGGTGTGGCCAAGGTCTCCGCAGGCCTGGATGGTCTCAGGAAATTACTTCAATTTAGGGTGATTGTCCACTGGGACTGGCCCCGGGCCAAGGGTTTTTGTTGCTCCAGATACTTCCAAGTAGTGTGAAGTAATCCGATGTTTTGATTTTCTAGGGGTGCTCTTTCACTTAAAAATGAGTTTTTCATCTTCACTTTTCTAGTTGTATTTAAAGGATAAATATGCTTCTGAGTGTAGTTGCCTACTACGAGGATGCTCAGTGCTTTAGATCAGTTAAACAGTTAAATTTTATATTTTCCACTAGATTCTTCAAAAATTACATGTTTAAGAATTTTAATTGTGTTCTCATCTTTCTGAAAAGGAAGCCACCTGTCTTTCCTCCCTCTGTATTAATAAAGTTAATCCCAGACAAGTCAGCCAGATATGTTTATGAAATTTGACCTGTTTAATTTGAAGCAGGAGGAAGACAAACTGTAACCTACACGCAGAACCTGTCCTGCAGCCTTTTCTATAAATAAAGTATTATTATAACACAGCCATGCCCGCTTGTTTGCATATTGCCTATGGCTACTGTTACCATACAACTCTGAATTGAAGAGCTGCAGCAGAGGTAACATGAACCACTAGTCCAGACATGTTTGTTGTCTGGTGTTGTACAGAAAAAAACTGTTGAGCCTGTGGCAAAATTATTAGTTGTTAATCCAGAGTCTCTCCCCTGATTAAGAAGATATGGTTTTTGATAATTACTTTCCTTCATGCACTGTAGTCACTGTAGCTTGAGCAGACACTGGTTCTTGTGGTACTGGAGCCAACAGAACTCAACCCTCCTGGGACCTTTCCCCTTGGGTGGATCACTTACTTCCTCTTTGTCCTGTGATCTGGAGGAGAATGATCCAATGGCTTAAGAAAACAAAAGCAAAAAACTTCAAAATCCTTTCCAAATATTACTTAAACTTCCCAAGTTTGAAAACTTTGTCATGTAACCAGCTGGTCTTGTCCCTGTCTTTTTTGGAGATGCATTGTTCCAGTCAGGATTGTCATTGGAACCTGTAGCTCCTAGATTGTATACATCCATTGGGGAGCCAGGTTTCTGGCTGACTCTGCTTCAGCCTTAGAAGCCTGCCATGGGCAGTCATTACAGGTAACAACTACAGCTGGTTCAATGAATCTCAGAGAACTTAACATGGCCATCTAATTTTTAAAAATTAATTATTATTTAAAATATATGAAAATTAAAATCATCTTTCTTTCCCATTTTTCCTAAGGTTAAAAATACAACCACTCAAATATTCCATTAATTGATGCATTCATGATATTTGAGTTTGTGTGCTTTTTTTTTTTCTTTAAGATTTATTGAAAAGCAGAATAAAAGAGAGAGGGAAAGACAGAGGAAAAGAGATCTTTCATCCACTGTTTAGCTCTCCAAATGCCTGCAATGAGTAGGGCTGGGCCAGAATGAAGCCTGGATCCTGGAATTTCATTTAGGTCTCCCACCTGGGTGGAGAGGCCCAAGCATCTTTTTCTGTTTCCCTAAGTTTATTAGGAGGCAGCTGGATTAGGAGTAGGTGAACTTGAACTGGCATTCAACACAGTATATGTAGTCAGACCCACCTAACTGTGCCTGTGGAGCTAGTAGCAGTTGTAGGAAAACCTCTACAGTGTTGTGTTGTTTTTGGCATGTTGTTGTTACTCTTAGCCCCTCTCCACCAATTACTCTCTCACCTCCACCATCTTCCCTGCACACAGCACTGTGAGCAGAATGCTCATCATTGAGCTGGGCACTAAAATAAGCACTTGCTATTGCTGCTGTGACTGCATGAGTTTGGGGGTGGAGGGAGTTTATTTCAGAAGGCCTTCAACCATAAACTATGTCATTGATAAAAGATTGATGATGTAAACCATTAAGTGAAATAATTAAATGGAAACTTTAGTCATTGTGTAATTAAATTTCAAAGATGAGTAAACAAGGTGGGACATAGATCTTTTATCTACATGGGTTTTTGTATATTCATGTAAATTTTTTTGGCCATGCTGAAGTTTGTGTAACAGCTGTCAAGAGCTTTGACTCATTCACATGTGAAGATCTGGTGGATGTACAGCCTTCTTATCCTAAGACACTATATACTACTGGAAAGTTCCTCACAGAGAGAGAATGAAAGATGCTGTGCTGGTCTGTCACATTCGTCAGGTAGTAAGGCAGTTGATGTGTGGTCTGTGTAGGTCTGTGTTACCAGTGGGCTACTTGGCAGTGTAGTGCTGCATCCATTGTTCAGTCTGCATACACACAGCAGTCACATGCCACTATGAATTGAAACCCAGATATTTTTCCCTAATAACCTGACTCTGTCCTTTATGAATAAAGGAAAACTGAGGGCCCATTTGTATGGCAGTATTATTATTCTAATGTCAGGGAATACGCGGACAGTATTTTTAGGTTTACATTTCTTACTAGACTTTCATGTCTTAGTAGACAACATATAGTTTCTTCAGAATCAAGTGCCTTGAAGTTCAAAAGAGTACACTGTTCTGTGTATGCTCCAGGTGTAGGTGACGTTTGTCTTCATATTATGCTCTCAGGTCATTTGTAATGACAACTTAAAGTGGTGCTTCTCAGGGTGATGTTTCAGTTACTCAGTCTCCAGCTTCCAGGGCTGTGTGGTCATGGAACTTGGGGCATTAACAGTTAGTGGGAAAGCATTTTTGGTTGTTTGTGTCTGTCTTCCCAAATCTGCTGCAGTGCTTTCTAGAAGTCTATTTTCCTCTTATCCTTTCAATGTTTTTATAATCCCACTCCCTCCCCCGCAGTGCATCAAAACCTACAACTCTGACTGGCACATTGTGAACTACAAATATGAAGATTACTCAGGAGAATTTCGACAGCTTCCAAAGTGAGTAAACTGTCAGACCACATAAGATGGGGATATCCCCAGTGGGAAGGTTTGTGCTGGAGATGCTCAGGGAGGAATGGAGCATCATGTGCACTCAGCATAACTGGGGAAGGTACTTCTAGGAGATGTGTGTATGGTGTAGCTCTTACTTATAGAACCTTTGATTATAAGACTCAAGTAGGTGGTAGTTAGCACATGGAGGGTTTTCTCTTCATGTCTAGATTCAGGAATCCTATTCATGTGTCACTGATAAAACCTCAGTAGATGAAGTTTGGATCACTGGGGAATGTGAACAAGGGGTGATCAGTTGTGCGTGGAGAACTTGTCTGTTACAAATTGTTGCATCGTGAAGTGATGCATTCAGCCAAGTAAAGTATAGTTGAAAACAGGTTGTGACAGTCTATATTTTAACATCATCCAAGAAATTTTTTTTCTTAGAACCTGATTAATGTTTTTCTCTGTCTGTTGCATCTGTGACCTTGTGCCTCCTTCCTGTTTCTTGTTCCTATTTGTGTGGCCCAGCCACTCCTTGAGAGTGTTCAGCCAGCTCCCCAGGAGCCTCTTTTAAAGCTCAGCCCAGAACACTCCCTGCAAGTATTATCTTCTCCAGATGAGTGCACGCTTTAGTTCTCTATTTACCCACTACTCACTGGAGGGTTTTTTCCTGTTTGCCTGGATTAACTCATCTTCATTGACTTTCTTGTTCATGCTGGGTCATGGTTGAAAGATAAAAAGATAAGGAGGTCTGGTGCACTTGATAGGGGATGGACTTACTGCCAGTGGAAATGACCTTTTGGCACTAGTAGGAACTTCCAGGTGTGTGGTGCCAGAGGGAAAAAGATTGTAGCAGTGGCCAATGACAGAGTAGGTGTTCTGCCTAGGTCAACTGCCTCTCTGCAAACCTCACTTTCCTGTTAAATGACTCAATTAAATCCCTGTAATTAAATGAGATAATGCATATAAAGTTCACAAGCTCTACACTAGTAACTGCTTAATAAATGCTGGCTGCCGTTGTTAACTGTTGTCTTTTTGTTGTTAATACCATTATCATTAATCACAACTAATAGCAACTAATCCACTTTCCTACTTTAGATATATTTACTACTCCACAAAAGCTGTCATTTCCACATAGTAGCTCATTGGAGTTTTCTAAATATGTCGGCTTACTTCTTTTGAAAAGCAGTGGCACGTACTGTTTTCTTCTTCAGCTGAGTGGTCCAGTCTGGAATCTCTTAAAGCCTGCTTCTTGAGATGAAGAAATTACTCGATTAGGCAATTATAACACAGGTTCGCTTTCTTATTTTTAAAGCAAAGTGGCAAAGCTGGATAAACTTCCGGTTCACGTGTATGAAGTTGATGAAGAGGTAGACAAAGATGAGGTAGGTTACTTGTTCACTGTTCTCCTTTTCAGCTTAATTTTAAACATTGATTTTACAGGTTGAGAAAGAGGAGTTAGACAAAAACAAGAAGTGTTAACTTTCACAAAACAAAGGAAGAATTTTTTTTTCAAATGTACCATTTGATTGATAGAAATAAATTCTCTGTTTCAACTTGAGCACTCAGAATTTCATGTTTTTTTGGTCCTGTTTGTTCTAAGATCCCTTTCAAAGACTTGGGTTGGATTTTGGCTACATTGTGAAAAGGTATCTAGCTAACTTAGACTTTAAATTTAGATTGTTTTTCAGCAGGATATCTTTAAATAAACTTCTAGGTCATAGATGTTAACAAACCCTCTCCCTGCCTCTTGGAGACAAGTTAGACCTGGAGAAGTATGGCAGAGAGAGGGCATTAAAAGGGGAGTGGTCTGTCCAGCCAGGGACACCTGATGAAAAGGTGATGCTAACCACTTCTGTGCACTTAATTCTTCCCGTTAAATATTGGCCGCCCCATTGTGAGTTAAGGTTTTTTCCTTAAAAACAAAAGATTGTCAGCCTAGTTCATAACTCCAGCTACTTACAAGTTACAGTGATGTCCATGTCACAAGTTATTTCAGGAATTTTAAAATATTTCTGAGAAAACTGAACGGTCACTTAAAATAAGTCAAGTATTAAGAACTTGGTGCTGATGCAGAAGAAATAGGAACACAGTGAAATTAAAGAGAAGTTGTTTCTGTTATTACCAGTAATAACAACTATAATGAACACCACCAGTATCAGATCTAAAATGAAGCACAGAATAGGTCTTCTTGTAACTGTCCTATCACAAAAGAAGTAGAGTGTGTGTATACACATTTCATCAGTTATGTATATGAATATATGCCTCACATGATTTTAAGAGCAGCTGGCAGCTCCATGCCTACCTCTTTAAACTCAGCCCTGGTAATGTGGGTTTAAACTTGAAGAATAGTAATATCTTGACCTCTCAATTCCCCGTTTTTCTGTATTCCTGCTTGTATTCTTTCTTCCTCCTCTCCTTTGTCCCATCCTTTGATCTCTCCTTTCTTACTGCCTCACAATTCCTCCCTTTCTTTATTCACCTTTCTCTGAACTGTGCCTCTGGGAAGGTTTCCAGGAATTTGCTTTATTCCTCTGAGTATATTTGAGAACGTTTTTCATGAAACAAGGAGAGACCTTACAATTTGAGTGGTCAAGTGTGGTATGTACTTTCTGTGTGTCATTAAAGAGTTGAAAATAAAAAATTTGGACTGGAGCTAGCTTTACCTTTAATGCAATCAGATTTTCAGAAATATTGGCTGCTCTTTTTTTTCTTATTGCTAAGTGGACGTTTAACACAACTTCTAGGTAAATATCAATGGTTGCTCTAGTAAAATGGCCAAGATGAATTTACACAGTGGAATGATTTCCTTGTAGACCAGGCTTGTGGCAAATACCATAGGTAACTGTGGGAAACTGTCAGTGGTGACCTTGCCTTGCCTTCTAGGATGCTGCCTCCCTTGGATCTCAGAAAGGTGGAATCACCAAGCACGGGTGGCTGTACAAAGGCAACATGAACAGTGCCATCAGTGTGACCATGAGGGTAAGGAGGATCAACATGTTTTATTGTGAATCCCTTTCTGCTGAAGGCGTAAGCATGAGACTCAAGACAAATGCATGTGCTGTTGTTTCTGAGAGAAGAAATATTGCTTTAAGATGCTTCCCTTGTGTGGCACTGTGGTACGGTGCTGTCCACCTCCCATCCCCTGCTGCCCTCCCATGGCAGCATAAAGAGGCCCTCATTGGGTTGGTACAAATATACACTTGCTGATGTAGACTTTAATCTCTGTCTTGACTGCTTCACAGAGCCTCACCAAAGGCCTGTGTTTCATGCTAACCCCAGGTGCTTTGTAGATGTATATGGCAACAAAGCACTTAGCACTAAAAGGAAACATCAGAAGAGGCTTGCAAAGAGCAAGCCTAAGCTAGAGTGTTAGACAGTGAAGACCAGAGAAAGATTGAGATTAATAAATAATAAAGAGAAAAGAAGCGTTGGATGGGAGGTTAGACAAACAGGGAGATGAAAATTAAGCCTGTAGAAATGCTGACTATCACAGTCCTGGGGCTGGAAAATCATTCAGTGTCCCAAAGAAGAAAATAGTTCTATGCAAGCCAGAGGCCCTGGGCACTGAAAGTCCATCCTTCTGTGCCTCATCTCAAAGTGAGCCTCCCTGGGCAGCTCTTGGGTAGTTATAGAAAACCATAAGTTCTGTAGGTAAGAAAGTGGTCTGTGCATGCTCAATGAACCCCAGCCTTAGACCTGAAGCGCAGTGAGACTGGTAGGAATGACAGGAAGTCACCTAGAGCGAAGGCTAGGATTTGTTTTTATTTTTAAAATTTGAGAAACTTTCAGAAAGAGAGGGGGAAACAGAGAGAGAAACAGAGGGAGAAGGAGCAAAGAATCCATTCATTGTTCGTCCACTGTTTGTTCCCACACATAGCTACAGATGTTTAGGGATGGCCAGACCAAGCCCAAGGGCTGGGAGCTTCATTCAGGTCTCCCACATGGGTACAGGGATCCAAACACTTGAGTCATCTCCCACCACTTTTCCCAGGCCATTAGCAAGGACCTAGACCAGAAGTAGGGCAGGTGGGACACAATCCCAGGATGCTGGTGTTGTAGGTGGCGGTTTTATTTTAGGGAGAACTAAAATAGACTTTTTTTTAAATGTATGCATGCAGTTATTATCAGTGGAGTTTGTAATTTTTATCTTTGAAAGCATAACTTTTTTCTTGCAGTCATTCAAGAGACGATTTTTTCACCTAATTCAACTTGGTGATGGATCTTATAATTTGAATTTTTACAAAGATGAAAAAATCTCCAAAGAACCAAAAGGATCAATATTTCTGGACTCCTGCATGGGTGTGGTTCAGGTAAATGTGACAAACTTTCTCTCACCAAGTTCTCTTTAAAGTAGTAGTACTGTGTGTGAATTAACGGTTTTAAATGACAATGTTGGTGGCAAAAATAGAATACATAACTTTGAAACAAGTAGGAACTTGCTTTTGATCATCTTAGATGATGAGAGATGTAACTTGTAGCAGGGTTATCCTGCGGTAGGCGTGAGCACTCTGGCCCCCGACTCAACTGGGGTTAGCTTTGCAAGTTTGAACAGGCCACATCAACAGAATTCAGTCGATGATGTTTCCTTGGTAGAGCATTTGAGATGGCTGGATGGCTTCACGCACGGAGACATGAAATGTGTAAGATCATTTGCAGCGTCTCAGTGAGGACGTCAGTCCCTGCCATCATGGCACCAGCAGTGGTGCAGTGTTCTGGCTGAGAGCGTGGGCTTTCCATGCAGATGCTCTGCCACTTACCAGCTCGTAGCACCTGCAGAGATGTGATGTTAGCGTATCTGGGTCTGGTTCCCTTTGGTTAAACAGGGATAATGATATCATGAAACATAGTTGCTGAGAAGGTGGGCTTACCAGCACTTAGTAGGGGCTAGAACAGTGCCTGCCAATGGCAGACATTTGATCAGGAGTCAGGTATTTTTGTTATCGCAGTGCTGTTCCATTTATAGAATGACTCTTACAATTCTTCCTAAAACCTGAGTGTGTTTAGACAATGCAGATAAAGTAAAAATCTCTGTAGATTGCATCTCTCCTCCCATCTTTCCTTTACACAGAGAGCTATTGAAAATTTTGAAATCTTCCTTTCATGTATTTTTTAAATTATCTTTGTAAAAAGCAGTTGCTGATTCTCCCCCTTTTGCCTGTCCATCTGTCCGTCCATCCATCCATTGTTTCATCTCCTTACCACTTCCCAAGAAGATTTAAATCAACAGCTTACACAAATATCTATAACACAAGGTAGCATGAATTTAAAGTGGAAGTGAGGCAGAAAATGAACCAGTGCTTAGGGCAGAGGTGAGATAGAATGGGACTGAGGAAAACAGACACAACTGGACTGCCTGCTCTCTTGGACACCTGTTCTGCATCAGAATGCACAGTGCATGTAAGATACTGACAACAAGAAGCTTGCTAAGGAGTTGCAGTCCGGCCTTTCTCTTGCAAGCCTTCAGACAGAGAGCTCTGTGATTCATGAACAGTCTCCCTGACGACTCCTTACAATAGATGGATTCACCATTATCAGAGAATTCTCCCTTAAGATGACTCTATACTGGCTGATGACATCAGTCTGGGGCACGATTCTGTAAGGAGATTGTTACATGGGATCAGCATAATTAATGTCAGGTAGACAGCTCTGTGGCTTATATATTTACATATGTACCTAAAATTAAATTGTGTGTCTGGGGGCCAGTGCAATGGCTTAATTAGCTAAACTGCCTGCAAGCACTGGGATCCTATATGGGGACCATTTTGTTTCCCAGCCTTTCCACTCCCTAGCCATTTCCCTGCTTATGTCCTGGAAAAACAGTGCAGCATGACCCAAACTCTTGGGACCCTGCACCCATGTGGGAGACCTAGAAGAAGCTCCAGCCATTGCAACCATTTGGGTTTGAACCAGCAGATGGAAGATCTTTCTATCTCTCCTTCTCTCTGTAAATCTCCCTTTCTGGTAAAAATAAATAAATCTTTTTAAAATTGTGTTTGCATCCTAAGGATATGTTTCATCACTTTGAAAGAGCCAAATTGCCTCAGGGTAACGTTAAACACACATCTCCCCTGAGTGACCCCCACCTCAGCCCCCTGTAATAGTCATCTTCAGCTTTTCTCAGTATTCATCTGGCATCTGTCCTCATGTGACGGGTGATTAGAGTTTGCTGCAGTTTCTTCCTCAGTTTTGGATGTTGCTAAGTGATAGAGTTTTAGCTCCTGTTCCTCTCTTTCATGCTCCAGTGTGGGTTGATTGCCTTCCCTGCCCTTCCTAGATGGTCTCCTGTAAAACCAATAAGCTTTCTCCCCATTTTGGATGCCCTGTTTCCAAGATCCTAGGTCTTTGGCCGTCTTGCTCTGCTTTCTTATTTCAGGTTTACCTGTAGTAGTTTCCTGTAGTTTCCTGGGAAGCCATGTATCGTGTAAAGTTTTTGAGAGTTAGTGTGTCCTTAGCTATCATTGTTTTTGCACTTGTACTTGATTCCTAGTTTGGTTGGACATAGAAATAAAAAAAAAATGATTTCCCTTTGCAACTTCAAGAGCATTTCAATAATAAGTAGATGTCTGTGTCTGGTGGAAGGTGGTGTTCTTACTCAGGTTACTCATGAGCTTCTCTTTTATCGTTAATGTTGTGAAATTTAGACCAGGTGTCTTCACTTTAATTTTTTGGTAAACTTAAAAAAATAAGACATTATTTGATGGAATGAGATAGAAAGAAAGCTCTTCCTTTTGCTCATTCACTCCCCAAATGACCACAGTGGCCAGAGGCTGGAACAGGCCAAAAACAGGTTCCTGGAATTCCATCAGGGTCATCCCTGGAGGTGTAGGGTCTGTTGTTTTGGGCACAGTAGCAGGGACCTGAGTTTTTGGTGGAGCAGCCAAAACTCAAACCAATGCCTGTGTGGGTTGCTGGAGTCAAACTTGGTGTACCACAGTGCCAGCCCTTGTAAATTTCTTAATAAGATGTAACATACAGGTAGCAAATATGCACATGGGCCCAGCACAGTGGCCTAGTGGCTGAAGTCCTCGCCTTCAAAGTGCCAGGATCCCATATGGGCAACGGTTCTAATCCCAGAAGCCCCACTTCCCATCCAGCTCCCTGCTTGTGGTCTGGGAAAGCAAGTGAGGATGGCCCAAAACCTTGGGGCCCTGTACCCACGTGGGAGACCTGGAGGAAGTTCCTGGCTCCTTATTGGTGCAGAACCAGCTGTTACAGTCAGTTAAGGAGTGAATCATCGGGTGAAAGATCTTTCTCTCTGTCTCTCCTCCTCTCTGTAAATCTGATTTTGTAATAAAAATAAAATCTGTAAGAAAAAAAAATAAAATATACACACAGTGAATGTATGACCCACTGAATTTTTGCTGAAATTGACTTTTTTTCTGGAGACTTGTCTGCTGTTTTCTGACCACTTTAGTTGCCCTCAGCTCCAGCTCCTTCTCTTTGACTGGGTGGGAGAGCCCTGGTCCAGATAGTGTCTGCAATTAGAAGGCTGAACTGGCAGGAAATCACCTCCTTTATTTTCCTTATGCCAAAGATCCTCCTGCCTCTGTCCCTTATCTTAAAATAGCACTTCCATCTTTTGTCCTGTTTTCTAAATAAGATGACTACGGCCACATTGCAGTTCCTGGGTTTGGTAGCTGACGGCTATAGCACCTGGGAGGCAGTTGTGAGGTTTCCGGTAATTGGGTCCCTCTCTACACATGTTTAAGAGCTAGGTGGAGTTTGGGCCTCCTGGCTTTGGTCTTTCTGTCCTGGTCATTGCAGGCAAGTTGAGAGGTAAACCAAGGATGGAAACCCACTTTGTCCTTCTGCCTCAAAAACAAGTAATTAAAAAAAATTAAATTATGTGCAATCAACAGCTTATTAACATGTGGATGTCTGTCTGCTAACAGCCCACCTTCTGCTGAAAGAGGCCATTATGAATAATGTTCCTATATCAGAGTATGCATATTGAAATGGTAAACTACAGAGTACCAGAGTGAATTTATCAATGACAGTGAACTTGTGCCCTGTATAGGATTCCAATATAGAAATTGCATTTGTTTTCTTCGGTTGAGAGGCCTTTAGCTGAAATTCCTGGCAATGAGTTAATGAAAAGTTAAAGCCAAACTAAATAGATTTTGCAGCCTCACTTTTAAAGCACACAGCTATTTGTATTTTTTTTTAAGATTTATTTTTATTAGTTTTTTTTTTTTTATTGGAAAGGCGGATATACAGAGAGGAGAGACAGAGAGGAAGATCTTCCGTCCGATGATTCACTCCCCAAGTGAGTGCAACGGGCCAATACTATGCCGGTCCTAAGCCAGGAGCCTCTTCCGGGTCTCCCACGCGGGTGCAGGTTCCCAAGGCTTTGGGCCATCCTTGACTGCTTTCCCAGGCCACAGGCAGGGAGCTGGAAGGGAAGCGGGGCTGTCGGGGTAGAACCAGCGCCCATATGGGATCCCGGGCGTGCAAGGCGAGGACCTTTAACCACTTGTGCCACCACGCCGGGCCCTATTTGTATTTTTTAAGTAAGCTTTGTTTCATGTCTTTGGTGCAGTGTACAAATGTTTTTTTGTTTTTTTGTTTTTTTTTAAAGATTTATTTTTATTATTTTTTTCATTGGAAAGGGGGATATACAGAGAGGAGAGACAGAGAGGAAGATCTTCCGTCCGATGATTCACTCCCCAAGTGAGCACAACGGGCCAATACTATGCCGATCCAAAGCCAGGAGCCTCTTCCGGGTCTGCCACGCGGGTGCAGGTTCCCAAAGCTTTGGGCTGTCCTCGACTGCTTTCCCAGGCCACAGGCAGGGAGCTGGAAGGGAAGTGGGGCTGCTGGGATTAGAACCGGCGCCCATATGGGATCCCGGGCGTGCAAGGCGAGGACCTTTAACCACTTGCGCCACCACGCCGGGCCCTACAAATGTTTGTAAGTGTAATATCCCTGAGCTATCATTTAGTCTCTGAGGTATATTTCAACATCTAAGATCCTGACTTCAATCAAAGTCTCCTTGAAATACTTTTTGCAGATGCAGCTGATGCTGTTTTTCAGCTAATGCACTGCACCTAAAGCTCTAGATATTAAAATCATTTTTCACACGTCTGTTTGCAAATTGAACATCAAAAGTTGTCATTTAAGTATCCTTTAAAAATTGTTAGTTTTTTCATGTTATAAAAAGTGTTGATTAGTGCCTTGACTTCACATAAATGACTCACTAGAAATTTTAAAATAAGATCCCCACAAAATAAAATAGAAATTTTAAACCCTAAAAACACTTCAGCAGTTTTTAGTTCACCCATTATTTTGCAGATGAGGAAAGTGAGGCTCAGAAAATGCAATGACTTAGAACCAGGGTCTATTGTGGTGTCACGTCTGACTTCTCAAAAGTGACTAGGACCAGTAGGACATGTGGAAGAGAGAACTCATATTTGACTTCTTCTCTGAGTCTTGCCTTGAAGTTTGAGAGCCAAGGTGATAGTTAAACCAAGCCCAGCAGCCAGTCTGTGCTCAGCAGCCTATGTGACTTTGCAGGAACTGTACTTGGCTCCTCGTTTCTAAAAACCACAGAGATGATGGAAGGGTCACCCAGTCCCAGAGACCTACACCAAGGAGCTCTTGCAAGAACTCTGGGGAACCTGGGACAATTTTGCAATCTCTAGAGACATTTTCAACTGTCTGAACTTAAGAGCTGTGCTACTTGTGCCTCATGGGTTGAGGCCACAGTGTCACTAACCATCATCCAGCATCATGGCAGACCCTCACAACAAAGAATAAGACAAATGTGTGTAGTACCAAGTTGAGAAACCTTGATCTAGCACAACATTCCCCTCTATCCCTTACGCACATGGACCACTCTTTTTGTTTTTTGTTTCTATGCTCTTTCTTTTTTATTTATTTATTTATTGGAAAGTCAGATATACAGAGAGGAGGAGAGATCTTCTGCCAGATGATTCACTCCCCAAGTGAGCGTAATGGCCGATGCTATGCCGGTCCAAAGCCAGGATCCAGGAACTTCTTCCGGGTCTCCCACACAGGTGCAGGGTCCCAAGGCTTTGGGCCATCCTCACTTGCTTTCCCAGGCCACAAGCAGGGAGCTGGATGGGAAGTGGAGCTGCTAGGATTAGAACCGGCGCCCATATGGGATCCCATGGCATTTAAGGCGAGGACCTTAGCCGCTAGGCCACGATGCCGGGCCCTGGACCACTCTTTTTGTGCTGAGCCAGTCTTACCTGCTCATGGACATGAAAGCCAGAGCCATGAAGCCAGACCAGAGAGAGGGAGTCCAAGTACCTTTTGGGATTTGTAGCTGCTTAGAACATCCCAGAGATGGGAAGCATATTGATATGTAATGGTTTGCTTTTTAAAGTATAATACTATATACTACTTTATTGGAAACAATTAAGAGGAAACTGGTATTATTTAATTCAGTGGTTAAGATGCCCATGTCCCTTCCATGGAGTACCTGAATTTAATTTTGGTTCCCGTCTCCAGCTTCCTGCTAATGCAGACCCTGGGGGGCAGTGGTGGTAGCTTGCATAATTGGGTTTATGCCACCCACATAAGAGGCCTGGATGATTTTGTCAGCTTCTGGCTGTGGTCCCAGCATGATACTGGTCCCAGGAAATGAGAGTCCTCCCTCTACCTTTCCTTTTCCCCTCATCCCAAATAAATGAATGCAATGTAAAACAAAAACAAAAACAAAAAACAAAAAAACTAGCTAGAAGAGACCTAATGTGATAGCCTAATGGCTAAATCCTCACCTGGGCTGCACTGGAATCCTGGACAGGCACCAGTTTGTGTCCTAGCTAATCCATTTCCTATCTAGCTCCCTGCTTGTGGTCTGGTATAGCAGTAGAGGATGGACAAGGCCTTGCGACCATGCACCCATGTTGGAGACCTGGAAGAAGCTCCTGGCTTCAGAGTGGCTCTGCTCCAGCCAATGTGAGCACTTGGGGAGTGAACCAACAGACAGAAAATCTTTCTCACTGTCTCTTTCGCTCAGTAGATCTGCTTTAACAATAAAAATAGATAAATCTTTAAAAACAAAATAACCTAGATGAACATGATATTTTTCTGTTTAATTTTATTCAATTCAAAAATATTTTCCAGATGCCCAGTATGTTCCGGACTTGTATTAGGAGCTAAGTATATGGCGTTGAACAAAAGAAAAGAGAAATAATAAAGGAGGGGAGTTGGTTCTTTGGAAAGAAGTTCACAGCTTCATTTAGTTTTGTTCAAAAGCTAGTTAGGGGCCTGGCGCGGTGGCACAAGTGGTTAAGGTCCTCGCCTCACACCCCCAGAATCCCATATGGGCGCCAGTTCTATCCCGGCAGCCCCGCTTCCCTTGCCCGGGAGAGCAGTCAAGGACGGCCCAAATGCTTTGAGACCCTGCACCCGTGTGGCAGACCCGGAAGAGGCTCCTGGCTTCGGACCGGCATAGCATCAGCCGTTGCGCTTACTTGGGGAGTGAATCATCGGATGGAAGATCTTCCTCTCTGTCTCTCCTCTCTGTATATCTGCCTTTCCAATTAAAAAAAAAAAAAAAAAGCTAGTTAGAAAACACCCATCGAGAAATAAGAGAAAGAAAACCTTTTAAGGAAGTTTCAGTTATTTTAAAACATGTCTCTTTGCCTTTTTGCATTTCAGAACAACAAAGTCAGGCGTTTTGCTTTTGAGCTCAAGATGCAGGACAAAAGTAGCTATCTTTTGGCAGCAGACAGTGAAGTAGAAATGGAAGAATGGATCACGATTCTCAACAAGATTCTCCAGCTCAACTTTGAAGCTGCCATGCAAGAAAAGCGGAATGGAGATTCTCATGAAGGTAGGCACACACACTCTGCAGGTATCTATTTTTGGCAAGTGGATATTAAAAAGAGATCTATGTATTGAGAAAAAATGAGAGTTGCACATGTGCGTGCACACACACACACTCACACACACACCTCTCCTGTCCCTTGGGTTGTTGTCCAAATAAGAGTGATACTTAGGGCCAGACCAGGCCAAAGCTGAAGTGTGGAAGTTAGCTCAGATCCCCTCTGGTCCCACCTCCTTGAGCCGTCACTGTTGCCACCCAGCATCTGCATTGGCAGAAAACTGGAGTCAGACCCAGGTCTGGGAAGTGAACCCAGGTACTTGATGGAATGTGTGCACTTTAACAGGTGTCTTAACCATTAGATTAAACCCCTACCCAGAAAACCTGTGTTGCACAGGTCCATGAGAGGGAGACAGATGTTAACATTCTTTAAAGATATATTTTGTATCTGAAAGTCAGAGTTAGAGAAAAGGGTACAGAGGAGAGAGAGGTTTCCTATCCACGAATTTACCCTACAGATGGCTTCAAAGGCCAGAACTTAGCCAAGGCAAAACCAGGAGCAGAAGCTGCATCCAGGTCTCCAGCATGGGTATCAGGGACCCAAACACTTGGGCTATCCTCTGCTGCTATTCTCAGGACATCAGCAGAGGATAGGAATACAGCAGCTGGGATGCTAACCTGTGCTTCTATGGTTTGGATTTTACCTGATGACATGTTGCTGGTTCCAGATGTGAGCTTTGTTACAAGTCACCTGTCAGTCAAGATCCTGTCATGTTAGAATGTACTGCCCTGACATTTTTAATGGAAATCATGTAATGAATGAACCACAGCTTTGGAAGCAGAGAGCAAGACCAGGATTTGAGTCTCGGCACCACCAGTGTTCAGCCATGTGACCTTGAACAAGCTGTATTTGTTTTCTGAGTCTCGGTTTGCTCACCTGTTAGAATGCATAGAAAGACAAACCTTGCTAATCTGGTGGGAAGAATAAATAAGGAAATGAATCTCAAGTACCTGACATGAAATCTTCACTGACTATTAATTACAGTTATTGCCGTTATCATTGACAATGGCCTTTGGAATTTGTAAGAAAGCATCTGAGTAGGTAATATTGATGCAGTAAAATATATGTCTCTTCTCCACACAGCATGCTGCATCTCAAAGCCATTATGTGATTCCCAACACTGAATCCTCCTAAAATTGTCTAGGACTTTCAAGAACAGTATTTCCTTGTTATCACCAGGGATTTTGACTTATTGACTTGGAATAGATCTGGGCAGGTCCATCTTTTACCAGTTCAAAAGATGTGACTACATGGACTACTTACTGTTCCCAACTTGGAGCAGTTCACCTTTGACCAGGTTCCTGCCGTTCCAGCTAGTCAGTGTTGGATATTTGGCCTCCTTCCTCTTGTCTCCAATAACATATTTTCACTTGTAAGTTTCTCAGGACATCTGTTTTGCCGTTTTAGATGATGACCAAAGCAAATTGGAAGGTTCTGGTTCTGGTGTAGACAGCTACCTGCCTGAACTTGCCAAGGTAACATTATGTAAGATCCTTTGAGCTTCAGTGTCTTCTGTTGAAATCTCTCTCGTTCTTGAGTTTTCCCCAAATGGAATCCAAAGAAATTATTGCAGTTGTGTTGTGATTGCCTTGGTTTTCTGACATCAATGTGAGGTGACATGAAATACACCACTGCTCTGAAACTTCAAGCTGTTTTCCAAAGAGCACTTTACAAATTGTTTGAAGTGCTCCCTGAGCCCCATTGCCATCATGCTATTTCATACTACATCATAACTGTCTTACCCTGTCTGTACCAACAATGTCAGGTACACTTAAATAAGAGACTGATGCAATTATGATTCCTTATGAAGGACTACACTATTGTAGTAAAATGGGAAAAATCTGTTGGGGGGTAGAAGTTTGGAGGGGAATCTCGGTCTATATGAAATTATACCACATAATTCAAACATTCAAAATAAAAGTATGTTAAAAAAAACTGTTCAAGGAATAAACTACACTTCACAGGTAAGTTTTCTGGTGATCACAGATACCTTCTGTGTTCCACAAGTGCTCCCTCTTGTTCCAGTTAAGATACAGTTCTCGTGATGATAGGAATGGTAATCTTGCCATTAAATCGAGGAGCAGTTGCCTGAGTTGTAAAATTGTTCTTGGTTCCCGTGGCATGAAACAAACAGAAAACAAGGCTATGCCCGAGTTTTACAATTATTTAGAAACATAAGTTACTGAAAAGTGCAAACAATAGCAAAGCAATTATATTGCCACCACCAAGATTCATGTATGCTGCTATATTGTCATTTTAGCTTCTATATCAAAACAAGCATCAGTTATATCTGAAGTTCTTTGCAAACACTATCCTGTTTTGCATTCTGCACTTCCATGTATCCCCAACCAGAGACAACTGCTAATTACGGGTATTACTTCTGTTTCATTTTGCAGGCATGCAAATGGATCTCTCCTTCTATATATAGTATTGTTTTGTGAAAATATTCTGCAGGGTAAATCTTGTGGTACAGTAAGCTGAGCTGCTGCCTGGAAGGGCCACATCTTATTTCAGAGTGTCAGTTCACATCCCTGCTCCTGTTTCTGATCTGACGGCCTGTAATGTGCCTGTAAGGCAGTGGATGACGACACAAGTGCTTGAATTCCTTCTGCCCACATAGGGAACCAGGTTGGAGTTCTGGCTCCTGGCCTGGTATGGCCCAGTTATGGCTGTTGTAGCTAGCTGGCTAGGGAAGCAGTGGATATAGGACCTGTGTGTGTGTGTGTGTGTGTTTCTCTCTCTTCCTCTTTCAAACTAACATGTAAATATTTTTTCAAAAAAGTTATATAAATTCTTATATACTATTGTTCTGTATTTCATTTCATAATTCAGCCTTGTTTTTGAAATGTGTTCAAGTTGGGTGGATCTAGTTCATAACTTTCATTGTACTATGTAAACATTTTATTTTAGCTATTCTTTTATTTCAGTTTTTTTCTGTTACAAACAATGCTACAATGAGTATCCTTGTGCTTGTCTTTTCTGCATCTATGAACGATTCTTTTTTAAATGAGAGGAATGCCATTGTCTTCCCTAGTCCTTTTATTCTTACTCTGTTACTGACTTTTCTGTTCTTTTTTTTTTGACAATGCAGTGAAATAGTCGCCCTTCATGCCTGTATCTTAAACACTGTAATAGAAACATGGTTTATCTGTATAGGATTATAAATAGACTAGCATTCAGCATTGACTTTTATTTTAAGACAACATGGCTGTTTTCAGTATAAAGTCTCCCTGTCCAGCTGGGCCTTCAGTGCATTGTTTTTCTTTAGGACTTGACTGTTACCACAGTATCTTTTTTAGCACCTGCCTATTACAGTTAATTTTAGTGCCACACTGTAACCCCCTCCTAGTCTGGGACATTTCAGCTAGTGTGTCTGTGTTGTGGACTTCTGTGCATTGTTTGCATTGAGGTTTGCTTTTGTGTTTTGGGATGTCTGCAGGTTCATAATTTCTGAAAGCAAATTTTTTACCCGTATTTCAGTTTCAGTTTGTTGAAGCAAATAATATATTTGATTTATTCTGGAATTCAGAAAGTAATTTTATGTGCTGAATGAGTGAACAGAATGGCTGCCTGGGAAAAGATTTCTAATTTGAGCCTAATCTGTACTTTTTGCTATGAAAACACTCAGGACTTGTCCGCTCCTTCCTTCTCTAATACACTGGCCAGTATGATATACTATTTCTAGGAAGTTTATCTGTCCATTCATTGATAGAGAGACATAGTAAATTCAAATTAACTGAAGTCATTTTAGTTGGCAATTTTAATTTTTTAAAATGAGGTGCAACTTATATAGAACAAGATGTTCATGCATTAGTTTATAGCATGATGGGGTTCACATTTGCACACAGACTAAGCCACCAACCAGATGAACATGTAACACTCAGAGCAGCCCAGCAGACTGCATTCTACCCACTCCCAGCTGCTCTCCTCATTGTTTTGATCTGCATGACCAAAGATTGGTTGTAACTGTTCTAGACCTTCTTATAAAATACAGTCATGCAGTGTGTACCCTTTAGCTCAGGATTACGTGACCCATATTACAAAAATAATCCAATGCCACAGGATTGGGTAAAAGATATAATATAAAAATTCTCTGCCCTTAATACTGATATCTGTTAAGTATGTGAAGTTATTTTTGAATTACAGATTGTGTAGACACATGTATGTGTATGTTTGTGTGTATATGAGGATGGGGAGACTTACAGAACCACACACACACAGAGGGAGAGCTAATTTTTTCCTTGAATCAAGCTTTAAAAATATAGCAGTGTAAAGGGTTTTCTGTTTTTTTTCTCCAAGCTCTCAAATATTTTTAAAGTATTTCTATTTAAAACGATAACAAAAGACAGAAGGCAGTTTTTCAAAGGGCAGAAGAATAATAAAGAATAAAGATTTATTGCCACTCATCATTATGCATCAAGAATATTGTAAATGGGTGTCTGATGTTTTGCTTTTTAAATAACTAGTTATATTTATTTGAAAAGCAGAAAAATTGAGAGTAGAGGTATCTCCCATCTGCTAGTTGACTCCCCAAATGCTTGCAAGAGCCAGGACTGAACCAGGATCAAATTGGAAGCCTGGAATTTATTCTAGATCTCCCACATGGCAGGGATCCATGTCCTCGAGCCATCACTGCCACCTCCCAGATGCACACATGAGCAGGAAACTGGATTTGGAAATAGAACAAAATTCAAGCCAAACACTCTGAGTGCTATGTAGATGTCCTGTGTTGAACGGACAGAAGTATCTTAGCCACTTGTTCACTCTTCAAATGCCTACCACACCCAGGGCTGGGCCTGGCTGGAGCCAGGAGCCAGACACTCCATCAGGTTCTCCCATATACATGACAGGATCCAAAATACTTGGACCATCATCTATTGCCTAACCAGTGTGTACCTTAGCAGGATACTGGATTAGAAGCAGAGCCAAGACTCAAATCCAGGCACTCTGATATGGGATATGAGCATGCACGAAGAGGCTTAGCTCACTGCCCCAAAAGCCAGCCCCTGGCTGTGCCTTTTAATGGACTCCTCAACAGTGTGCATTGTGAGGGCTCCCGGGTACTACTTGAAGAACTGTACCTGACTCTTGGTCCTTTCACAATCCAGTCCTTTGAGCGAGAGTTTGGTTTGAGTTGCTTACCATCACCCTCCGTTGTATCTTGGATGGGCCATTATTTGTACCTATTGAGAAAGGGAGTGGTAACTGCTCATCTTTTTTATAGAAGTGAATTTCATGGTAACAGAAGGGGATAAGAGTAAGGAGAGGGAAGCTAGAGGCACAAAATGTACAAAGAGGTAGTGTTTAATCACGGCATAAAGAGCAAAAGGGATCCATGCTGGGGAGGGAAGGTGCAAGAGAGACACTGACCAGAGCATGGGGCACGGGTAGGTAAGACGGCAAAGACCCCTTGAACTGCGAGGGAAGGCCACGGCAGCCAGGTGTCATTCCATTGCAGGCTCCTCTTGGGTCTGCTGTTCTTTGCGCCTCACTGAGCCTTCTGTCCAGGCTTCTGTTTCCCTGCACTGGGACAGCCAAACAGGATAGGATTGGCAGGAAGTTATTGTAGTGCAAAAATAACAGCTGTTTCATTCTGGAATGTTATGGTGGGGCTCTTTTCTTACATCCTTAGGTTTTCAGAACACTTTATATGGTCTTGGAGTGTGTGTTTATGCATTCAGTACTGAGTGTCCTCATTGTTTTCAGATTAGGGGAGGCATGGCATTGACTGTAAAACCATCAGTCTTGCATTTTTATTAAGTAGGCTGACTGCAGTTAAAGTTCATTGATTCCTTCCCTAGAAAGTCAAGGGGTAACATGACCAGATTATACAAACCATTGCTAGTTATTTGATAATCTTGTTCTTTTTACATTTATCTTAGGTCACACTGAAATATATTTATCATCTCCTTACATAAAGAGAATATGAAAAGAACATTATATTTTTCTCCACAGCTTTTCTGTTTGGGAGGAGGCGGTGGTGTTGGTACACAAAGAATAGCAGATTGGTCTTATTATGGTCCTCCCCTATGTGCATCTGAAAGAGAAACAGAGTTTCATGTAAACCCAAAATTACTCACATTCTAACTTTGTGACTTCTTTTTATGTCAATGTACTTAGCTTCCCAGATATGTTACAGTTGAACACAGGACAGAATATAGTGACTCAAACTTCATAGTCTCGTTGGGATTGAGTCAGGGGCAAGGGGCAAGCCTAGCAAAGTTGGTCAAACCCGAGTTGTTTTCACAGATACCTTTTCTGATTTTTAAAACCAATTATATAAGTATTTGCTTTCCTGTATCCCAGTTCAGAAAACAGTGTGCATTAGAATACAGAGCAGTTGGCCGGTTGTGGTTGGGGTCAGCTGGCGTTCCACTTCTGGGCCTCCTTACTCTGTAATGCCTTATTCTATCTTTGTGACATAAAGGCTGAGAGATGTACCTGAATAGCTAGATGTCTTGGAAGTAGTGGGGATTAATTATGACAGCCCTTTAAGAAGTATAGAAAGATATTGCTCTGTCTTCCTATTCCAATCCATTCTATTTAAATGACCCAACAATCAGCAGTATTGTTATGGTATCCCATCCTCCAGGTTGAGTCTTGGAGACTTTCTGTCTGCTTACAAATGAGTTTCAGACACACAGTATACCTGAAGGTGGTAGCAATCTTTCTGGAAACTCTTGAATGGTTGGTCAAGGACTACTTCTTAAGACAAAGAAGAAAACATTGTTAAGCTATGTTGCCAGTGGCTGAATTTAGGGTTTACTAAATGGAATGCAACAAAGAAATAGCCTTTGTGTTATAATTCTTTATTTTCTGAGTAAGCATACATTTCTACAGAGAAGGACCTGCTGTTGTTTCTTTTTTATCTCTTCCTCTCCTTTGAACCCAAGATACTCTATGGGCTATGGGGCAGGTTGTTAGTGACAAGCTATTTGAGGAGCCATTTCTTCCTGCTACCATGATAAGGAGTGCCTTAGGTTTTTTTAAGATTTTTTGTTTTATTGGAAAGTCAGATATACATAGGGAAGCAGAGAAAGAGAGAAAGATCTTCTGTCCATTGGTTATCACTCCTAAGCAGCCGCAATGGCCAGAGCTGCACTGATCTGAAGCCAGGAGCAAGGAGCCTCTTTCAGGTCTCCCACATGGTTGCAAGGTCCCAAGGCTTTGGGCTGTCCTTTACTACCCTGCCAGACCACAAGCAGGGAACTGGGTGGGAAGCACGGCTGTTGGGACACAAACTGGCGCCCATAAGGGATCCCAGCGCATGCAAGGCGAGGACTTCAGCCCCTAGGCTTTCTTGTTGGCCCAGTTATTTTAAAAGAAGATCTAGTTTCTCTTACTTTGAGAAGTGCTCAACTGTATAGTTTTTGGGATAATAATTCTTTATTGTTGTGTTTTTTGAGCTCTGGGTGCTTTGGGTTCCTATCTGATTTCTTTTGTGGGTTGTCTTTTTATGTCCATCTCATCAATGTTGGGGCCCCTGGGAGTCTGTCCTTAGACTCACTTTCACACCTCCAGTTCCACCTCTGTGCTGATCTTCTCTTGCTGTCCTCTCTGCTTTGTGGTCAGGTCCTATCCCCCAGGCTTCTGCAGGAAGTTCCAGACTGAAAACCTCATAGGCATGTCCGCACTCCATTGGATGATCATCTTTTCCACAAACTCACTCCTCTTCCTGAATTACCTAAGTTAATGGGTTCATGAATCAGCAGGTTACCCAAGGCAAAAACGGGGCATTTATTATGGACCCTGTTGGTGAGCCTGAGAGGCTTATGAAATAACCCAAGAATAACTTTTAGGCCTCCTTGGCTTGGTCCATTGCATTATCCCTAATCATGTGATGCTTCTGAAATGAAGAACTCATTTTTTATTTCCTTGTCTGAAACAATGCAGAATATTTTAGATTTGTAGTGAAATCCCTAGTCCTTAGCATACAAATTCCAAACTCATTTGTCTTTGCTTTTTCCATTGAGCCCAACCCTTCAGTCGTCATGAATAATGTGGCCATTGCTCAAGTGTGGATTATTCCGCCGCACCTGAACTTTTTCCCTCTAGAATGCCCTTCTCTCCTTTGCTGGCCAAACACTGTCACTCTCAGGGTTGGGCCTTCTCCTGTAAGGACTTTCCTGACTACTGCTCCCTGGTGCAGGTGAAATCACACTGCACATGTGTCTCTCTTGGTCATTCCTGTTATCAGTGTGTGCACTGGTCTTCCCAGCTTGTGTTCGTTCATTGATGTTTGTGTCAGCCCAGCATAGGTACTCAAGGGATATTTATTGGATGATTCAACATTTTGTCCTAGCAGAGCTGCCATAACTTTTTCCATCCCACCATTCAGAACGTAGCTTTCCTTTTGCCCTTATAACTTCAATTTTAGGCTTGACCCAAATCATTCCGTTCTGTGATCTGAGCTCATTTCTATCTTCACTGTCTGTCTCTGTCCATTGTTTTGTTGAGGCCAGAATGCTCCTGGCCTCTCCTTTTCGCTCTCTGAATTTTGCCCCTTCATTCACAGTTGATTCTGTATGATTTGACCTTATGAGGCCTTCTTTTGACAGTTTAACACTTCATTCTTTTTTACTTTCCTTGTAGTATTTTTGAGTCCACAATGGATTGTCAGCTAGGTAAGGGCAGAGAGTAAATCTTAACTCTTCCCCCTCCCAAAGTTTCAAACTGTGTGTTATGTGCCTGTGTGCAGGCCTGTTTATGGACACATAGCTGCCCACTGATCTGTCGGTCTGACTTTTCAAGGTAGAGTAACTTTCAAAGATATTTGAATACCTCTTTTTAAAAAATGGATTGTGTTAAATGTAATTTTTGTTTATTTTGTTACCAGAGTGCCAGAGATGCAGAAATCAAACTGAAAAATGAAAGCAGAGTTAAGCTTTTTTACTTGGATCCAGATACCCAGGTAAAAAAAAGAAGTTAAAAATTTAAAACTAAGCAGGGAGGAGGGAAAAAGTCTTTGATATGTTTATTTGTTTGCTTTATTTTGGATTGACAAATAATATAATAACATGGAAAATTTGAGAATAAATAAAAACAACATGTAATCTTATCACTATTACATAACTATTGTGAAACTTGATAGTGTAATAATCTGTTAAAATTGAGATTTATTCAGATTATTAAAAATTTTAATGCAGCCATGAGTACACAAGAACACATCATTTATCTAGTTGCTATTAGGAGACAGCAAGGAGGATTGTATGTCCAAAGGCACAGTGATACTTCCCAGTACCTGCAGGCCGTACCTGTGTACCCAGGAAACCCAGCCCTTTGTGATGAGGCCCGAACCCAGAAGAGCATTTCCTTGTATATCTTTTTAACCTCTTTGTCTCTCATATGTAGTTACACATATTTTTGGTTAGCTGTCTTAGCACTACATGCTGCTTTGGAATCAATAGAAAACTTTACATGTGTACGTAGTTACTGATAAGGTTTAACTAGTTTCCCTTAATACACATACTGTTTCTCCCCCCCGACAAACTGAGCTGTATGCTCTCTGGCACTGGCTAGCACCTTTGATCTGTGCTGACTAGTAGAAGCTGAACCAGTTACCAGGAAGTAGATAATGACCGCATTCTATTCTCAGGCTAAATGACCCTAACCCCCCGACACACACACACACTTTATTTTGGGAAGGGACTCCACCACTGCATCTTTCACTTACCAGTGTTTTCAGGGAATATCCATGTTGTAGCAGGTGCCAGAATTACCTTTTTTTTTTTTTGGTTGAATAATAAGCCACTGTAGGCGTATGTTTCATTTTATGCATCCATATACATCTATTGTGTGTCCTTACACATCTTAGGTTATTCAGAACCATGATGTTTCAGGTCTCTGTACTCGTTCATTGACCAACATTATGAACCAATTCTTACCAACATTATCAACTATTGGAACTACATGAGCTTATTATAAAATAGGAGCATTATTGTGAGTAAATGAATGTATATAGCTTTTTTCCTAGGTTAGAAAGTTGCCGTTGGATACTTTTAGAATGAGGTTTTTTGACTGGCATCTTAATGCATTTACATCTTTATGTTTTCTTTTAAAGAAACTCGACTTCTCATCAGCTGAGCCAGAAGTGAAGCCATTTGAAGAGAAGTTTGGAAAAAGGATTCTTGTCAAGTGCAATGATTTATCTTTTAATTTGCAGTGCTGTGTGGCTGAAAATGAAGAAGGACCTACTACAAATGTAATCTTCCTTTTTGAAAAATAAGGCTTTGAGCACTCAGAGGTTTCTGATGTGCCACAGCAGTGCAGCCTGGACATGGAATCCTAGTTCCTAGTATCAGAGAGGGGCAGTGTTCGCATCAGGCTTTGGGCGGCTGTTGAGCCTGCTGGGGCAGGTGTTCTGGACGAAGGTTAAGGGTGGTGGGTTCAAGTTCGGTGCTCCAGGAGATGCTTGGGGGGGGGAGGGGCGGGGTTGTCTGTTTTCTTGCAGCTCACATTAAGTAGTGAAGCACATGAGGTAAAATTATGCTTTTGTGTTTCCTGCAATGTTTTTAATCCAATTCTCAATTTGACAAAGTACAAGACCCTCTTGAGTCAGTTATGTCAGTCAGGAATAGGTCTCACTAGCATTTTTTCCTCTTCCCGTAGTGAAACAGCTGCATTGTTTATTTTGTTCAGGTAGAGCCTTTCTTTGTGACTCTGTCGCTGTTTGACATAAAATACAACCGAAAGATTTCTTCTGATTTCCATGTGGATCTGAACCATTTCTCCGTGCGACAGATGTTGGCCCCCTCGTCCCCAGTTCTAGTCAATGGTGGGCATAGTCCCCCCGCCCATCAGGACACCTTTCATGAGGCCTCCATGCAGTATCCGAAGCAGGTAAGGTGTAGGAAGCCTGTGATTGCACTGCCATGTTTATTATGCACATCAACAATGCCAAATGTAGCCATGTTATGCACAAGTGGAGTGAACGTTGGCCGTGGATTGTAATGATAGTAAATGGAATTAGACGGTAAATGCAAGTGGGGAGAAAGTTGTGGGGTTTTTTTGTTTGTTTTGTGCCAGTTGTCTACACTTTTGTCTTCGCTGCTTTCTCCACGGACTTTCAGAGCAGACAACGCTGACCAGTTTAGCTCTGCATGTTTCTTATGAGCTGCAGTGTTTCACTGGCCTTTACTGCTCTAATGTTCATGGGATATGTTTAACGTAGCCATAAATTGAATTTGGCTTATGGAAGAAAATTATTTCTGCCCTAGGGAATATTTTCTGTCACGTGTCCTCATCCGGATATATTTCTAGTAGCGAGAATTGAAAAAGTCCTTCAGGGAAGCATCACACACTGCGCTGAACCGTACATGAGAAGCTCGGACTCCTCTAAGGTATGAGTGACTTCTAGGCTTTGCAGAGGCAACCAGTCTGAAAATGCCGGAATCAAAACTAAGCTTGATTTATAATCTCAAAGACGTAAAATATGTGTAGTGATGTGTTTAACTTTATGCCTGATTTTTAAAATGTTTTGCATTTATTATTTCTTTGCAAGGCAAAGAGACATACAGAGATCTTGTATCTGCTAGCTCATTTCCCCACATGTCTACAACAGCCAGGGCTGTTTAGGCTGAATCTCCCACTTGGTTGACAGAGACCCAAGTACTCAAAGCATCACCTGCTGCCTGCCAAGGGGTGCATTAGCAGGAAGCTGGACTCTGGTGTGGAGGAAACCCAGGCCTGGACTGAAACCCAGGCCTTAGTGGGACATGGGGGTGTCCCTGCAACACCAAATACTTGCCCCATGTCTGATTTTTAATGAAAAGTTGGCCTCTGTGTAAGTAAAATACTACATTGGCTAGTCTATTTTGACATTCTAAAATAATTTGTAAAAAAAATGACTTGCTTAATAATTTTCTGTCTAAGCAGTAGCTTTTTTGGTTGATAAATACGGAGTAAAGTTTGGTCTCTGGAGAGAAGCTGTTTTATTTAATTTTTTCCAACCAAGGGATATCATTCAGTTTGCCTATGATTGGTCCTTTGGTTCTCGAGTTACATGTTGGTCTGTTTGTGTTTCCATAAGAGATTGAGGCTGGGGAATGCGATTGGCCCAGGCAGTCTGGACAATAGTGTCAGTGCTTCAGGTCCACTTGAGTTTTGTTAGAGTAGGCAGGATTATGATGGCGTGACCTTAGGTAGAGAGGGAAACATGTTTGCTATATTTCAAGCCACTATTCATTTAGGGGTCGTGCCCAGGACATACTATAAAGTTATTGAAAACTAGACACTATCTAGTTCAGAGCCCCCTTTCGTATTTCAGATCTAAAGCATGGCAAAGGTTTTATTTTCTGATCGGTGTCCCACAGCTGGAGTACCCCAAAAACACCTAATTGTCACTCTGTAGCAGCTTGTGTCACCTAATAACAACCCATGGAGTGCTGTTGTCCTTTATCGGTTTTATAATACTTTTTTTAGTTTTATTTTGACCTATTTAGTGGGTCTTCTGAGAGATGCCTTAGGGTCAGATGGCTTAGAGGTACTTCAACAGGGACACCCAAGAGACTCACTCTAACTATACTGATCTGGAGCTTGCTTCCTCTTCTCTGTTGCTCTCCATACATCACAGGGGTATCCCCCAAGTTTAGGTTCTGCTGAGTGAGAAGTCCCAGATGCTATATACCTTACAAACTAGGATGCTTTGGACAAATCATGTCACTTCTCTGGACCCCTGTGCCTGTGAAAAATAAAGAATGCTGTTACTTCCTGTGCCTGCCTTCCTCACAGGGATATGTTGGAATGAAGCAGACAGTCCACAAGGCAGGGCCATGGACACCATAAATCACGGAAAGCATAGAAGATGTTGTAATTTATTACAGCTCCAGTCACAAAAAATCCCATTAACCCAGACACTTTGCTTCAAACCCTAAGCCTTTTTGATTGATAAATGCTGAGTAAAGTTTGGTCTTTGGAGAGGAGCTGTTTTATTTATTTTTTTTCCAACCAAGTCTGTAAAACCTTGGAGGAGAAACCCTTTTAACTCTTTTATGTTTTGACTAATAATGAGCAGAGGCCTTAGATAAGATCTGCTCTGAGGCCCGGACACCATCAGTGTCATTTCTGTCCACCACATGCACAGTTTGGAGTCTGGTAGCTAATCCTGCACTAAACCACTCTGCATAGTGACCAGGGTCCACAGCATCTGTAGAAGTCTGTGTTTTTCCCTCACTGTGGGACGTAAAGCTCCTCTGTGTGTGTTCTTCATGTATTCATTTTCCTGCCACACCCAGAGCATGAAATGAAAGCAGGGATAAAGGCACGATCATCTTACAGCAACAGAGATATTTTTTGCAAAGATGTTACAATGAGATTTTTTTCTGTCCAATTTGTCTCTTGTTTTCTCAGTAATCTAGAACTTCATGTGAAGTACAATTTTCACTTTGGAGGAAATTTTTATGGTATGTCTGTAGGTATTTACTGTGAAGAGTCTTTTAAAAGTAAAGGGGAAAAAAAAAACCAGTTGAGAAAAACATGATTGTCATTCTTTCACAAACATTCTGTTATATTTTATACCATTGGTAAGTTAGAACTGAGCCATTCTTTGCTACAGGGAAAACTGAAATGTTTCAAAACTTTGCATTTTAGCTTTAAAGATTATGCAAATGCTGCGTTTCATGTAGCAACACATTGCTGTTAAAACCTAATGATATTGATCCTTAAATCTTTCTAGGAAAGTAGGCCTTTGTACCCTATGAGGGCGTATACCTGAGACACCACCATGTCCCACAGGGAGGCATGGACATGTCCTCTAAAGTGGAGATGGGAGGTGCTCCTGGGAGTGAACCAGTGCACGGAAGAGCTCCCTGTTTCTTCCCTTTCTCCCTCCCTCCAACTCTGCTTGTCAAATAAGTATGAAAAAAATATATATATATATATGAGAAACTAGATAATTTCCTGGCATCTGTTTCAACCAAGGTGTGTTTTCAGATTTACTCACAAAGGCATCGAATCCCACAACATGATTAGAACAGGATCATGAAATTTTGTAACCACAGGGGACCATGAGATGTAGAGCTCAAGCCTTTCATTTTCACATGAACAAAGTGCAAACAGGTTGCAGTTTGACTTAGAGACAGGTGGCTTATCATTCTATTCCCAAGTCTTCTAGATAGCACTTAATGGCCTGGTAGTCCACACAGATCTTTAGAGCCTATCAAGGTGCAGCTTTTATTTTATTTTATTTTGTTTCATTTTATGTTTTAATGACATCTATCTGAAAGTTACAGAGAGCGGGAGAACTAGAGAAAGGAATCTTCCATTCACTGGCTCTCTACCCAGATGGCTGCAACACCACAGCCAGAACCAGGAGCCAGCAGCTGCTTGGGGGTTCCCATGTAGGTAGCAGGGGTCCTGCACCTGGCCATCTTCCTTGACCTTCCCAGGAGCGTTAGCTGAGTCTCTAACCAGTACCTATGTGGGATATTGATATCACCGGCAGTGGGTTAACTTGCTGTGCCACAGCACTAGCCCCAGCGTGCAGGTTCTGATGCAAAAGGATTGAGTCAGCACCCATTACTCTACGTTCCCAACAGTGATGCTGAGCTGCAGATCGGTAGAGCCCACTTGGACTTTCAGATGCTAAAGCTCCTTTCCGAAGTGTGACCTATATGCATTCACATGATGCCAGACCCTTCAGCCTACCATTTTTCCTTTGGGAACAAGCAACCTGTGTTGATAATAGTATACTGGCATAACACAGGTGAATTTCAGAAAGCTGTCATCTGCTTGACCAAGACCTTCCACACACAAATTCACATACAAAAAGTAAATATGATTTGTTGTACACTGTGGGGTTTATCAGTCAACCTACAACAAACTGGAAGTAATCACTAGGAAATAAAATTGATGTTAAAGAATCCTGGCCCAATCTGAATCAGTACCAATAATGTCTTAAAGACAAGTGCTTTTCTCCAACTTTGTGGGCATCTGTACAAGCTGATGCACATCAGGAGCTGTGAGAGTTTAGTGTCTTTATGACAGCTTTCTCAGGTGCATTAGCAGGAAGCTGGATCAAAAGTGGAGCAGCAGAAACTCAAAACAGCACTCTGATAAGGATGCCAGCGTTGTGAGCAGTGACTTCTGTGACTTGACTTGCTGTACCACAATGCTGGCCTCAAGTGTAGCATGTATTAGTAACTCATTGGGTTTATGACAAGTATCTCTTAGTCATAAAGAAGTAGGAAAACTGCAAAGTAGGGTACTGCGCTACAGAAAAGATTTACATTTGGCAAACAGACTTCACTCAGTGTTCTTCAAGCATCAATCACAGAGAATGCATTTAATGGAGAACTGTCCAATGAGTATGAGTCCAGCCATACTGATTACTCTGTGATGTCCATTTCCATATGCCTGATGCACAGCGAGAGCTTGTTTATGAGGGTTTGATGGTGGCTCTTTAGATGGTAAGTCTCCCCTAAAGAGGATGCTGTGTCTCATGGTGTCATTCTGTTGTCTTCAAGGTCGCTCAGAAGGTGTTAAAGAATGCTAAACAAGCTTGCCAAAGACTAGGCCAGTACAGAATGCCATTTGCTTGGGCAGCAAGGTAAGAGAATATTTTGTACCTCTCTGTAGATGAAGAGAGATGCATAGATAGGTAGAAGTGCATATTCCGGGGGGCCAGAATCAAAGATTTGAGTTGTAAAACTGAGAAATAAACTCTAAATCTGAAAAAATAATTTAATAGGACCACAGGGAAGAAAGATGCTAGTCTGAGAATTGCTATCTATAACCAGCAGGTGGATAGGAGTGCTTGCTGCAAAACTGACCTTCCAGGGATGAGCCACTCACGCTGTGAGTGGTAACAACCAAGAAGGTCTGCAGTGGCGTTTGACTGTGTATGCTGCTTCCTCAGCATTAGCTGTTTGCTGAAACTGGTTTCTATGTAAACTGAGTTAGTTCTGTTCATCTTCATTAATGTTTTCTGTGTTTTTAGATAATGAGATTTCTCTTGGCAGTAACCAGTGGAATAACAATTAGTCTATGCATCAAAGCCAGAGCTAAATGGCAGGTTTATTTTAGTCTTCTGGAAACCCATTTAAAAAATGTTGTTTTGCTATTCTAGGACATTGTTCAAGGATGCATCTGGAAACCTTGACAAAAATGCCAGATTTTCTGCCGTCTACAAGCAAGACAGCAATAAACTGTCAAATGACGACATGCTCAAGTTACTTGCAGACTTTCGAAAGTGAGTTTCAAGGTCACCTAAATACCAGAGATTGTGTGGTGGGGATGGGAAGAGAAAGAGGCAGCATCGTGTAAATTGCTCAACTCATGTCTCTGGGTATGAGGCATGGGGGTAGATCGTTTCCTCAAGTCCTAGGGCAGGAAGAAAGAGTGCAGAATCAGAATAGTCACTTGGTTCATTTGAATGATATACAGGCTATTTGAGTGGTGCTGTGCCTTGGGGAAAGAGAGCAGCCTACCTGAGGACCTTTATTGAGAGACAGGTAAGGCCTCAGCAAAGCACCTGAAGTGGAAATGGGAAGGGGCTAATTTAGGATATGCAGGGGAGAGAAGGTTGTTAGGTCTTGGCATCCTGACTTGGGTGGCAGAGAGGGGAGTGTGGAAGGAGAAAGGTGTGAGTAGACATCTGGGATAAGTAGCTCCCAGGCTTCTGACTTGCAAGATGGAGTGATTTGTGGTGCCGTCAAGTGGATGGTGGGGAAGATGATAATTCACATAGTCCTTGCTGTTTGCAGGCGTGGTTCTAAGTGCTTTCTCTACATTAATGAGCCTATCCGTTTCCTAGGACTGCAGTAGCCAAGTGCTACAAGCCATGTATTCTAAAGCAACAGAAATTCATTGTCTCTTAGTTCCCTGTAGCAAAAACTCAAAATCACCACAGTATCTGGGCCTCATTCCCTCTGAAGTTTCCAGGGAGGATCCTTCCTGGCCTTGACTGATGGCAGCATCACTCCGAGATCTACCTTGGTCTTCACGTGGCTATCTTCCTGAGTACTTTGTCCAAATGCTCTTTATATGAGAATGCCAGTCATGCCAGATCAATGTCAGCTCCACTGACCGACCCCATCCTAACTGAGCACCTCTGCAAAGAGTGTCTTCCCAAATAAGGCCACATTGATGGATGCAAGAGGTTGCAACACCAACCACTTCTTGCAGGACACAGCTCAGCCTACATCATGAGGCCACATGGGACTAAGTCAGGTGTCCACTGTCCTGCGGTTGATGGAGTGTGGTCTGAGTGCCTGGGCTGTCAGCCACTGTACTGTTTGGCTGCTCTATCTGAGCATGGAAAACTGTGCCACTGGTCTCCCTTCCTAGGGGCATGAAATCTATAGTTTTTCTGAGTAAATTCTGGGAACAAGTGCTGAGGGCATTAGAAGATAAGTTAAAACAATGTCCAAGCAATGTGAATTAATTATTTTATGCCCCAGATATCTTTTAGTCTTAACTTTGTTATTTGAAAAATAGATGTCAAAATGGAGCTCTCACTTGTTTGCCTGGACCACAAGATTGGCTGTGTTACTTTTTTAAACTTCAATTTTTTTGTCTTTTTCTTCTCTTTCATGATAGAAGAGATATAGATTTTAGGCTCAATAAGGTCTGAAAACCTGTAGATGTGTTGTTAGTAAACATCTAATCATGTCCATGTTAAGAGGCAGCCAACATGACAGAATCCTTTATCAAGATTTTAAGAAGTGGAAAGTCTGAGATGGATCAAGGAGTCTTTAAGAAAGTGATGAAGTGTCAAGGTCCTTTTCAATTAGGCATTTCTACAGTTTTTGCTGTATTGATGTCTTCCCTGTTGGGAACTTGAAGTGTCAGCCTTGGTTAGACTGTCACTAAGGTTGTACACTTCCCTGTGTCGTTAAGGTCTGCCAGTCCAGCCAAGCAGTGTACATTTTCGCTGGGTTGACTGTGAAAGAACCCATCCCAGCTCACTTAAGCAGTTAGCAGAGAGAGGTGGGTGAAGAGTGAGGTCTGCTGTGGTAGCCTTCCTGGGCTCCTGAACCACACACGGGGTGTGTCATTTAGGCACCTGGATGAGGTCAAAGGGTGTGATCAGAGTGCAGCTGGATCATCGTGAATCTGTTAGCATTTGTAGAAGGATAGTTAGGAGAATGGTGCTTCATTTTTATGTCTACATACTAGGGAATTCTTTCCTTTGTGAATGTACTATCTGTTTATGATAGAAATTTTGAGACATACAGAAGAATAAAAGGATGACAAATGACTTACTTTTAGTTTTACCTTTCATAGAGGACCATGCTGGACTTTGGGGAAAGGGGATATTTTCATTTTTTCTGTGTCTCTTTTTAAATTTATTTGAAAGTCAGAGAAGGAGAAAGAGCATGCTGTTACCCACATGATAACAAATGCCTGCAACACCCAGTGCTTGTCTACTATTAACTCTTCTCCCATTTTTGTACATTTACACTGTTTCTGACTCAAATTACAAGTACGAGAATATTTTAGAATGCTTGTTGAGATAAAATTAAAAGATAAGCATATTTTTTGCACAAAATCTTTGGAAATCCATATACAATTTTTGGTAGTATATATTTTCCATGAATTCTTTAAGATTTAACATATCCATTGCTTTTTAAGTCTTTTTTGCACCAAAGTAAGTAACTTTTAATTCTACTTCCCATGAACTTTTTTGAAGTATTCTTGTGTAAACCACAGTTAGCATTAAAAAAAAAAACCCTTATTATAGGTTGTAGTATATTATCATGCACACAAGTACTATATTCCTATACAGTAGTTATTATCATTTTAAAATATGAGTTCCAGGAAACTTTCAGCCTTCCTTGTAGGAATTTTAGCTTGGTTACATTTGGGGCCAGTTCTGTGGCATACTGAATTAAACCATTCCTGCAGCACAGAGGAATACCCACAGTGAGTATCCCTGTAAATACAGTTGGATTCCCAGATGCTCCACTTTTGATCTCGCTGCCTGCTAAATCACCTGTGAAAACAAAGGAGGATGGCTCCAGTACTTGGGCTCTTATACCCTCCTGGGAGACCTAGAAGAAGCTCCTGACTCCTGGTTTCGACCCAACCCAGCCCCTGTGGTTATAACCATTTGGGGAGTGAACTAAGGGGTGGAAGACCTTTTTTTTTATCCACCCTCATGCCCTCTTTCTCTTTTCAAATAAGTAAAATGAATCTTTAAATGAATCTTTAAAAAAAAAAAAAGACTTTGTTACACTTAAATTGCTTGCTGTATTTTCCCTCACTTGACTGTCATACAATTCATAATAATCATGATGATGCTGATTTAGGAAAATGGACATTCTGTTGCTGGGGTGGGGGGGCAGAATATATCTGTGAAACCTAATATTTTGGAGGAGGTATTTTATATATTTCCTTTTATATGAAGAAATGAGCAGGTCTAACTAGCTAGATGGAAGACAGGCATAAACTTAGTTGTACAGGATATGTAACAAAATATCAGTTATGCTTATCTCTGAACAGTGAGTCTACAGGTGATTCTTCACTTTCCACTTTATAGAGTTCTGTCACTTACATGAAGTTTAAAAAAATCAAATGTTTGCTTTTAAAAGATTTTGACATATTGGAGGTTGGAACCCTGCCTCGAAAGTTACTTTCTAGGCAGGTTCCTGGGACTTGCCCCTAGTGACAGTTCTACCATAGCCCCAGCTTACCATCCTTTCTTCCTCAGTGGATGTTGGACAGAGGGGCATCACATTGTCACTTAGGGCCTGGGCGGACAGCCCACAGCCAGGCAGGTTCTGACCTGGCCACTATGTCTCCTGCCTGTGCTTAGGCCTGATGAAACAGCACAGAGCATGCGCTCTAGGTGGCCAGGTAGAGACAGTCAGTCCCAAAATTGGGGTCTGATGTGCATAGCATCAGAAGCAGTAGCAGTGTTAGTGGAACCCTGCTTTCCTGAAAACCCTCTGGGAGCCCTGCTGTCTACGCCATCCTCTACAGCTGATGGCTAGGACCCTGAAGGAGCAATTTCCATGTTCTTTTAGACCTTAGCATTGCTACCTTGTTTGCTTTTCTTTCTTCTTTCACAGAAAATAATTTCATGTCAGGGACCTGGCAAAGCTATTGTTTCTGCTCCCGTGATTTTTTTTTCAAAATGCCAATAATGGATCAGACCGATCTCTCAAGCTGCTTCATTCTCCATGAAATAGCTGCCAAAGCTCATTAGTCACATTCTCCTTTCCCTTGCAGTCATTATCCAAGGCTGTGTTCCAAGATGGAATAAGAAAGCAGTTCTGTCAGATAGAAGGTATTGTTGACATGTGTCTTCCAAGATATTTTTTCATAAAAAGGAAGACTTGATATTTTATACTTATTCATTGTATGGTATCTTTTCTAACTTAGGGAATCATACGGTATGACAAAGTGTGTGAATGCAGAGATTGCTTTAAAATGTTAGCCTTTTTTGAAGATGCTACTATGTTAATTTAAGTTATAAAAGTGCTAAGAATTTTGCATCCACTACTTAGTGCACCTGTATTTATAGTTTCATTTTCTTGCATGCAACTTTTACATTCTTAGTCCCATTTTATTCTGATGAGGCTGAACTCAAGTCATGGGAATGGCATGGCTTTTCTGTAAATCTGTGGACCTAGATTCCACCAAGCTTGTGTGTCTGCCCCACTGTATTCCGTTTGCGCACCATCAGGCCATGCAAATCACAAGCACGGTGTGTACATTGCCCCTTCTTTGTTTCTGCTGGAGAAATTTCACTCATCCTTCAAAGCCAAATCTGTGGCACAGTGCTGTGTTAGGAAGGCTGGGATGGACTGCTGGACTTCTAGCTTAGTCTCCTTGTTGCTGTGTTGTTGTTCTTCTTCTTCCTTCTTTCTCCTTCTTCTTGTTTTGATTTGAAGACAGATGTGTATGTCTGCACATGCACACACATTCATGTTTTTCCTGCTGGCACCTCTCCAGAAGCCCTCAGCAACACTCATGGCAGAAGCCTGGAACCAGGAGCTCAGCATGATAGCCTAGCCACTAAAGTCCTCTCCTTGAACACGCCAGGATCCCCTATGGGTGCCGGTTCTAATCCCGGCAGCCTGCTTCCCATCCAGCTCCCTGCTTGTGGCCAGGTAGAGGATGACCCAAAGACTAGGAACCCTGCACCCACAGTCATGTGTGAGATCTGGAAGAGGCTCCTGACAACTGGCTTCAGATCGGCTTGCCTCCAGCCATTGTGACCCATTGGGCAGTGAATCATTGGACGAAAGATTTTCCTCTCTGTCTCTCCTCCTCTCTGTATATCTGACTTTTCGATAAAAATAAATACATCTTAAAAAAAAAACGATAGGAACCTTTCTCAATAGGAGAAAAACAAATGCCGAATATATTGGCCTCTGAGCTTTCATGTTTTTTGGCAGTGTTCAAGGAGGAAATATTAAGCAGGTGGCTCATGAAGACCCATGTGGTAACATTCTGTTTTCTAGGAATAAGTGTGTCATATTGAACAAGTCATTTAACCACACTTCTGCTGTTTTAAATTGGGTTGCTATGCTGGTGCAATTAAAAATAAAGACTAGCAAAATCTATTTTATATATTTTATGTCATGATACTGTATGAACAATCCAGAAAAGGATTCCACATGAATGTGAATTTGTTTAACCTCTGGAATAATTAGATGCTAGAAATTGTGATTCATGGGCTGGTGTCAGTGTGGAAATGAACTTGCATAAGCTTGAGAAAGGTCCATTCTTCATAATATTCTGTATGGTGCTTCTGTTTTTAGCAGTGATTCATATGAGTATATAGCGTACTGATTAAATGTGAAATAAGTCTTAAGGAGCATCTGCTTCAATAGATATTCACATCTGGACTTAGAATTTTGATCAACTAGGAGTAACCTAAATATTGGAAAATAAAATTTCACAAGGAAAAAAATTGGAATCCTACTTTACATTCCAAAAGCATAAATACAGGATAAAGAAATGTAGTGTATTAAGGATATGGAAAAAAGGATTTAAGGATATGAGGTAATCATGAATTTAATGTGGGTCGCTAGAGTGGTATGAGTATTCAAAAATGATAGCACTTGCTGTGTTAGTAGAAGAGTATACCCTAGGAAACTGGACGATGTCTCCACCCCAAGCCAGCCAGACCATACCAGGTTCTGAGTCTAATGATTCAAATAGTACATCCTTCTGGAATAAAAGTGGCATTGGAGGAAAGTGCAGAAGTGCTAAAATGGAGGACTTTTGAATGTGTGGTTGCTTCATGTAGATGACTAACAGAGAAACATAAGACCATTTGCTGAGCAGAAGCTGCAGAGAAGCAAATTTCACTATTCTGTGAGAAGGAGCATTCTGGTGTGAAAACAGCTTTGCTGAAAGTTCACCTGACCCTAGAAGGTCAGTGTATCAGATATGTGAGTGGAGATTCTGTTACTGGACCAAGTCAGACCAAATATAAACAGCAGTGTTGGTTTAATTGAACTCCTGCTGTCCTCTCAGCAGCTTGCCATACCCAAGAAAATACCATGATTTCAGGTTCTAGATATCGATGATTTGAGCTGAGACTGGAATGGATCGGAAATGCTTTACCTGGTTTACTGGTGCAGTAGCCTTCCCTTCTCTTTCACTTTTACAGTTTCAGTTACTTGTAGTGGACCACTGTTTGAAAATACTAGATAGAAAAATTCCAGAAAAAGACAATCTATGTTTTAAATAGCATGATGACATCTCAACCGTGTAGCTCTGTTCCTTGTTGTACCTGAATCATCCCTTGGCTTGGTGTGACCATGCTGTTTACACTTTGCACCCCCTTGGTCATGCAGCAGCCACTTCAGTTACCAGGTCGACTGTGATGGAACTCCAGTGCATGTGTTCAACTAGCCATTGTTTTATTTAATAATAGCACTGAAGTACAAGGGTAGTAATGGTCGCATTTTTATTACAATTATTCTTTATTGTTACCAGGCTCTTACTGTGCCTAATTTAAACATTGTAGGTATGTATGTATAGAAGAAAGTATAGTTTTACATGGTTCTGTAGTATCTGCAATTGCAGGCATCCACTGAGGGAACTTGGAACATAATCCCTATGGATAGTGGGAGTACTGTAGTCTTTCTGTACCTGTGCCATGCAACCCAGGACCACTAGGCAGGTGGCTAACCTGAGTGCTGAAAGTACAGAAGATGTACTCTATGTCTAACATATGCACTCATGTTTTTAAAAGAACACACAGTTTGGTATTGATTATATACCAAATGATAATAAGTTAGATCTATTGGGCTAAATATAATATTCTGTGGAAATGAATTTTACCTGTTTCTTTGTAATGTTTTGTTTTTCACGTGCTGCATTCTGTTTCTCTTGGAGATGCTGCTCTGGTATTCAGGTTTTAAGGTTCACCTGACCTGACAGGTGTTTGATTTTTCTCTTTTGTTTGTAGACCTGAGAAGATGGCTAAGCTACCTGTGATTTTAGGCAATCTAGACATCACCATTGATAATGTTTCCTCAGACTTTCCTAGTAAGTGCAAATTCTGTGTAAGAAACAAAGATTCTTTGGATTTTTGGTTTTTTACTTCAGCTTGGACTGTTTGGGATATTTTTTCCAGATTATGTTAACTCATCCTACATTCCCATGAAGCAGTTTGAAGCCTGTGCTAAAATTCCAATCACATTCGAAGTCGAGGAATTTGTGCCCTGCATCCCAAAACACACTCAGCCTTACACTGTCTACAACAATCACCTTTACGTTTACCCCAAGTACTTGAAATATGACAGTCAGAAGTCTTTTGCCAAGGTAACTGGACATTGAGGTTTCAATTTAGAGATCAAATTGCTGCCTTAGGATTTGGCCTGCCTTGTTCTTACATGTACGTATTCTGACTTGTTGTTGGTTTTTGTCCCCTTTATTCTTCTCTTACTATCCATATTGCCACAGGCCAGAAATATTGCCATCTGCATTGAATTCAAAGAATCAGATGAGGAAGATTCTCAACCCCTGAAGGTTTGTTTTGTTTTGATGTTCATCTGCATGTTCTAACACCTGCGTGACACTGGGCAGCTGAAGCAGTTTAGCACATCTGAATTGACACAAGTCAAAAATATACTGTAACCTGTCACCATATAGGCTGAACTTCACAGAATATTTATTGACTGATTCTTGCTTCTGAGGGACTATTTTGTTGTTTTTGTAAGGAGTTAATATTGTTATGTATATCCAATTCATCAATCACATATTGTGCACCAACCATGAAAGAAGTATTCTGTGGGTACTAAGAATTAGAGTGTGAATAGTATTGGTAATAGAAATAATGAAAGTAGATCAAGGATGATAGTTACTAAATGCTTATTGTAGAATGATAGTGGAGGAGTATATATCAGTGTGTTAAATGCTGCTCAACCACAGGCAGGCATCACTGTTGCATTTGTTTAATTTTTCTGATTCTCCAAACAGTCCTTGAGTTGGATGCAGTTATGAAGTTCATTTTTCATGTAACAAAACTGATGCATTGAACTTAAAGCCTGTGAAGGCATGCATTCATGAGACTCAGAGCAGGCACTCTGGCTGTAACTATGTGAAAATGGTTTTCCCAGAAGGGATGGAGACAGAAATACAAAAATGAATACAGTCCACAGTGAGCGGGAAAGGCAGTCCTGGCCAACAGAGGGCACAGAAATAGCTTTAGGACACGCCTGAATAATAAGCATAGAGAAATACTGAAGGCACACAGAGGAAGGAGTTGATAATTTCTTAAAGGAAAACAAAAGATCATCTTTGGTATACATAGAAGTATATGTTATTCCACGAAAGCAGTTGGATAAGCAGAAGTATGAGGTTGAGCTCAATGTACAAGGCATTGTCCAGAGCTAGGAAGTGAAGGGGTGAGCACGGGAGGAGACCAGCATAGCTGGAGGTGAGCTGGAAGGTGGCTTGCAGGACAGGAACCTGTGCAAGAACTCCATCTGTTTGGGTAAGGATATGCTGTGAGCACACTGCTCTGTTTACAGCACAGCTGAGTATAACTTCTCGCTCCACTAAGTAGACACTAGTGTTTGACTTCATGAACTTTGTTTCAGTGCATTTATGGAAGACCCGGTGGACCAGTGTTCACGAGAAGCGCCTTTGCCGCAGTTTTACACCATCAGCAAAACCCAGAATTTTATGATGAGGTGAGTGCTGTTGTAAAGGAAGAACCCAATTTGACCAATTTTATGGGACAATCTGAATTATTTGCTTGGTAAATCAAAATTTGAGGGAAGCTGCCTAATATGCAAAGATATTTGTTTACATCCTTTTTTTTTTCTGATTATGAAAGTAGCATCCAGGCCCAGTGTGATAGTCTAATGGCATGCACCAGGATCCCATATGGGTGCTGGTTTGTGTCCCGGCTGCTTCACTTCCCTTCTAGCTTCCTGCTTGTGGCCTGAGAAAGCACTCGAAGATGGCCCAAAGCCTTGGGACCCTGCACCTGCGTGAGAGACCTGGAACAAGCTCCTGGCTCCTGGCTTTGGGTCGGCTTAGCTCTGGCTGCTGCAGCCACTTAGAATGGAAGATATCTCAGTAGATCTGACTTTCCAATAAAATTTAAAAAGAAAGTAACATCCATTGCTAAGAATAAAATTTTGAGGGCTGGCATGGTGATGTGGCAGGCTAATCTTCCACCTCCACTGCTGGCACCCCATGTGGATGCTGGTGTGTGTTTTAGCTGCTCTTTGAGCCAGCTCCCTGCTTAGGGCCTGGGAATGTGTCAGAGAACAGCTCAAGCCTTTTGGTCCTACACACACATGGGAAACCAGGAGGAGGCTTCTGGCTTCTGGATCAGCTCAGCTCCAGCTGTTGAGGCCATTGGGGAGTGAGCCAGCAGATGGAAAGTTTCTTACTCTCTGTTTCTGTCTATAAATCTTTCAAATAAAAAGTTTTAAAAAGTCTTTGGAAATGTAGATAATATGGTAAAAAGTGGCATTACTACCACAATTGATATTCTGGCTTGCTTACTTTCTCTCTCATTCAGAAGTATTTGTGTATTTGACTGGATGAGTTACAGAAAGAATGGGAGACACAGAGTGGAGGGGGGATTCCATTCTAGATTGCTCCCAAAGGGCCGCAGCAGCCTAAGCCAGGCTGAAACCAGGAGCCTGCAGTTCCATCCTGGTCTCTCCTGTGGGTAGCAGGAGTCCAAGCATTCACCCCCTCTTCTGCTGCTTCAGCAGGCAGCTGGATTGGAAGTAGAAAAACTGGGATTTTAATGGCACTCCTATGCAATACTGCTGAACCTCATTGACAGCCCCTGTTTTCTTTCTGGTTTGTATTTTTGCCACTTACATGTGGTTAGGGGACATGAAAATCTTTTTACAAAAAAAATCTATTTATTTGAAAGGCAGGGTTATTTATTTGAAAGTCAGAGTTTACAGAGTGGAGGGGAGAGACAGGAAGAGAGAAATCTTCCATTTGCGGTTCATTCCCCAAATGGCTTTAGTGTCTGTAGCCAAACTGATCTGAAGTCAGGATCTTCTTGCAGTCCTCCTTCTTGGGTAGCAGGGGCCCAGGCTATCTCTGCTATTTTCCCAAGCACATTAGTGGGGATCTAGATTGGAGGTGGAGTAGCCGGAGTCAAGATGCCAGATGATATGCAGGCATCATGACACATTCACCGGATGTTCCACAACAAATCTTAACTTCTTTATTATTACGTCTGTTTACATAGAATTATTAGTTTATTAAAAGTACTATATGAATTATATCTTAGTCTTTAAAACAATTTATTTATTTGAAAGAGTAACAGAGTGGGAGAGAAAAGGAGAAAGAGAACTTCCATTCATTGGTTCACTCCCCAATTGCCCGCAACAGCCAGGCCTGGGCCAGGCAAACCCGTGAGCCTGGATCTCCCTCTGGATCTCTCAAGTGGGTTTAAGCACTTAACGTCCTCATTCACCACCTTCCCAGACACACTGGCAAGAAGCTGGTTTTGAAGCTGGGACTCAGATCAGTGCCGTGATAAGGGCTTCCCAAGCAGTGGCTTACACACCTACTCTGTAACAGTTACCCCTCAGTCTACTTTGAAATGTCCTGCACTGACTTTTTGTTTTTAATATATCATCTTGACTGTGTTGAGGTAGCATAGTATAGTGGGCACTGTCATGCATCTTTTCAGCTCTTTCTGGGCTGAAATACCGATCAGTCCTCCTTTTTTTGGTCAGTGGAGTCAAGGTCTGTTTCTTCCTTTTCCATCCCTGGTTTCTGTGAATACAAATGTCCATAACAGGAGAACAGATACATATTGTGCATTATGTGATGCGTGTCTCTTACTTTTGCAGGGACTGTTTCATGTTTTGGAGTAATAGAATGATTATTATTTTGTCTTTCCTGCAGATTAAAATAGAACTGCCCACACAACTACATGAGAAGCACCACTTACTGTTCACCTTCTTCCATGTCAGCTGCGATAACACAAGTAAAGGAAGCACCAAGAAAAAGGATGTAGTTGAAACACAAGGTTAGAAATTTTCTTTCTTTTTGATTTTTTAAAATAATTTGCCTATTGAATTCTCAAATTGTACTTTGTTGTATCGTGATGATGAAATTGCATTCTTTTATAAAGAAGTTTTTAGATGAAGTTTGTAGGTAGCATGCCTGAATTGCACATGTAAATGTTATAAAAGAAACTTTTATAATTCTAATAGGCAAGATGTGAAAGTTTATTGTATACAGTGTTTTATAGAGTCCTTATTCAGGGGCTTTCAGATTTCTCACTCTGATTTCTACTAACTGCTCTTTTCTTCCATGGGTTTTTCACTTACAGTGAGTTTTGAGTTTTGTTTTTGCTTTTGTTTTAATAGTTGGATATTCCTGGCTTCCTCTCCTGAAAGACGGAAGGGTGGTGACCAATGAGCAGCACATCCCTGTCTCAGCGAATCTTCCTTCTGGCTACCTTGGCTACCAGGAACTTGGAATGGGCAGGGTATAGGATTTTAGCATCATTTTGTCCCCAGTTCCTTCACAAAACATTAAAGGATGTTTAAAACAAAAATGACAAAAATAACACACACAAAAAGCATACAGTATGTTTATCAGTTCCAAACTTTAGATTTTAGTTTTTTGTTATAGAGTAACTTTGGGCTTTCAGTAATCAGTGCTGGTACCACATGGTCAGAATTATGTGGGCGTCTATAAGACTGGAACTATCAGTGCCTCAGCAGGATAATAGGGACATGGAGACAAGGGAAACGTGTGTCTCCACAGATGAGCCCCATTCAAATAAAGATGGATCAGGAATTGACTTCCAGTTTAATATAATTCTAGCAAGCACATCTTTCAACTGATGTGACACATTCTGTATGTTTTCTGATTTGTGACCTGATTTTTCTCTCAGCCTTTTCCAATATTCTTTTTGGCCATCTTAAATCTTATAAGCTTTAGTTTTATAACATGTTTAGATAAAGTTCTTTTTTAATGTTGTGTTTGAATAATGCCAAATGTGGGATCATATTATGGATAGTTAAAAATAGTCCAAAAGAAAGTTAAATTGTAAAAGTTGCGGTTATGGAACTTAGTTTGAAAAAAAAAAAAAAAAGGCGGGGGGCGAGGAGCTTTCAGAGTTTCAAATAGCACAAATGATCAGCCCCAAGCTTGTGCCAGGGCCCTTTGTCTGGTTCCTGCTGCCATCGCTGACAGTACCAGCGAGGGACTCGAGGCCCAGGAGCTTCAGTGACTTGGCAGCCTTTGTGGCCCACAGCAGGGATGCAGCCATTATGGATTTCTGACATTTAAGTGTAACACGGATTTTTAAACTGGGATCCCTGGATTACATTCTCTGCCTAGTCACTGGAGTTCTTGGGCTGTTGGGCCCTCATCAGTACCCTCAGGGATGGCCATGTTAGAAACCGTAATAGCTGATTTGGGATATTTTTTTCCTCTCTGTTTTTTCAGCATTATGGGCCAGAAGTTAAATGGGTAGACGGAGGCAAGCCACTGCTAAAAGTTTCCACTCATCTGGTTTCTACAGTGTATACCCAGGTATGTGCTGTTTCATTGAAATTGGCGCTGTGGCTCTGAGGTTTCACTTCTACAGAAGAAAATCCTGATACCTGTTAGGAACATACTTTGATCGGTGGGTCTTTTTGGGAGAAGGCAAAGTGCACATATGGTACTGCTGTGTGCTGTTACAAATGGCTAGTCCAAGAAGCAACATTTTTCAGCTATTTTTCACTTTAGCTGGGCAGTTTTGTATGTTGTCATTTTTGTATGACCCATTTTGTAGTCTTGAGAACTACAAATGCTGGAAGAAGTAAGTATTTGTATTCCCACAGCATCTGCACTAATAGACTTTCTTCTTTGTTCTGTCCCCAGGATCAGCATTTGCACAATTTTTTCCAGTACTGTCAGAAAACTGAATCTGGAGCCCAAGCTTTAGGAAATGAACTCGTAAAATACCTTAAGGTAACAGATCGCACCTGTGGTAGCTCCTTTTTAATGAATTGGGGATAGGTTGGGTTTTCTGTGTAGTGGTGTTATTACTTGTTCTTGCCTGTGCTACCTCACATACTTTCCTTGTGGCTTTAGATAATGATGGGAATTGAACTTGGAAGTAGCACCTCTCTCATTTTTGTTCTGGTTCTGAATGTTGTTTCTCAAGACTCAATCTCTCAAACTCATTGTTTGCTGTGCACATAAAGCCGCTGGCTCAGCTCAGGCATCTTTGAGTGCCGTGGGGTATCAAGTACAGGAATGGTTATGGAAGAAAGCTGTTTTACTCCTCAGCTAAGGAACTTTTAATTTTGGGTTTTTATTTTTTTTTTTGGTAGGAAATAATTTAGACAAGATTACAAGTGGATGAATTAAACAATGAAGTAGTGTATGCCACCATTCCCAGCTGTGTGAGGGACTAGGTAGATTCTTGAAATTCCTGAGCTCTGAGCAGGAGGTAGAGTCTGTCTGGATAATTTCTTCTACCACGTGATTGTGGGAGGCAGCATTTTATGGAGGAAGGGTACATGCAGGGGGATTCTAGACTGTGAGGACTGGGTGAGAGAGGTGGTTGGTTTAACAAGGAAAATGGGGTGTGTGTGTGTCTATACATACTTCACCATTACGGCATCTCACCGACTGCTCTTCCTGAGTCCCATGTGCCCTTTCCTGCTTCCCTCTTCCAATTGTAAGCAGCTTTGTGATGATATGGAGCTCAGCTGGGTTGTCCCCAGGTTAAGGCCAGCTGATTAGCAGCTTCAAGTCCCCTTTGCTGTGCAACATACTCTGAGGTTTCAACATTAAGACACAGATATCTAGAAGGTGGGTGTAGTTGGCACGGGCATGGCTGCCTTCTGTCCCACCACAGTTTTCTTTCTTTGAAACTGAGCAGACAGTACACTGGGCTGATTCACCTTATAAAAGGTAACATGAACCCTGCCATTTCATGTATGCAGAGTCTCCATGCCATGGAAGGCCATGTGATGATTGCCTTCTTGCCCACCATCCTGAACCAGCTCTTCCGCGTCCTCACCAGGGCCACCCAGGAGGAAGTTGCAGTCAATGTGACGCGGTAAGGGAGGTAGACGAATGGATGGTCTTTTCCAGTCTGTTCTCATCTGGAACACAGCCATGCCTATCTGGGGTGCTAGTTGTGCTGAACATTATCCTTACAAAATGTCTTCAATCCCACATGTAGGGACCCCATTAATTCCTCATCTCCTTGTTTCCTGAATGCCCATAGCATTGTCATTGTTCTACTGCTGTGATAATAATGAAGTGTTTCCATTTCCGCATTACTATTCATTGCTTTATTCATTTCCGTGGTGTGTAGGGTCATTATTCATGTGGTCGCCCAGTGCCATGAGGAAGGATTGGAAAGCCACTTGAGATCCTATGTTAAGGTATGTAAAGCAAACTGTTCTGATCATTCCCATCCGTGGCTCTCCAATTTTCCTTCTGAGTACTTACTTTTTTCCAGTTGTGGATTACCTGGGATACTTTACACATAAGTACTTCTGCATTTTATTCTGTTCCTTGTAGCCGGTGCTTGCTTCTACCTAAGCAAAGGGAAGTACAAAGAAGGGCGGCCACTCCTTAATTTGTGTAATTTCATCCCTTCAATTACATTGTTTGAGTAGGTTTTCAAAATAATGTGACTCACATGATATGGAAGTTTAAGGAAGAATTTTCAATTGCTCTTATTAGACCTCTGATGGAGTTAATCGTCTTTACTTTTCTTCTGAAATTCTCAGCAAAACTGCTTCTCTCAAGATAAGAAGGCTAATAACTCTATGGCATATTCTAATTAGATAGCTGTGTGGACTAGCAGAAGTCATTAGGATCAGTATCAATGAGTCTTTTATTCCTGCACAACATGCAGTATGTGTGATGATGATTTCTATTCTGAAGTAACAGCAATGGTTACTGGTCTGTTCAGTCTCAAACACCTTCATGAGTTGCAGTTACATGATCATTTCAAAAATAAGGTTTGGATTCTTTTGGACATATTGGAATTCATGGTACAAATGAAGTTATGAACCCATGGTCACTGATTGGATTATGTGCCTATTTTGATGGGCTCTTGGAGAACATCCTGGGCCCTCTCTTCCCATGACATGACAATCACCCTTCCAGTCTTTATTTCTGTGTCTCTCTCCCACTCATGAAATTGTATATCGGTCCCTGATCTCTGCCCTTTGGAGCATATGAAGCTTTTGGTCTCGTTGGAGAGCCAGTACATTAAAGTCTTCTTTTCCCCTTTCTTGAAAGTATGCTTATAAGGCTGAGCCATATGTTGCTTCTGAATATAAGACAGTGCATGAAGAACTAACCAAATCCATGACCACCATTCTCAAGCCCTCGGCGGATTTCCTCACCAGCAACAAACTACTTAAGGTATGTCAGGAGCCAGTGTGGCTCTTTGTTATTGAAACAGATTAATGAAAACTCAGAGCCTCATCAATTCACCCTTTTGTGTGCCTTTAGAGTGTGTTACAACACTCTTAAAATGGCTAATAGCATTGCTTCTCCAGTAAAAACTTTGCACATTAGGAAATAGAAAAATATTAGGAAACAGAAATTACAAAACCATGTTGTATTCAGAGTTACATTGGCTTTTTAATATTTTGAAGTCATTCTGGCTTTTTTTCAAAGTCTTTATTTATTTGAAAGAGTGACAAAGAAAATGAGCTCTTTTCATGCACTGATTCACTTCCCAAATGGCTGTAATGGCCAGAGCTGGACCATTCAGGACCTAGGAGCTTCCTATGGGTCTTCCACATGGGTGCGCCATCTTCTGCTGCTTTCGCAAGTGCATTAACAGGAAGCTGGATTGGAAGTGGAGCAGCCAAGACTCAAACCAGCACCCACACTGGATGCCAGTGCTTCAGGCAGTGGCTTTGTCTACTATGCCAAGGCACCAGCTCCTAAGTCACTATTCAAGTTGGTGGAAGACACTAGTTCACTGATAATTAAGGCAGTGTCACCAAGTAAGAGATCAGGAAAGAGCAAAGCCTACACAGACACTAGCGTTGCCCCTCATTGGACTGTGCCATGCTGAATATGCACATTCAGTTTCCCTATAGCAATGTTTGTTGTCAGATATGTGCTAGCAGAAGCCATTTACCACTCACCTCTTGAGTCTGATGATGATTTGCCTTGAGATTCAGCTACATTTTAGAACCAAGCCTGCTTTAAGTCAGTAATGCAGCTAGCTTATAGGAATTCATGTATAACCTCCTGGTTTGTTGCTTTTCTTACTAGGGTCTTTTCTTTTTTTCTTCCTTTTAGTATTCATGGTTTTTCTTTGATGTGCTGATAAAATCCATGGCTCAGCATTTGATAGAGAACTGCAAAGTTAAGGTATGGTACGGCATGCACTTGGAACTTGTGTTTTCCAAGGAGAACATCTCTCAATGCTTTGTGACATTTGTAAATGATTTCTGGGTGCGGATTACAGGGCTGTGATAACTGCTTTACAAGTAGCAAATCATTTTAGCTTCTTAACAACAGTGTGAGTAATATTTCTACGGATGAGGAAATTGAGGCTAGAGAGCTTCAGTTGTTTGTCTGGAGTTGAGGCCACTATTCTGACTCCAAAGCTTACACTCCTGGACCACTAGGCTATTGAATTCACACATACAAACAGAGTATCTTTTCCTTTGACTAGTTTGGAAGTAAAGTGGAAATATTTAAGCAAATTGAAATTGTCCTTACCTGGCACTATTAAGTATCTTGAACATTGTAGGCCTTCCTCAGGTCTCACAAATTTCAAATCTTCTAAACCGCGTGAGTAGTCTTTGAGATCCTGTCTCTCTTCGTGTGTGTTTTTGCAGCCCTGTGGGTTCTTGGTGCTGAACTCAGCACTGAGCTTATTGAGCTCATCTGTGTACTGGTACCTGTGAACAAGCAAATGTCCCTTCTTGGCTGTCTCAGGCTCAAGGTGAACAACTTCTGTAAAGTCCCAGTGCTGTAAACACAGAGGATAGTGTGGCTATCCTGTTGAAGATTGAAGATTGAACTCTTGGTGAGATTCACAGTCTTGGAGTTGCCCTAGCAACAGTGAATTGTCACCATATGGTAGCTGGTAGAGGTGGGGTCTGGTTGGGAATGGTGGGGCTGCTAAAGAAATCATTCATCTGCCATGGTGCCAGGCATGGGCATGCTCTGAAAGTCAGTGTTTTTTTCATGATTCTTGTGGGTAGGAGAAAGAAGTGACTAGCAAGGGGAGTCGAGATTTAGACCTCCTGCACAAAGGTGCTGGGCTTTCAGAGGCTGCCTTAGAAAGGCTATAGATTTTTCTGGGCAGAAGGTTGGTGATTCAGAGCCTAGGCTATCCTTTCTTCCAGTAAAGTAGGTGCTGATGCCTGACCAGGTGGTTTCCCTTGATTTTTTTATTCTTTTTAAATCCAGTTTAAAAATTCTGATTCCATTGCATGAGGAGATGCCAGATGGAAGTGGGCCCTGCTTTCCCCAGAAAAATGCACCATCTTAATCATGCCAGTACAGCCTGCCAAGGAAATATCTAGCAGATCCTCCACTTGGCAGCAGGCGGCTAAGTGGATGTGCCTGCATACACACGCACACAGACTCACACACAGATGTGTCCTTTGGCTCGATTATTTTTCTGTTCAAATTATTGTCACATACAGAGTTGGATAATAACCCCTATCAGCTTGTTAGACTCTCTTGTCACAGAAATGTAGTTTCTTACAACTGAAGGGTTGAAAGTCCCAGGTCGAGGTATCTACCAATGTTTTCTGGTTCATAGTTGGTGGACTTCTCTTGTGCATCTTGGTGTCTTGCTATTTTTTCCATGGATATCTCAGTCCTAGTAGATTAATGTGCACCATAACAACCTCATGTTACCTGAATCACCTCTGCAAAGATTCAAATGCAGTCATATTCTGAGGTTCATCAGGGATTAAAACTTCAACATATGAACATGGAGGGAACACAATTCAGCTCAAGACAAGGCTTTGCTGGATTTCTCATTGTTTTAGGCTCTAAAAAATGCAACAGACTCAGGGATTACAGCATTAAATGCATCTTAGGTTGTGTGTTTATGACAAAGCGTAGTTAACTCAGCAGTTGCCTTACCTCATGAGGAGTACCTGATAGTGGTGAGCACAGAGTGCTCAGGAGTATAAGTGTGCAAGGGTAGATAGGATGCTAGGCTGTCTACCATTGTCTATGTCTACAATGCCTTGAATCACTTCAATGGCAGAATATTGGGTTTTGCAACCATTACTGAAGGACTAAACTATTATAGTGATATTGGGGAAAACAGGGACTAGAAATGGGGGTGCAAAAGAAAATCCCTCAGCTGTGTATTGAAAGAGAGTGAAGAAATGAAGAGACCTGGGGTGAGCCAAGGCTAGGAACCAGCCCCACACACTCAGGCAACTCCAACAGCCCCATTGCTGCCTTAGAAATGCCATGAAGGCCACAGGAGGGGTGGTGCAGAGGAGTGAACTTCTGGCAACACTCACAAGAAGTTTATTTCGTGAAGGCACTAATATCATCTTCCCAGGAATAAGAACTATGCTAGAAAAATTAGTGAAGAAATCTAAGTGTACATTCTTGCTCTCAGATGCGTGAGTAAGTTATAACACCTTATGGACGGTAGGGACATGAAGATACTTTCTGTCTAGCTCCCCTTTTCATCTCAGAAGTACAGGTGGAGACATAGGCTCCTAAAGTGGCGTGCCCAGAGTCACAGCCGATCAGTTAACCAGTCAGGAGCGCATGCTAGAGTTACAGTCAGCCTCTGGCAGAGCTCCGCCATTCCCAGCAACACCTCCATTACCACAAGACCGTCTGTTTGTCTTTGAAACTGTATCCAAACCACTAAAATGGCTCCCGTGCAAAGCCTTTTCCGTAACTTAATTATATGTTGGTCCTAAAATAATATTCACAGTATGTAGGTGTGTTAAAAAAAGAAAAAGTCATCCATCTACTTAAAAAGAAACATTGGCTTCTGAAAGCAGAAAAGTTAACCCTAATGTAATTCACTACAAAAAGACTTGAAAGCCTCCCTTTGTGTTTGACCATTCCCACTTTGAGAGGCTCCTCTTTGGCTGCTGCCCCACTGTCCCTGCAGATGCTGTGCTGTTCTCTCCCCTGAGTCATACATTGTTGGTCTGGGAGCTTCTCTGATGCCCTCAAAACCTTAATTGGGTAACTTAGATTAATAGAGTTTTATGTGTATGAATTAGTTCTTTCATTTTTGTCTTATATGTACTCAGAATTTGCATCTTTAGAATTGACATGTCCTGTTCTCAGATTCCAACTTTCCGAATTTAGGAAATAAGTTTCTGTCTTTCAGCCCTGTGACTATTCATGATTTCCAAAACTATGATCAACCCCTTTATATTTTTGTGGTCTCGTCTGAAGATTGTTAGCTATTATATCACTTTTTTAAGATTTTATTTATTTTTCTTGAAAAATCTGATTTACAAAGAAGATACAGAGAGGAAGCTTCCTTTCACTTGTTCATTCCCAAGTGACCACAACAGCGTGAGCTAAGCCAATCAGAAGCCAGGAGCTGGGATCCTGTTCTGGGTCACCTACATGGATGCAGGGTCCCAAGGACTTAGGCCATCCTCTGCTGCTTTCCCAGGCCATAGCCAGGGAGCTGAAAGGGAAGTAGAGCAGCCGGGATATACCCATATGGGATCCCTGCGTGTGCAAGGCTAGGATTTAGCCATTAAACCATTGTGTCAGTCCCTCTACTCTCTAATACAAGGCTGGATTTTTTTTTTAAGATTTATTTTTATTACAAAGTCAGATATACAGAGAGGAGGAGAGACAGAAAGGAAGATCTTTCACTGCCCAAGTGACCGCATTGGCTGATGCTGCGCCAGTCCGAAGCCATTAGCCAGGAACTTCCTCTAAGTTTCCTACCGAGTACAGCTTTGGGCTGTCCTTGACTGCCCTCCCAGGCCACAAGCAGGGAGCTAGATGGGAAGCAGGGCTGCCAGGGTTAGAACCAGCACCTGTAATGGGATTCTGACGCTTTCCAGGTGAAGACTTTAGGCACTAGGCCATCGTGTGGGGCTTTTTTTTTAAGCCCTCATTGGTGAGTCTTTCTTGAAGTGATATGACCAGGTATGCACCCATCCTGTAAGAACACCTGAACCTTGAATTAGTCTAGGAGTCAAACATTTTCATTGTTACTCCAAACAAGAGTGTGCAGCCCAGATTGGCATTTGGAGGTGTGGTGTCTGTCAGGCTGCTCCATGCAGGATACATTTGTGAACATCCACTGGGAAAGGGGAAAGCAGCATGCTTACATGGAGGGGTTACCTTGCACGCAGCTACGTTAGCTTCTACTGCAGCTCTCTCTTGGTTCACCTTGCCCTTCCCCAAACTAACTGCTACATTCACTTTGGGAGGCTGTGCCTCAGAGCCTCTCTCCTGGGATAAGCAGCTTCTTCATTACAGCAGATGGATCTGAAGGCCTGGATTGATGAACTACAGCTGTGGCAGACTCTGGTTTTTGTAGGTGGCAGGAGCTTGGAATTTGTAAGTGATTTTTGAGGAAAACATTAAAGCAGACCTCATCAAGGCCTGCTAAGAAGTCTTCCTTCAGCTGAGACTTCCATAGTCAGTAGTCTTTGGGTGTTTCTTTGCTGGCACTTATATTTAGCAACTATAATTTCTGTAGATTTGTTTTGAATTTTATTTCCTCCCACACTGAATCCAGCTAATTGCTGGCATTCTACAGGTGTATTTCAGGAGAAGCATTTGGGAAACCCTGGCATAGAATGGGACAAATACACACCCTTCAGTGTTATTTGTTTAGTCTTGAACCATTTTCTAGCTTAGATGAGCCAGGACTTTCATTTGTAATGTGGAAGAAAGATGATATGGTTCTTTTTCTAAATGGACTGTTTGGACAGTCCCTAAACTGAATTTGTAAACACTGTACATATGTCACATGCAGAATGTTCATATCTGTATTTCCATCTATGAGTGTTTTCAGGTTTTTATGATATTTGGAACACAGAAAAATGCACATGGAGTCAAGAATGAAACTTCACCTTTCAAGTTTACATAGGCATTGAAGAAAGATGACGTGCAGTTGGGATTTAGAGCCAAGTGCAGGGAAGTATGTTTGCATGAGCTCCAGGAATGAAGGAGGTTAATGTGGGGATAGAGACGGAAGGTGACCTGAGCCTTGCACGATGCCAGCAGGGTGGAAGGCACAGTTCTGGCCTACCATGGGAGCAGAACTCATACTGACAGAACTGCCATTGAAAGGGAAAGAGTGAAAAGACAAAATTAGCCAGAACCAAAGCACATGGGAAACTTTGAAACCAGACAGCAGAGTTTGGTAAAAATCACACACACAGAGTTGGGCCCCAAGATGAGAGTGCATTAGTAGAGTGACTTGAAAACTTTTCTGCCCGTGAGTCTGATAAGAACAGATACTACACTTGATCTTAGCCAAAAGGCCAAGAAGCGATTGCCAATGAGTCTGTATCCATCTGGCACAAACATCCTACAGAACAAATTTATTTACCCATCATTGTTTAAATATTAATTTTTTAAATCCATCACTAACTTCAGTAACCAAAAAAAAATAGAAAGATATTTCATGGTGATGTCAATAAAGGTAACAGTAGAGAGAAGATGTGGGGTTGGGGTGAGAATAGATAGATTATGAATGAATAAGGGATCAAGATAACCCAGCAAATTCCACTTCTAGCTGTTTTTTGAAGAGAAATGAAAGCATGTGTACAGACCTACATACAAATGTTTGTAGCAGTTTTATTCATAATTAAAAACAAGAAAGAACTCATGTCCCTCGGCTGTAGACAGTTAGACACTTTATACTAACTTTATGTAATTGGATGCTGCCAGTTAGTAACAAAAGCAGCAGCGTCCTCATTCTTGGAACAACGTGAAGGAATCCTAGATGCATTATATTATGTGGAAGGAGTCAAACACAAAAGACACATACTAAATGAGTTTGTTTATATGACAGTCTAGAAAGAGAAAAATGACATGGAGAGAAAAATAGCAGTGGTCTCCAGAAACTGTAGGGGTAACTGGGGGAGGCTGGAGATGACTGAAGTGTGATGATGGGCGCACAGCTGTACTTGCTTATCCAGATATGTGGCCGATATGGCACAACACTTTAAGCTGCTACTTGGGACACCTGCAGGCCATATTAGGGTGTGGTTTCAGATACTGGCTACTTTGCTACGTACTAGAGCATCCTGAGAGAGTAAATGGGAACTCACGGCTCAAGTGCTTGGGCTCCTGCCACCCACATGGGAGACCCAGATGCAGTTGCAGCTTTCTAGCTTCCTGATGTAACCATGGCCCTAAGGCCATTTGGGGGAGTAAAGCAGAAGATGGAAGAAATCTTGCTGTCTCCGACTCTTCTTCCTGTCATCCCGCCCCTTCCATAACTATCTTTTAAATAAATTAATCAGTATTTTAAATGGAAAAAGATTTTGAGTTCATATGAGATATGTGAGCAGGTTCCCAGACTCGGCCTCATTGCTTTGCTGCCCTGAGAGGTGCTCCTCTTGATCTCACTGGGTCCTCTATATCCTCACTGTGGTCAATAAGAAGAGGAAGACTTCTTTCTTTAAGGGTACAGCCTAAAAGTCACACAGATCACTGCACGGCTTCCCTAGTTGCCAGACCTGGTCACATGACCACCTGTAGCTGCTAGAGATGTTGGTAAAGATATGACTTTTGCTGAGTATCCACGCATTGTGGTAAAGCTGCGTTTCTATTACCATGAGTGAGAAAGAACAGGCATTGGAATGTGACCAGTGGCTGTTAATACAAGGACAAAGATGGCCCAAACAGATTTCCATGAGCTGATGGACATGCAGGCTTGGACAGTGGGTGAAGAGAACAGACTAAACTAGCAAAACAGGTTTAGGAGTACCAATCTGCGCAGATCATAAGCACAAGCTATTTTTCTGGGAAAAAGATTATATTCTTCTGGGCCCCCAGTTAGCATTACCCATGCGTGGGATTTTATTAGGTCCAGTGATTACAAGGGAGACTGGGGAAGTGTTTCAAGAGCTGGTAGGATGTGTAGTTACATCCAGCCGTGTTGATTTGCTTAAGGTTTGATTCTGTCTCACAAGGATACTTTGTGGCTGATACTGTTGCATTATATCAGAAGGCATGTATGTGCACATAGCCTGTTGTCCCAGTTTTGGTGGTAGCAACACAGTGGGGCTGGTTGGGTTGAACTAGGCTTTAATGCCCATTGACATGTACAAGAGCTAAAAGGGACGTGGGACAGACTGAACAAGTCTGCTATACATACTGACCAGCATGGGAACCAGGGTAGGGAGCAGGCCTGATGGGGGTTATGGAGAGTCGCCCCAACTAGGCTGCACCTCCCACTGGTTTGCATGAAGGTGGAGTATGAAGTGGGTAGGATCAGGTTGGACTGCAATACCCATCAGTTCGCGTGGAAGACATGGCTGGAAACAGAAATGACCCAGCAATTGCAACAACCAACATGTGCAAAAGCTGATTGGGAAGACGGATGGTGCCAGACCCTGTACTGGCAAACACACACAAGAATCAGGTCTGGGATCACCTCAGATGAAGTTTCTTTGGAGATCCCTCCAACTGAACTGCTGATCTCAGAACCCCAACCATGAAAAGACTATGTCAGCGAATAGATTCTGAATAGATTTCATTATTTTTGGAGCGGCAAGATTGGCAGCAATTCAGAACTGTTGAACTATCAAAACTGCTTGAGCGGGACCCTCAGAGCATGCCCCACATTGGGGACCTGGGATGGGTAGCAGGCTGGGTGGGGCTTCTCCCTTTGTTTCTCTCCTGATCCCAGATACAGGGGAAAAAATGATGTGGAAATAGTGGTCTTACCCACTTTCCTGTAGCCCTTGACCCTTTGTACCCTAATCAACTATGTAAGATTATTTTAAAAAATTAAAAGAATTTTTGAATAAGTTAAAAAAAATAAACTGCTTATGCAGTAATCAATGTGTATATTTTCAGTTTGCATACTTGAATATTAAGATTTTTAAAAATCCTATTCTTTGTAATAAGAAGTTTAGGCACCAGAATCATCAATAATGCTCAGATTTTTAAAAAATAATAATACAGAGGCCTACACCTTCTCTGCACCCCTGCTGGGCTGCTAAATCTGAATCTCTGATTACAGGCCAAGTATCCTCGTTTTTATAAACTTGCAAGATAGGTGGCTTTTATGCCGAAAGTTGAGATCCAGGCCTAATATGGTCCATATCCAAAGTACTGGAACACTTTCACCAAAGGGAGAATAATACATTTTTAACTAATTTAAAATCAATACAGTTAGAATAGTGAGTTTTAAAAAATAAAAAAGGTGAGATTTCTTTGTCACAAAAGGTTGCAGTATGTGTGTGTGTGTGTGTATATATATATATATATGCTACGAATTCTTTCTAGGTGTTGAGGAACCAGAGATTTCCTGCCTCCTATCATCATGCAGTGGAAACTGTTGTGAATATGCTGATGCCACACATCACTCAGAAGTTTCGAGACAACCCAGAGGCTTCAAAGAATGCCAATCACAGCCTCGCTGTCTTCATCAAGGTGGGTCCCACAGGGGAGAGGCTGTTGTTCACGGACCTAAGAGGTTGTTTAAGTAGAGGGACCCGTGTGGTGTAGACTCTCCAGCAGTACTGTACGTGTGTTTATGTTGAAGGATGAAAGTATTCACAGTACTGATCCTTGCTGGCTGTTTTCCTCTGCAGAGATGTTTCACCTTCATGGACAGGGGCTTTGTCTTTAAGCAGATCAATAACTACATCAGCTGCTTTGCTCCTGGAGACCCCAAGGTAGGGTGCAGTTTACACACTGTTCCTCTTGTTTGGCTGTTCTGTGATACCTCTAAAAGCCTATCTGTTCCTGTGTTTTCTTTTCCATACTAGAGGCAAAACTTAATGTCCTTCTGTTGAAAATACTTGTGCTGCATTGGATGAATATATGTGAGTTATTAGAAAAACAGTATGACACTTGGTCAAATATATCCATTGATTTTCTCCTGTACACCTGAAATGACTTCTTGCCTGCAGTACTAAAAATGCATTGAGTGTGAAGCTCGTCATAGAAGTCAGAGAAACATAAGTAAAAAATGTCTTGAAGACCCATTAAGGACATTGTCTTATGAAATATGTTCTCAGTTTTTAAATACACTTACAACCCTTTTGCAGTGGAGTTCTTCGGAAGCTAAAGAGTGGATATATTATTTCTCACCGGTTTTTGAGGACCTGTGTAAAGTGCCCAGTGTGGTATTTGGGTTATGACTAAGCGTGTTTTTTCCCGCAGACCCTCTTTGAGTACAAGTTTGAGTTTCTCCGTGTGGTGTGCAGTCATGAGCATTACATCCCGCTCAACTTACCTATGCCCTTTGGAAAAGGTCGGATTCAGAGGTACCAAGGTAACTTCATCCACAGGGATTGCCTTTTTCACAAACAGAGCTTGTCTTTTTAATAAGAGAATTGTTTCAAACCTCATGTTAGAGTTTCATGATTATTTTCACTAATAGATAAACTCATGTTAAATTTCGTTTTAAACAAGTATTAATAAACATTATCTGGAAACCTCCTTTTTTCCAAACATACCAGATTTGATCATACTGATATAATTTCTTTTTCATTGAAAAACTCCTTTGGTTTGACAATAGAAATTCATTTTATTTATTGTACTTTATTTTTTTATTTGTTTCATTTTCCTTTTTTCTTATGAATTAGCTTTTCTTTCACCAACTGTGGAGTCAATTGACACTCCTATAGGTAGGTATGGGGCGTGATGCTTGCTTTCTTGCATTTTCCCTCTCCAAAAGAAAAAAGAATGCAAGTGCTTGCTGAAATGCTTGCATATGCTATTCATTTAGGCATTTCTTAAACATTTTAATGAATTTTTAAAGTCATGATAAGCAAATGGATTTGTTTTCTCTGTAGCCAAGACACTTACTGCAGCATCCCAGTAAGGCATCTGGTATTTTGCTCTTGGGATCATTAGGTATTCTGGTACCTAGATTCGTTTAAGAAGTAAAGCAAATGGAAAAACTCCTACTTCACCCCAAAAGTGCATTCCACCCTTTCCATAGCTCTTGTCCATGGTGGTGGCATGCTTTGTCACCTGCTTTTTATGTCTGCATGTTGAGTCTTTATCAACTGTTGTGTATCCTTGGAAGAGAGTCAAGTTCATGGAGATTACTTTATCTTCACTGAATAGATCGAAGTGAATAAATTAGTCTGTCTGGTGTCAAGTAAGATTTATTGCATTTAATGCTTCATATCTGCTCAGGTTTGTTTATGCTGGAGGAGGAAAGGTAGAAGTAACTGTAGGGACATTCATTCACAGATGGATGTCTCCCTCCAGGCAGGCTTGTTCCAGCTTTCAGAGGACAACAGGGGAGACTGTGGCCCTGAGTTGGCATGTGTGCATCTAACCAATATTTACCCAGCACCAAATGTCAAGTTTTGGGATACAGCTGTGGACAATCCAGAGGAAAATTCCTGGCTATATAATAATGAAATCCATAGGGTGTTAAGAGATTGACAAATGCTAACAAGAAATAATAACATTAGGAAAGGGAATTTCCCAAGGAGTGAATGGTTGGAGGAAATGAGAGATTAACCAAGCACTCCTGTATTCTCCAGAAGGTTCTCTGAGCTGTGGAAATAGCCAGTGATCCAACATTCCCTGATCTAACCCTAACACCTCTAGTCTCAAACCCGCTTTTCTCATTTTGGTGCATCCCTGCTTATTTGAAGAATAGCCACCCTGACACCCCTCCAGCTCAGTTATGTTCATCCTCCTCAACAGCCCACACACCACAACTTCCTTGGGTGCTGGGGGAGGCTCTCCATCATCTTTCAGTGCTACACTGGGGTTAGTTGGCTCCCCCAGTGCCTTTGTTCAGTATGTCGTCATCACACACACACACTTGCCTCCTCACAGCACCTGTACTTGAGGACTGTGACTCTGCCTTCTTCTTACCTGGTAAAGAGCTGAGGGACTAGGCAGAGAACATGCTCTAATGCCCGTCTTGTTCTCTGACCCAAGAGGACCCAGTTGCTTGTCTGTGTAACTGAGTACTCATCGGACCTTCACAAGCTTTCTGTGGAATATCAGGGTATTTGGTAGCAAGAGGGGCTGATCTAGGCAGGTAGACATGGGTCATATATGGATAATTTACCTTATTACACCAATAAGAATACATCTTACTCAACATTCTTTTTCTCTCTTCCTCCTTACTGACCCTCTGCCTTAACATGTGCATGTGCAGCTGCCTACATGGGTACAGGCCTGTGTATGCATGCACACCCTGTACATACATGTACATACACACACACAGGATGTGAGTATATGCACAGTTAATTCTCAGGTAGCTTTCTCCTAAGAGAATTATATGTGAATTCAAGCTGTGGACTATAGCTTGAACAAGCTGTGTTTAATAATTATAAATGGTAAATATGGTCATTCTGAAAAAAGATGAGCATTGTTCCCCCTATGTTCAAGTGTTTGGGACTTTAGTCAATATTTGGAGTAGGTTTAGATGTAACCATCTCACATGGGATGAAAGTCAAAAAAGGGCTCCAGAGAGTGTCTTATGGAATGGAGTCGGTCCAGCCGTTCAGTTCGTAGTGCCAGCTTCCTGAAGATGTGAACCCGTCCAGCTCTGTAGTGAGGTCTAGCTGCTTTAGTTACCTTTCCTCACTAGAGTTCATGTTTGTTGCTATCTCTTTGTCTGAAGGGCTTTTAGTTTCATTATTTAGCTTGCTGATTTACTAGTTTGTATTAATTTTATATCTAGAAACACAGAAGTATTAGGGGGATATTTTGTAAAGTATTGCATTAAATCAACTTTACAGTCAGTGATAGCGGAGCAAATAGATTATGCTAATTTTTTTCATTGTAAACACTTAAACTGTTAATAGCCAGGAAACAGATCAGCAACCTCATGTAATAAAGAATGACATCATCAAGCATACGTATGCATTCTTTCATTAGTCACAGTTGTTTGCTACACTCTTTCACAGTTCTTTCAACTGTGCAGCAGCTTCAGTTTTAACCTTATACAGAATTATATTTGTAATGTAACAGACACTGTTCTTTTCCAAAAACTGTTACCAAAGCTATTGGCTAATTTTAATCATGTAGGTTGCCTAAATCTGCAAATATATGGATTTAAATTTGATTTTTGTGTGAGCATTCAGGTGTTCAGTAGAGCTGTGTAATGAAATCAGCCTTCCTGAGTTAAAGCCAAATCTAACCCTGTGTTGACACCAGGGAGGGTGGCGTGCAGGGGATGGGCTATAGTTTGTATTCAAAGAGCCTTGTCACCTCCTTAACTAAAGTACCTGCCATCCTCCTTTCAGACCTCCAGCTTGACTACTCCTTAACAGACGAGTTCTGCAGGAACCACTTTCTGGTGGGACTGTTGCTGAGGGAGGTTGGTGCCGCCCTGCAGGAGTTTCGGGAAGTCCGTGTGATTGCCATCAGCGTGCTCAAGAACTTGTTGATAAAACATGCTTTTGATGACAGATATGCTTCCAGGGTGAGTGGGACCCAGCAGAAGGACGTGTGTGCTCAGTGTCCTTTATTTTAACGGACATGAAGAAAGTAACCAAACAGAAAACCTGTGGTCAGATTAACTAAGACTCCCGTCAGATTTTGAAATAAAATCCGATGTCTGTCTTCATAGGCAGACAAATAAAAGAGGTGGCCAGTGCCAGCTGAGTTGGCCATGTGTTGCCAACCAGCAGTGGCACTAAATAACAAGGCACACTCTTGAGGGTCTGGAAAAACAGGAACTGCCACCGCAACTGGAACACAAGACGAACGAACCTTTCTTGCCGAAAGCAGGCTGCTTATATATAGCTCTCCACCGGTCACTTCTCCCCGTGGGTACACTGGGTGCTACCCGATAGGCCAGTAGCAATGATATAATTGCAGCAAGGGCATCAGCCTATCCCTGTGACTTCCTGTTTGCCTACTGGTGGGACCAACCCCGCCTCCTGGCCCTCGGCCAGACACCATCTTGTGACAGCCTATCATATGCGTTGGGTCAGCTCAGGCGCACCGCTCCCCATAGCCATGCTGGTCCCAAGAGCCTGGGCATGAACTTACCGTGTGGAAATGTCTTCATTTCAGAGTCATCAGGCGAGGATAGCTACTCTCTACCTGCCTCTGTTTGGCCTGCTCATAGAAAACGTCCAGCGAATCAACGTGAGGGATGTGTCTCCTTTCCCTGTGAACCCAGGCAATGTACGTAAGCATAGTCCTGTAGACGCAGCAGTGTGATGACTTAAGGCAGCCATAAGGAAATGCCACAAGCCAGCTGGCTTGGAACAAATGTGTTCTTTCATGGCCAACATCACAGTGTTGGTTGAGTTTGGTGGTTCTTCTGGAAGAATCTCTTCTGAGCCTCCCAGTTGGTGTCTCACATTATCTGTAGCAGCCCTTGGAATCCCTGGGGCATTGTCTCCCTTGACCCCAACATGGCCTTCTCATGGCCTTCTCATGGTTTGTGTCTCTGGCTCTGTGTGCCATCTCCTTTTTTAAGTTGTGGGTTTAGGGATCATCCAATCTGGCCTCATCTTAACCTAATACAGCTAACCTGCATTAGATACAGTTTCATTCTGAGGTTCCAGAAGGACACGGACTAACAGAGAGGGGAAGGAGGCAGGGAACACTATTCAATCAGGGTACAGCCCCCTCTATATTTACCTATCTATTTATTTATTTATTTTCAGTTTGGCAATAAAGCCATTATGTAATTCATAGTCCTCCTCTTAAGTGGTGTTTCTGGCGGAAATGGAGTCAGTGGATAAAACCTTCTTCCTCAACTCTTATTTAAAATCTTGCTTTCCTGCTGCCGCGGTGTCTTGAAAAGCCCTAGCATTTTCATGTGTACATTAAATTAAAATGTATGGAGGAAAGGCAAAGCAAGCTATGTTGACCTGTGTCCTGCAGGAGCTCATTCTAGCCCCATTTGCAATAGTGATCTGTTCTGCATTTTTAGCAAAGCCACTTCTGTGGCTACAGTTCCTTTCTTATCTGTAAAATTAGAAAATTACAGTCTCAGTAGTGCCAAAGTGAGGGGCATGAGATTGTCAACCCAAGAGTTGAACATTTTGATTTATATTGTCTTTGTACAGTCAATTAAACATGTATTAGGGGAAGGATGACCCCAGAAATTATTGCTAAGCTTTCTGGTTGACAATTTTTTTTACTCTGTAATACATACTAGTTTGTCTTACTCAAAAAGGATTTTTAGTGTCATTTTAACAGTACAACTTTCTCCAATTACAAAAGACTTTAAATACTAACTCATAATAATGTATATTTTTAGGTTGGTAGAAGTTCTATCAATTAAAATGTATATTCTTTGTCTTTCTGAACCTCTTTTCATAGCCCCAGAGGACTTACCTGCTTTACTTTGGACCAACTCAACAATTTCCCTTTCCTTCTAGACTGTGAACTGGCTCTGTTGTTGTTGTGGCATGCAGTGAATTCCCAGGCCTGTGTCTGTCCCTCTCCTCGCCCACTGATGTGTGGTCCCATTTCCACACCACTCTTCCCCTAAGAAATGTCCCGTTGTGATGACCCATGCTTTTTAGATTATCTTTAATCTGTTTAAAAGTACTTCTGCTGCTCTCAAAGTTGTAAATTTTCATTATGCTACACAAAACTCGCCCATCTCTTCCTCTAACACACTGTACTTCACATTCAAATGTTCTGTAACGACTTTTCTAACCAGAGTACAGAATTCGGGGCCACATGTGTAATCTTTGTATTGTTGCAGTCTTGAGAAAAACAAACACAAGGCCATTCTTTGGACGTCACCAAAGTAAAATATTCGTTTTTGGTTTAAAAAAAATTAGCCTAATTGCTCCATTGAAAGTTCATGTGACACTCTAGACATTGACTGGTGTTGCTGCTGTTGTAACTCCCCGTTGCTCTGTGAGGTGGAGGAAGAGCCAGTGGCCAAGCAGAAAGGGCAGCAGTGAATGTAAAGAAATGCTGAATGTCTTTGCCGAAGGAGAAGCAAGTATTTTATGATTTTATGGGACAAGACTTCTCACCCCCTCTTTGATAGCCTGCACCCCTTGCCCCCTACTTTGCCCCTTCTCCAACCCCTTTGCCACTCTCACCAGCACACAGCAAGCAGAGGGGGTGTCACTTCTCCCACCCAGCTGTGTTGACCGTGCCAGACCGTTCTGTCTCCTTCCCATGCACTCGTGCTCACACAGCTAGATCACTCAGTGAGTCTCATTCAGTCATCTCTGATGTTTCCTCTCTTCCACCGTTGGCAGACTCTGAAGGAGGAATCCCTTGCTTTGCCAGCCGTGAACCCGCTCGTGACACCACAGAAGGGCAGCACATTGGACAACAGCCTGCACAAAGATCTCCTGGGCGCCATCTCTGGCATTGGTAATGCTCTGTGCTCTCACAGGCTCCCATCCACTGCTGCTTCTCGAGGTGTCTGTTCAGCTAGCTTGTCACCATGTCCCCAGAATCTTGTGAATCCTAATGATAGTGCTGTAATTCACTGGCTGGGCTGCTTGTTTTTTTTCAGTGCCTGCTAAATTGATTGTCATTGCCGTAGCAAACCTTCATTGAATGGTTTATGCTTTCAGAACGTCAAGTCTGCACAGGTGCTGAAGGGTAGAAGAGGGTCATGTTTGGGATTTAGATGACATGTGACAGGATCACTCCTAAAGGAGATAGCATTCTGTGGCCAGAAGTCAGTCTCAAAATCAATTTTCAAAAAATCTGTCCTACAACATTTTTTGGTATAAAATTGTGCAGGAAAATACATGACATACGTCAAGATTTAAATGGAATAGTTTCTCCATGAGAAAATCTTCGTATTTATGTTCTATTCACATTGAGTCCTGTCTAGCATCTTCATAAAGATAATGCTATAAATACATGTATAAATGTATATGTATGTGTGTGTCATAAATCAGACACCCTCATATGCCTAGTTCTTAGGCTACCCAGGAAAGGGGCAGGTCTATGGCGCAGAATTAACAACACACTTTTACCTAATTAATTCATGTCTTTATCACCCTTCATGAGTTGCATGTCCTTACCTTTTATATGATTGTTGTTATTGTTCATATACACTTTTATGTAGGTGATAGAATGGGGTAGAATATAAAATCAGGAACCTTCACCAGTATAAAAATTTATCCTACAGTTCTAACACTAATCCTCAATCGCATTTGAATCTGTATATTTTCATAACTATATATCCATCACTGGGCATTGTGGAGACTGAAGGAGCTAGTTCACAGAGGTGCTCTCAGCAGTGGACACTCAGCAGATGTTGGCAGGTGTTCCCCCTGTCATCTGGGGCCCTCACTCTCTGTCCTGCTCTCCCCACATGCTCAGCCACTGCTCCAGGAGTGGGGAAGGGAGCTTGTTTGAAGGGAGACAGATGTGGCTTTGGATCTAGACTCTGCCACTGACCGGTTGCCATGCCTCCCTGTCCACATCTCCAAAACAGTTCATGCGATTTGTGCAGTGCTTGGCAAGGCTATCCCCCTGTGCTGCTATTTGACGCTCATTATTGCAAACAGTCTTTTTGCATTAGCTGTGATTTATGGTCTTTTCAGTAGCCAATTGGATGAAGCCTGGAGAAGAGAATGTGTTGGAAATCTTAAGGCTTTGTCTTCTCTGGCCAATCTGTAGGACTGTTAGAGAAGTACCCAGCACTTTGTAGAAATTAGCAAACCACAGTGCGGGGACAGTATGACTACCTGACGCGTATCTGCCTCAAAACTCATCTAATTAGGCTTCAGGATTCCCTGAGAACAAAGAGATGAGGGATTATTTTTAGCAAGACCCAGAAGGCCTTATAGGCATCGATTGCTTGGGGTCATGGTGCAGTTAGGAAAAGGATTTGAGACTGACTACAGTTTCTTTTCATTTTCTCTTAAATTTCAAGGAGTTCATGACAGCCTTATTATAACCACATTCAACTGTGTTTCTTCCCATCTACAAAACTTATCTTTATAGTCCCTTCTAGGAATTCCTTCTACAAAGCCCTATGTTTGAACTAGATTTATTCTTTCATGGTTTAGAGGGGTTTTGGTTTGTTTTTCCTGGAAACTCTGGCAGCTCTTGATTTATCATCAGGAACTTTCAGCTCATTATGATCCTGCTGCTTGTCTTTCAAGAGCGGACTTATGTCTATTTAGCAGAAATCCTGTGTGCACATGCACACTGAGAATATTTCCTTTACCAATTTAATGCCGCTGGAGCAGAGAACGTGAGATTTCCTAGAACTGAACCACTACCTGGATAAAGCTACTCTGAGATTCACTTCTAAAAGATCAGCATCATGGCACCACATACTGCTGAATGTGCATGTGGAAAAAAAAAACAGTTCAGCAACTCAGGCCCAGCATGGCAGCCTAGCAGCCAAAGCTCTCACCTCATACACACTGGGATCCCATATGGGCACCAGTTCTAATCCTGGCAGCCCCACTTCCCATACAGCTGCCTGCTAGTGGCCTGGGAAAGCAGTCGGAAACAGCCCAAAGCCTTGGGATCCTGCACCCATGTGGGAGACCCACAAGAAGCTCCTGGCTCCTGGTTTTGGATCAGCGCAGCCCTGGCCATTGCAGTTACTTGGGGAGTGAATCAACAAACGGAAAGTCTTCCTCTCTGTCTCTCCTCCTCTCTGTATAACTGAATTTATGATATAATTAATTAATTAATTAATTAAGAATCTTTTTTTTTAAAAAAAATCAGCATCTGAGGCGCAGGGTTCCTCTTGTTACTCTGTAATACATTGGACTGGGGACCACCATGGTGCCATAGCTGAGAATTCTCTGCCTGTGGTGCGCACTGCACATAGGCACTGGTCAAGCCCCAGCTCTCTGCTAATAGCCTGGAAAAGTGCAGAGAATGGTGCAAGGTCCTGGGCCCCTGCACTCATGTGGGAGACCCAAAAGAAGATCCTGGCTCCCAGCTTTAGACTGGCCCAGCTCTGGCCTTTACAGTCATTGGGGGATGAACCAGAGGATGAAAGATATCCCTCTCTCTCTCTAACTTTGACTTTCAAATAAAATAAATACATTGGGCTGTTAGTACCTTTGTACAGGAGAAAAGTGAATTAAACTTTTCACTTACATGGATGAGTATATTGAGTATATTAAATAAAAACACACATGAAGAAACTAAGCATGTTTGTTTTGACTGATCCCATTTCCATCTGTTTCCCTTAAGTTGTGGCTCTAGTTGGAAATTATTCCTAAAAATTTGAAAACTGAAGGCATAGTTTGCCTTTCTCCTGAATGCTGCGTTCTAAATCAAGTGCGAAGTGCAGTTACCTTAGGAAAATTATAATTTGGCCATAATGTATTTTTCTTTTCTGTGTGAATGTATAAAAATGCCCGTAATGTTTTCAGGGATTTGGACCTGCTCCTTGTGATAGTTAGTCCTAGAGGTAAGGCCTGCTGATTTACATGTCCCAGCCTTTCTTTGTATTCTGGAATTCCTCTGGCCCTTATGTTTCTGGTCTTAAGATGCTGAGTGAGTTTTAAGGATAATAGTGGATAGACCTAAACATTTGGTAGGCAGAAGGATTTAGGACCTTGAAGTTTCAGGTCTTCCTTCTAACGCTAAAAATTATCTTGATATTGGCTGAGAAATGATAAATTTGCACCACTCCCATTAAATCTAAAGTGACTGAGTGACTTAGAAAAATGTTTGGGGGCCCGGCAGCTTGGCCTAGCTGCTAAAGTCCAAGCCTTGAACACACTGGGATCCCATATGGGCGCTTGTTCTAATCCCGGCGGCTCCACTTCTCATCTGGCTTTCTGCTTGTGGCCTGGGAAGACAGTTGAGGACAGCCCAATGCTTTGGGATCTTGCATTCGCGTGGGAGACTCAGAAGAAGTTCCTGGCTCCAGGCTCCGGATCGGCACAGCACCAGCCATTGCAGCCACTTGGGGAGTCAATCATTGGGTGGAAGATCTTCCTCTCTGTCTCTCCTCCTCTCTGTATATCTGACTTTGTAATAAAAATCAAAAAAATAAATCTTTAAGATAAAAAAGAAAAGAAAAATACATTTGGTGAGTGCTGGGGCTGACTATAGTCTTTTATTTACCTGAATTTAGAATTGTCTCAAGTTCATGACAACTGATTTGCTTACCAAAATCTGAAAATGGTCAGCCTGTGATGAGGTGCTGGTCACCAGGCATCTTCAGCTTGGGGCTAGGAGGCTGTGCTAAGAGCCACCACGCCATGACCGGAAGTCTCCTGCCATTGGCAGAACCAGGCCTTTTGGCTGGAGGCATGCCTTTGGCTCAGCATACGATGTGCAGGTCTCAAGAGTTGGTTTTAATTATACTATTTTATTAAGTTTTATCTAGGCAAGAGGCCAATCTATTACTTCTAAAATGTCTGTTGTAACAAGGTAGAGTCTGATATATGCCTTTCAGTACTATTTTTTTCATCTGGACAATACAAATGTTATTTCCAAGATTTCCTTTATGGTAGGGACTGTTCACATCAGAGATTCCCAGGTATTCACAGTATCCTTATTGTCACAATAATTTTTTCATGATGTCTGAACAGAACTGGCTCAAAATATCAGTTCTGGTCTTTAGATTTTTTAAGGCAAAATAACCTAAATACTTTTACACTGTCAACCTAATATGCATATGATAAAATAATATAATTGCATAGATTCGAAGGAAAGTTTGAATATTTTTTCTTTTCCTTTCTTTATTTTTCCATTTTCATTGAAAAGGCAGATTTGCAGAGAAAAGGAGATACAGAGAGAAAGATCCTCTGTCTGCTGGTTCATTTCTCAAGTGGCCACAACAGCCAGAACTGAGCCAATTCAAAGCCAGGAGCCTGGAGCTTCTTGTAGGTCTCCCACGCGGGTGCACAGTCCCAAGGCTTTGGGCTGTCCTTGACTGCTTTCCCAGGCCACAAGCAGGGAGCTGGATGGGAAGTGGAGCAGCTGGGACAAGAACCAGAACCCATATTGGATCCCAGTGCATGCAAAGCAAGGATTTAGCCACTAGGCTATCATGCCAGGACTAGTTTGAATTTCATTTTTAATGACAAGAATTATTAATGTGAGTTGTATGTGCCTGATAGACTCTCACAGCTTCTCAAACTTTGGAATCAGATGTACACCACTGCCCCCATTTCTTGTGCTATATTATCTTCACCTTTTCATCATAGCTGTCACCAAATGTCTAGAGCCACAATGATAGGACATCATCAGAAGGAACTTAGCATAATCTTATATTGAAATTGCAACTTCTGGCCAGTGTTGCCACAGAGTCATTGTGTTTTGCCTTAATTATATACCCATGCTACCATTCAGAGTTTGCTTGGACACCTCAGCATAGTTTGAATACTACTGGTTTGTTATGTGGTTCCATTGTTTAATTTGGTAGTTGTGGGTACATTTCTTTTTAGTCTTTTTTTATCCAATTCTAAAACAGTGTTCCTATTTCAATTTGGCAATCAAAGGTGGTTTCTGATAAGTGAATTAATATTTGCATCCAAATATTTCAGACATTTTTATTTTACTTGAGAGAGAGTTCCTCACTGGTTTATCTTCATAATGTCCACAACAGCCAGAGCTGAGCCAAGCAGAAGCCAGAGCCCAGAATTCCATCTGTGTTTCTTACAGAGATTCCTGGCAGGGACCCAGGTGCTTAAGCCATCACCTGCTACCTCCGATGGTTCACATTAGTAGGACAATGGATCAAAAGCAGAAGTAGAAGTCCAACTCGGGTATTTCAATATGGGATGCAGGTGTCCCAACCCCCTTTGACCACTATGCCGTGAGGTTATTGTCCCATGCCACTCTTGACCCAGCTTCCAAACAGAAGTTATAAGTGCTATGAAAGCAACTCCCCGTGTGGTTTACTAGTTATTTTAATTCTACTCTGTTTTACCTAAGCTTTTGTTTTGGTTTGATTTCCATGTAGCTTCTCCGTATACAACTTCAACTCCAAACATCAACAGCGTGAGAAATGCTGACTCGAGAGGGTCTCTTATAAGCACAGACTCGGGTAACAGCCTTCCGGAAAGGAACAGTGAGAAGACCAATTCCTTGGATAAGGTAATTTATTTTCACGTAACATAAGTGTTTCATAGAACTAATACATTTAACCCAAAGTAAATATGCTTCATGTTGTAGTATCTGTTGTGTGACCTATTTGTGTGTGTGTGTGTGTGTTTAAACACGTCAGTAAGCCTGTAATAGATGATCAGAACTTAACCCAACATTGGGTCCCATTTCCTGAAATGTGCCGACCCCTATTTCCAGGGTTTCAGATCAGGGCTGTGTTTGTAATAGAGCACCTGGAGCACATGATTCTGGCAGGTTGGGTAGCTGGGGAGAATTAACATGGTACCATTAAGAATCCCTGCAGCCTTCGTGCGAGAGAATGCTCTTTGTAGCACAGTTCTCGCAGCTGGACACCCATCCCAACAAAGTCCGCTCCCAAAGAGATTCCTCTTCCATACTGAGGCAGAGATATGGCTTGGTTTGAAGTTACTGTTCTCACACTGAGCCTAACCCTAACTGGTCTTCCTGACAACTCATCCTTTTTCCTTGAGATTACCGAGGGCCCAGACTACTTGGGACTTTGTGCGAAAAGCTAAGCCTTGTACTTGAGTCTGGAACCATGTGTCAGCTTGTAGAGCAAGCTGTTTTTCCCAGGTTATTTCAAGTTACAGGCCAGTGTTTGTGCCAATCCCAGGTGACCTATGTAGGAATATATTCCTGGTTCTCAAACACTATCTGGAACGCAATCCTTCTCAGCATCAGGTTGGTTATCTTGTTGCACATCGTGTGCCTGGCCGTGACATGGTTATCTCTGAACACCACTCTGTCAGGGCAAGGGTGTGTCATGATGTGCTGAACTTTCCCCTTGACTCCTCATGCCTCCCCGCGTAGAGGGAAAAGCTGCTCCGAAGGCACTCGGCTTGTGTCGTACGCAGTGCTGGAGAGGAGGAGGAGGAGAGCTGCCAGTCGGCCAGGAGAAACCGGGTCACTGTGGACTTCTCCCTTCTAACCGTCCCATCTCTGCCAGAGGAAACGTTGCCTGCTGCGCCCTCCTTACCACCGCAAGAAGTACTGAGTTCTCCCGGTGGCCTGGTGAAGCAGGCGCCGAGATGGTGCACCCACCCCGACCAGTTCTGCCACTAAGCGCGCACGTTTCTTACTTAAGTCAAAATATCCATTCATCCCTTAAGTTCAGCTTGCCTGTTACGTATGAAAAAGGTGTATTATTTTTTAAAAAAAGATGTGTGAATTTCACAGTGTTTGGGGGACCAAAATAAACTTATCTTTTAACTCCATTTTCCACAACTTCTTTGAAGTTCCCATATATTCAGTTGGCCCCAACATCTTGAAGGAAACATCTTTTTTTTCTCTATTTTGATATTTGGCCAGAAAAAAAAAATCTTTTTATTTTATTTCAGTTGAAAATACAACTTGCAAGGTTTGAGCCTCCTGCTTTTGTAATCATGAAAGAAGCTTCTTGTCCTAGTATTTTCTTTTAAAGATGCACCTGTTGGCTAGTGGCAAAACTGCCCTCCCTCTCTGCTCCAGACTTCCTGACGTTTGCTGTGTTCAGCTAAGCTGATGCTGGTGTGACCTCATCAGTTTAGAGTCTGGCAGTGCTGTGCTGAGGTGCCCCCACTCCCTGCCAGCCCCCCTGCCTGTTGTGGCCCCCAGATGACAGTACCTCAGTTGCAGGCTTACGTGGTGGATTCTCAGCAGGAGCGCAGGCTCTGCTGGCTCCAGCCACGGCAGCTGCCTGAGGGGCGGTAGACGGTGTGATGAATTTGGGTCCTCATTTCTGTCTCTGCTCCTAGCACACGTGCCTTTTTGCATGAGGTCTTACTGGGCTTTTCAGAGGCCTTGACTGTGCCTGACTCTCCCCGTGGTTGTCCAGTTGGACCAGGTCATGCCCTCTGGCTCTTCCCTCAGGAGTAGTGTGAAGCAGCGACAAGCCAGTGCTGCCCAGGAGCAGCATTTGCGTGTCTTCGGCTTGGGTGGCTTCACAGTCAGCAGTTTGCTGGAACCTTCCAGTGTGTGTGATTCATCTCCATTTTAAGAATGTTCCCCTCCAAGGAAGACAATGAAATGATATTTTCCTCCCTGGAATCTGAAAGAGAAAAATCGTCTGTATTTCTTTTTCAGCATCAACAGAGTAACACTTTGGGAAATTCTGTGGTTCGCTGTGACAAACTTGACCAGTCTGAGATTAAGAGCCTCTTGATGTGTTTCCTCTACATCTTGAAGAGCATGTCCGACGGTACGTGAAAGGAAGTTGTTTTGCTTAGTTTCAGCTCCGGACTGAGTTTGAAAGTGTTGAAAGGATACATGTTTAAAAGAATTGTCTCTCCTGTTTGAAATGTAAGTTAATTTACTGAGTTTAGTAGAAACAGACACCTTAATGTGTAAATGCAGTTTTGTTTATTGTTTTCTTTTCCTAGAAAATGAGTTTCGAAATTTGACTAGGCCTGTTTTTTAAGATTTCTGTTGAACTTGGACCCATCATCTTAACTGAAGAGCACAGAGGCTGACAGAAATAGCTTGGGATTTGTTGTTAGGATTTTATTTGTCCAACAAATATACTGGCGACTCGCATTATGATTGCTGCCTCTGGCATATTAGTTGCTTAAATCAGAAACACGTACTGTCGGAAGATCTAAGCAGGAATTCCTCCCGTTTAGGGTGGGCTGGGTGCATTCCTTTCTTTCAGAGTATGTCTGAGATTCCTGCTCTGCGTGGAAGAGAGATGTGTTGTTTTAGTTTTCTGGAACAGACACTGGCATCACAGTGGATTGTGTTTTTGGTTAAGGACTTGGTAGTCTCATTATGGAGTGGAGTGAACAGACCCAGGACTGCTATCTCTAAGCCAGTCAAGCTCCTGAGCGTGTGTGACAGGACCATCGGTGTGGTGTAACATGTGGCATACCATATTCTGATACAGTGTTACCATTCTTATCCAGGTGAAAAACATGACATTTATTTTGCCCACAGCAAATTAGAAAGTGTGCCCTGAGCTCCAGTAAGGTAACTGAATTAAATGAGCTCTTCACAAAGCAAAATGCCATTTTTTTTTTGGAGCCCAAAACCTTCCTCTGCCGCCTGTGCCTGGTGGGAGTAGGTGTGAGAATGAAATATCCGCTGGAGATATTTCTGCCCCAAAGTCATGTTTCTTTCAACTTGAGCTGCCGCGTCAGCGGCGTTTGCAGCCTGACTTGATCACTCCGATGGTGGGCACAGCCTGCCTGTCCTTAAACTGCTGAAGGGCCAGGTAGCTTTATTCTCCTGGTGATTTGTTACATTCAAATGGCCCTTTTAAAGAAAAGGAACAGATATGCCAGCTCTCCCAGTCGTGGCAACTTGCATTATGATGGCTGCCTTTAGCTACTAGTTGCTTAAATCAGAAATGTGTTGGCAGAAGACCTAAGCATTGCTCTCATTTTAGAATGAGGTGCACTTGATTGATTTAACTTCCCTTGCAGCCATGATTCTTCAAGAAGCTCAGTGACAGAATTGCTAACTTCTCCAGGTCAGCCTCGGTTGTCAAGGAGTCCTGAGCGTCCTTGCCACAATGTGCTGTTCTGAACAGTCTGGACACAGGCCCCCTGCCTTCCGGTCAGGCTCCTGGACAAGTGTAGAGCCAAAGGCCGTAGTTGTACATCTTCCCAAGTTGGAGGCATCCCTGCAGCCACCCTCACAGCTCATCTCAGATCCTAAAGACTCAGCCAGCTTTTCCCTGGATCACATCTCTTCACTGGTCTCTCATCCTTCATATAAGATGCAAGAATGGCGAGTGGGCATTGGGGCACAGCATGTTGAGCCGCAGCCTGGGCCCCCTGCACCACATGTTGGAGTGCTGGTCAAGCTGCTCCACTCTGATCCTTGTCTCTGCTGTGCATCCTGTGAGGCGGCCGGTGACATCTCAAGTGCTGTGCCCCTGCCACCTGCATAGGAGACTCAGAATGAATTCGGTCTCTGGCTTTTGCACACATTTGGGGAGTCAGCCAGAGGACAGAACATTTCTCTCTCTCTCTTTCCCTTTACCCCTGACATTCTGTCTTTCAGCAGATTAAAATTTTTAAAGCAATTCGAAAATATGTCACTACCAGATATTGGCACTCTTTGTTTAAACACTAAACTGTTAAGAGTACACTCACAGGGCCCGGTGAGGTAGCCTAGTGGCTATAGTCTTCACCTTGAATGCTCTGGGATCCCATATGAATGCCATTTCTAATCCCGGCAGGCCCCACTTCTCATCCAGCTCCCTGTTGTGGCCTGGGAAAGCAATTGAGAATGGCACAAAGCCTTGGGACCCTGCACACGCATGGGAGACCCACAAGAAGCTCCGGGATCCTGGCTTCAGATTGGCTCAATTCCGGCCATTGCAGCTGCTTGGGCAGTGAATCATCGGACATAAGATCCTGCTCTCTGTATATCTGCCTTTCCCATAAAAATAAGTAAATTTTTTGAAAAAGAGTACATTCACAGAGATCTAAATGTACATACCATTTAATAGGCCACTTTACTTCTGATCATCTGTGCTAGGGAGCTGGACATGTGTGCAAAGACCATGTAGACGGTTATTTATTGAAGCATACAGATTATAGCAAAAGGCTAGGGAGAAAGTCAATAAATGTTTCAATAGGAAACATGGCTAACTCAATACTGTGAGCCTGGGAAGGTTTGGGATAGGTTTAAGCTGTGTTAGTTAATGAAAAGTCAAAGGATAAAAACAATGTATGGTGCACAGAAAGCCAGGGAGCTATCCTGTATGATCTGACAGAGCACCCAGTGTGATCCAGTTAAAGCTCAGGCATTCCAGTGCAGCTGGTTTGTTTTCACTGGGATAGCCTGTTCTGTGTATTGGCCGCTATAGATTGGTCACTTTGGTTGGTCATTTGACCAGCTCTCTTTGGGTGTTTATACTCAGGCGTCTCCCCGCTTTGATATAGATTCTCCATCGTGTACATAGTAAGTATTAATGTTTGTCTTCTAGATGCTCTGTTTACCTATTGGAACAAGTCTTCAACATCTGAACTTATGGATTTTTTCACAATATCTGAGTGAGTACCTTTGTCTTCACCCACTGTCTTTTTTTCCCTAGAGGAAATTAACAGATATGGAAAACACTGTACAGTTAAACCAGGAATGGAATGTGGGTCACATGTGCCTTACTCCTGAAGTTCTTTCGCCTGACCTGACCCCAGTACCTTTGTGGGGTACTTCACACCCAGAAAGCAATGCCCAGGCTGTTACTGCAGGCATGGTGGTGGTTAGCAATGAGAAGCAACTCGTGATGTGTAAAAGGTATTTGAGTAACAGACAACCTACACGTGACAATGGGCAGAATCTGCTTCTCTGAGTTGACTCCAACTTAAGCACATGTGCATGGAGGGTATGTCCCATAATATTCCTACCACATCCCAGACCGCACCTCAGCATTACCAAGCATGTTGTTCTGTAGTTTAAAAAAGCCTTCTTCAACTGTACTGACACTGTTCACAACAACAGGTTAAGTCATAGCCATAAGTAGCTTTTTCTGTTACTTTAGGTCATGTTTTTAGTGCCTGATGTATTTGCAGGAACTCAATTCTCAAAGCTGGATGCCCTTGGGAGTGGCAGGGGAGAGGCTGTGGCCATGTTACCAGCAGGGGGAGTAGTTTACAGGTTGGGTTCCTGTGTCATGACCAGTCCCTGTGATTAGAGGCCTGGTTGTCCTGGGCTAAACTGAAATTCAGCACCCAAAGGAATTCATCAGACATTATCCTAGCTATCTGTTAGGAAATACATCATGTTTAAAGAAAAATCAGTGTTGTGAATATATAAAAAGAACACTGTATACGTGACATTCCTAAAGGATCAATCCATACAATTGAGCCACAAGAAAGAACTCTGTATGGATTTCAGTAAGTGTGAAGAAGCCACTCAGAGCTGTGTGCATGGCCTCCACCCCAAGTTCTAAGGCAGACAGCCTTGGAGTAAGTCCCTTACCTGAGTCAATCGCAGTTCTGCTGGTCACGGGCCCTTGTTCCCTGGCACCCAGCCACTATACAACACGAACACTTAATCATTCTCTCTGAGTTCAGAGAATCCCTGAAAACCAAAATAAAGGACTAGAGGTAGTTTGTCTTCAGTGCATTGAAAATAGTTCTATCTTCAAGTTGCCTAATAATTTTTCCATCTTCTCTGCAGAGTCTGCTTGCACCAGTTCCAGTACATGGGGAAACGATACATAGCCAGGTACCGTGGGGCATTCTAGTTTGAGAGGTTGTGTAACTTTCCATGGTACTTGGACCCAAATGCATGGGAAAAGCCACCTATGATGATTGACAGGGTTCCCACAGCAGTTGTGGAGGCGGCTGGCAGGCCCTCAATTGCCATATAGCCTCTGTTCCCTTCTTTCTCTGCATTCTGTGTCCTCTCTGTCTTGCCTCATCTCATGCATAACTCTTGGAAAGATTTCTTTAGAGGCTTGTAGCTACATCTTTACACTTCCTCCCAAGTTGTCCCTGCATCCCATGCTGTCTTCCTCCTCAGTCTATTCTCCCTTGCTCTTCTTCTCCTCTCCTTCCTCAAGGAATTCCCAGGTGTTTGACTTTCACAGGGTATTTTTACCCTTCCCACATCCCTGCAAACACCCTACCCTCTCACCTACCTTCCTTCTTTCCTAATGAAACAATGTTTGCACTCCATCCCCAATTTATGTGAACTTGCACAAACTTTCCTTTGCTTCCCTTACTGGGACTAATCCATGGCAGCTCAGCATCCTTCTGTGACTCGGTTGAGTGTTAACACTCCCTTTGAGTTCCAGCAGAGCTGGGAATTCCTTGCTGTGTGTCCTGTACCTCTTTCTTGTGGGGGGAGGGGATGGTGCTTTCTCATCTTCTGACTCCCACCTGCTACCACTCATGTCTGTATTTGGCTTTTTACCCTCTCTGAGTTGTGTGCCATTGTGTGTTATTTGTGTCTATGGGTTCTTAGTCTAAATGTCACAGTTTTCTATTTTTTTTAACATATGTAAGTATGCTTAGTTTTTAAGAAAACCTTTCAAATTATAATTTTGGTTTGTTTCTCTTGCTCTGGTAGACATGACAGGAATTAACGCTTTCTAGTCCAGTATAAAGATTTGTTTTTTATGTTAACATTGTTCTCTTCTGGAAGTGTCTGGGGGATTTTCAGAATCATGTTTTATGTGATGTAATACAAATCTTTTATTTCAAAAATAAGCAGATTTGCACTTTCCTCCTATTAATGTTTTCCATTTTAATTGAAATGTGGGAATACATGAAGTTCTCAAATCTTAACTTTTTTTTTATCACAACAGTCATATTTGTATCTGATTTCTTGAGTACTGAATGCAACTGTACACAAGGTGTCTTTATGCTAACAGCCACACACTCACACTTGGCCTTGCTCGTGGGGTGGCCAGCAGTGTGTCCTGAAGTTAGAAAGCCTACAAGAACTCTGAGCCTTCTGCAGTAATTGCTACCTCTCTCGTGGCATGATATCTGGAGAGTTAGTGCCAATGGGAAAAAATGCCTCAGCGCTTAAAACAGTGAATGTGGGAAGCTAAAGATTTCTTTCCTGACAAAATATTTTAAAATTGGACTTTGTGAACGGGTTAGCTTAGTTCCTCCCTGCCCCCCCAACAGATATAAATTCAAAAAAATTTTTTTAGAGAAAATCTGACTTCATAAGCATCCTGTATATATTTGCATATAAATCTGTGGACTGTCTTAAAAATAGACAGGCAGAGGAGTGCAGAAGTGGAGATGCTGTTACTTTGTTCCATGCACTGTGAAAAGATTTGCCCTGCTTTGTTCAAAACTGGCCGCCGTCTCTGCTGCATGCAACAAAGACCCTGACCTGTGCGTGTGAATGTCGTCAGTGTTGGCCGTCCCGCGGTGGCCGGGTGTTTAAACACTGTGCCTTCTCATTGTCACTTTGAAATCACCCAGCAGCATGCTGTTGATGGTAGCCCGTGCATGTCCCTGTACCCCTACACAATAACTCAACGAGGGAACTGTGGGCTCCGGGACGGGGGACGTGGGTCACTCCAGCACTGGTCACCTTCCCCATCTGCTCCGGTGACGGCACACAGTAGGAAGTTAGCTGTCTGATTGCTAACCCAGATCACTTTTCTGTTTTCTCTACTTGACTGCTGACAAGTTTAACAAAGTGTGTGGCTCTTCTCCTTCCTGCTTGGGTAAGAATAAAGGTGTTAAAACTGCCTCATGTAATCCCTTCCATTGCATGTTTGTGCTCTGTTTCTTCCAATGTGTTTTTTAATTAGGAAATTGTTGATTTTTTTTTTTTACTCTTTTGTAATGTGTGTAAGGAGGTGTGTAGTGTTTGACAGTGGTCAGAACATTAGCCTTCAGCACCACATTGAAGTGATGCTCGCCTTTTTAAAAGTGGCGTCTCTAGTGTAACTTCTAGACATGGAGGGGTCTCTGCTTTGGCGTGGTTTTTTGCTTCTTCATCATCAGGTGCTTTGCCATGAACAGTTAAGAGCTGCTGCCTGTCTGTCTCTGGCTGCCCTGCTGGGCTCGGTCAGTATGTGGCCTGTCTCCCTTGTGCCACGTGCTGTCTTCACTAACACTCCCCATCTCGCTGCGGTGTAACACATCTAACTTTTGCTTCTATCCCATTTCACTCATGTTGCAGGAACCAGGAGGGGTTGGGACCCATAGTTCATGATCGAAAGTCTCAGACATTGCCTGTTTCCCGTAACAGAACAGGAATGATGCATGCCAGATTGCAGCAGCTGGGCAGCCTGGATAACTCTCTCACTTTTAACCACAGTAAGTCCCATGACATACCATCGTAACAGCCAGCGTCTCTGTGCCGTCTCAGAAGGGAGAGCCCTGGCCACACCATGCCACGTCACCAACTTGATTTCTCTTCCAGCTCAGGAAAGTAGGAGGAAGAGCTCACGGCCCAGTTCCCTTCCTTGGAGGAGAGTACGAAGAGCGTACACGGGAGTGACATAATGTGGAGCACGGTCAAATGCGGCACCCAACCTAAAAGTCCCTTTGTCCCAACCCCCGAACAAAATTGGGAAGGCTCCATAGCCACATATTTCAGTCTCTTAAAGACGGCCTGGGGATTGGTGGCTTGTAGCCTTGGCAGCAGCTGCTGTACATATCAGGGTCAGATTCCTTTTCGCCCTCCTGATCCCATGCATGTAATTGACCGAGCACCCACATTCTGGCATTCCCACTCCGAGTGCGTGTTGATCCTTCCTGGCCATGAAAACGTAGAGCCCGTGAATCAGTGTATGAGGGTGTGGAAAAGCGTCCAATAACGAAGTGACTTTTTCTGTGTTTTCAGTGTGAGAAAGATATCAAGTGTGCTTGGAATTTCTGTAGACAATGGTAAGACTTAATCAGGTTGGAGTCTGCTTACAAGGCCGGCTGCTTCACTCGCAAACCGAGACCTTTGTGTTCATCTTGCCTTCCTAACTTTGGGGCTTTCTAACTTCACAATAAAAGTTCTGCCAAAACATGGGAGCATATATGAAATGTAGTTTCTAATCAGTCACCAGAAGGGACACGAGAAAGTGTGCTGTTACTAGAATTTCATTGTTGCATCTTCCCAGGGGTCTCTCAGAGAAGAAACCCTAAAAGATTTTAACTGTGCAGCACATGAAAATTTGCATGATGGTTTATAACAGTCCCATTTCTGGTGGGGTTCCATCTCCTCTCCAAGCATGACATGGCTAATGTTTTCTCTAGACAATTATTTGTTCTCATTCCAAGAACTGTCTCTAATGCATAGTTATTAATACCCTCCCATCATTTCCAATTGTAAGAACTCCATTCACTGTGATGGTCACAGCTCTTTCTCAATGCAGGCCTAGAGTAAAGACAGACAGCATGTCCACCGTCTTACATTGATTGTAGGGACCAAAACACAGCATCTCCCCATTCTTCCAGTCCAGGAAGGGTACATGTGATAGGTGATAGCCTTTCTTTATGAAATTCCTAGGCTTCGTTTAGGTCAATATGATGTCAGCACGCCACATGCTGAATTGGTAGCCTTAAAATGCCAGTTCTCACTTTTGTGCATAGCTATAAAATACACATTTTTGTAGCACACTCAAGGCTCCAACACTTGCTTTTTCCCTGTCTTGTCTGGTGGGGCTTTTTCCAGCTCTGCAGACCAGACATTGAAACCAACAAAAGGAGGAGCTTTGTTATTTTTAGTTTCCATTTCCTGTTTAGCAACAGAAATGCAGTCCCCAGTGGTGGGCAGGAGCTGCTGGACTCACTTGGCCCAAAGAATTTCTGGGACTCACTGTCCCTCGAAATGAATATTTAACCTTTGAAACTTAAGCAGACCCAGCCCCACCTTCAAAGGTCATCATAAAAACACAGAAAAGGAAAACAGAACAGTCAGCGCATGAAGAAATCATCACACGCCTCCCCCATGTGCACATCCCCTCCCACTACAAAAAGATTTTGAGGTGGTAGCTTGAATTGAAGGGGGACAGCTGGCTGGGTACAGCTGCCAGGAGCCTTGTCAGCACGGTCAGTCCCGACAGGAAGGCCCATCCTCCCTGCCTCCCTCAGCTCTCGGTCCTCAGTCACATTTCTGCTGCTGCCTCCATCCGTCTTCCTGCAGTCCTGCTCTTATGTAGCACCCAGCCGTCATCTCCTCTCTCTCAGGTGATGCACTGGGATGGTGTCCACCATTCCCTTGGCCATCTCTGTCAACTTCCAGCTTGTCAGCTCAGACCAAAAAAAGGTGCAAAGAAAAGGAAACATAGACTGTAAGCTTGTGAATATGTATATGCAAATATTCAGCCTTATTTGTCTACACTAGTACCTCGCTAGATTACAGGACATGTATGGCCACATGTCTCTCTTCTAAAAATCCTGTATAACAAATACAGTACCTTCTGTTGGATCAACCCATGTGACATTGATGCAGTATGTGAGGGACTTGCCAGAGATAACCTGGAGTCCAAAGTGAATTCATTTCAGAAAAGAATAAAAATAGAAAGTCTTTGTACTTGTGTTACCCACTTCTGACTAGCAATGGTCTTGTCAGACATTTGTGTGGCCACTAGGGGGCAGCGGAGATCCATGCTGCAACCTAACCCTTTGTGGGTCCTCCAGCTGTGGTGTTACACCACTCCTCTCCCCACATTGTCACCAGCACCCTTTAATAGTAGGACATGGGGAAAGACATCATATGCGTAAAGTCCAACAGTGACTCATTACCCCTGATATTTATTGTGATAGCAAATCATGAAAATTGCAAAGCCAAATTTCACTATAGAAAATTGTCTTAAATCTGAAAAACATCCTTAAAGGACATGGTTGTTGCCCTCTGGCGGGTATCAGTGTAATTTACACCACGCTCCTTCAGAATCAGATTGCTTAAGAGTGTTCTTGTCCCTTACGATGCCCCTCTTGGCTTTACCAGCTCCGTGGTGTTTTTCTGTGCCTGGGATGAAAGTCCTCTTGTGTGCTCGGCTTTGTCCTAGTTCCTTAATCATGCAGTCTCCCAACTCCAGCCTAATGCTGGGACAGCCGCTCTATGCTGCTATTCCAGTTTTAGGGATTTTTTTTTAAGATTTATTTATTTGTATTAGAAGGGCAAATTCACAGAGAGAAGGAGAGACAAAGAGAAAGGTCTTCCATCCACTGGTTCACTCTCCAAATGGCACCGACAGACAGAATTAGGCCTAGGCAAAGCCAAGAGCTTCCTCCAGGTCTCACACACAAGTACAGAGTCCTAAGGCTTTAGGCCATCCTCCACCGCTTTCCCAAGTTACTAGCAAGAAGCTGGGGGGGAAGTGGAGCAGCCAGGACATGAACTGGTGCCCAAATGACATACTGGTGTGTTCAAAGCAAGTGTTTAGCCACTGAGGCACTACGCCATGCTCAAAATACATACTTCTCAAACAAACAAAAAAATAGAGCAACTAGGTGTCAAACTAGCACTTACATGGGATCTTTTAAGAAGTACATGGCCAAATTCTGTATCTGGAGCTATTCTGTGCTTTTTAGCTGGGAGTGAGTGAATTCTGTTTAAATTCTTCATTGTGAAGGCCATCTCGCTTACAGCCGTCACCTGGGTACACAGACCCAGTGCGTTTTCTAGAAAGAGAAACCGAAAACCGTTACTAAAGCCTCATGAAAACTTCACCTGTGCCGAGACCCATTTTAAGTAAATGGCCGCCATCAAGAATGGGTCCCTTAGACTTCATGGAAAATTTTGATTGACTTTTTGGTCCCTTCTTCCCACCATTTGTGACCAAGTGCTTTAACAATACTTCTCAATCTGTTATCCTCTTCTCTAGCCTCTGCAGCTTACCAAGCCATCTTCTCCAAATGCACCCAATTCAGTGGACCTCCCAGCCCCTCCGTCTCCCCCATCTCCTCTGAGAAACTGCGCACACGAAAAGCAGACAGACACAGACAGAACCAGCATGTCCTCACCAGAGGGGCAATGTACTGTGATGCAGACAAGCACAAGCATCAGATTCCCCTTTTAGAAAGAAGAACTGGACCAAAGCACAGGACAATGTTTCACCGTTGTTTTAAAAGTTCATCTGTGGCTCTTTAAAGGCTCTTTTGTAACCTTCTAAAATCCATTCCGTCATTCTGTCCGTTACAGGTTTCAGAATGACATCAGGCTAGTTCACTCTGTTTTCTGCTAATGACATCATGAGCTGCTTCAGGAGTTTTTTGCCCGCTCCCGGTCTCCGCAGCTCCCAGTGCTGTGTATTGCATTTTCCTGATCAACACTGAGTGTCCTCCTCTCTGAGTGCTAAAGAAACGCTGATTCCCCAAGCAGTGAGGGTCTATGCCTTTCTTGCTCCTTGGAGAGAAACATCCCATGGTGTTTCATGAAGCCACCCTCCTTCCATGTCACCTGGGCCAGCTCCATAACCCCTTGCATCCCTGTCCATACCTCTGCTGCTACGAACCATTCATAACTTCCTCTCTCAAGTTGCGTGTCTACCCGCATCTGTATCAGCACTGAATTGGTTTTGCAGTCACATGTAGGAGATTGCAGTTTGTACTTGAATTATGTACCATTCAGCTAAATGTGCCTGGTAGCTCCTTCAAGTCCTTTCTTCCTCTTAAGCATTTCTTTCAGACATCCTGGCTTTGATGCTTTTTAATGAAAGCAAGTAGAATACTATGAGCCACACAGTCAACTCTTGATTACCTGACAGGTGACTCAGAGGACACTTTCATAGCTCACTCGCCCCGTGTGCCAGGCACTCTTCTAAGAGCATTGCACAGGTGTTACAGAATTTAGCCCTCCCTGTAGCCCTCTAAGGTAGATACCACCATTCTTATCCCCATTCCACAGATGAACAGAGAAAGAGGCCAGGGAATTTGTATAAGGTTACACAGCTGGTGAGGGCAGAGCTGGGCTCAACCCCACCTTTTATTTATTTATTTTAAAGATTTGTTTCTTATTTGAAAGTCAGATTTAGAGGGAGTCTCCGTCCACTGGTTCACTCCCCGTATGGCGTGATGGCCAGGACTGGGCCAATCCAAAGCCAGGAGCAAGGAGCTTCACCGGGTCTCCCACATGGGCAGGGGCTTAGCACTTGGGCCTCCCCACAGCTTTTCTCAGGACGTTAGCAGGGACCAGGTATGGTAGTAGAACCTGCTAGGCCACACCACCAGCCCCTCACATGATTCTCTTAACCCGGGGCTGTGTTGCTACCTCCACATGCATGGAAAACCCCTGCAGGGGCCTCGCCAGAGTCCAGGAGCTAATCGGGCAGTGCCGGTGTTAGTGGGGTCCTGGCTCCACCATGCACTTCCTGTGTGACTTAAGGCAAATTGTGGAGTCTTTATGTGCCTTTGTTCTTGCCTGCAAAGAGAGCTTGACAGCAGCCCGGCCGCCCAGTGCTGCTGAGGGGTGAAGCGAGGCAGCTCTTCCCAGAAGCACAGCCGATGAGGGCAAGCACACCATGAACCTGTGGGGTGGTGCTTGCCCTTCCTGAGGTGGAATAAAATTCCTTCCTGAGGTGGAAACATTGTTAATCTTCCTCTTCACGCACAAAATGCAAACAGGGAGACAGAGCTCTAAGCGGGGACCTTCTGTGCGTAATCAAAAGTTGACTGTGGCTCTCCCATCCCACCAGCCTCCTTTCCGTCTGAATTGCAGACACTAATGCCATGTTGTGACCCACGCAGGCTATGGACACTCGGACGCTGATGTCCTTCACCAGTCCTTGCTGGAAGCCAACATTGCCACCGAGGTCTGCCTCACGGCTCTGGACACACTGTCCCTGTTCACACTGGCGTTCAAGGTGAGTACGCACCGGCGCTGCTGGCCAGTCACTGCCGGGCGATACTGTGTTCTCGGCAAGCCTCACCAGCATAGATGACCGCTGGCGTCTTTCACTCCCTACTTTGGCTGCTGCTGTAAGTAAACCACGTGTATTGAATTCCTTCTAAGACGCCGTGCACCTGTAAATGCCTTTGCCCTCCATGCACTGAGGCCCAGCTGGTCAGCCTGCGTTGGGGACCTGGGGCTGGCAGAAAGCAAACTGTGCAGGCAGCTGCCCCCCGACTGCAGGGAGGGCATCTGCCAGGGCATGCAGGGCTTGTTAGCCCCTCGGGGAGATGACCCTTGCTTGGAAGGGCCTTCTATGTGCCTGTTCTGTCCCAGCTTTGGTGGACTCAGAGACAGAGTGGTGGAGGTCTTGCCCAGACTGCAGCCCACCATCAGCCGGTGTGTCAGCCCTTGCTGGCTCTGTCTTGACTGCTTTACCTAACAGTCGGTGATGCAGCCTATTGCATCAGGGGAGGCATGAATGGATTGCTGTGATTTGTGGAGAAGCATCTGCCCTGGGTCTAATGCCCTAGCAAGGACTCACGTGTGCACTGGATCCTTGTGACTACACGCATTCCTCCCGGGGTCTGCTCCCTGAGAACCCAGGAAGACAGCTTGAGAGCTGAGCTGATCTCCGTCACAGTCAGTAGCCTGTATGTCAAACCTACAGGTGCAGCTCAGCACGTCCTCGGAAGTACAGAGATAGGCAGGTGTGCGGTGTGGTCTGTAGCTTGACTAAACGTCAGTGTAAGTGGCACTTCAGGCTCACCCTGCTAGGGGGCTCCTGGTGCAGGCACCACTGGGATGCTCTCACGGAGGCGTCAGGGCAGTGTACCAGGAAGACTGCAGCGTGGGGTTGGCTGTACCATCTGATGCAGTGCTAGAGGTGGAGCGCTGTGACACTGACATACTTACATGTCTAACTGCCCACACCCATTCACCTGCCCAAGACAATCCAGAAACCAGTTGCTTAGTTAGGAGGGAACTTTGGGGAAATCTAAGCCCTGAATCCTGAGTGCTATTCTTATGTTAGACCTGCTGTTTTTGAGAGAATTTTCTGTGCCTCAGGCTTAAATGTTCAAAGCATCCCTGCCTCATGGATCTTAGGCCCCCATTTCACAGGCAAGTCAACTGAGGCTCAGATGAATGAGGAAATTGGCCAAGATTGGAATATGTCACTCCATTCTCTTCTTGACTAGAGTTTCCTGTGAGAGGTCTCCTGTGAGTTTAATGGGCATTCCTTTATATGTCAATTGATTTTTTCACGTGCACATTTAAGGATCTTTTCCTTATGTTCGATTGAAGAGAACTTGAGGATCATGTGTCGTGATAAAGATCGCTTTGGATCAAACCTCTGGGACTTCTGTGCCCCTCCTGGATGTTGTTTCCCAATTCTTTCTCCAGATTAGGGAATTTTTCAGTAATTATTTTATTAAGTATATTTGTAAAACCAGTTTCTCTTTCTGTACCTTCTGGGACTCCCATGACTCTTATATTAGGCCTCTTAATAGTGTCTTTCAATTCTTGAATACTTTTTTTGGCCTGATCCAGCTCTGCTTCCAGCTTTTTGTTTGCTTCCCTTTGGTGACAGGAAATATCTTCCAATCCTGAGATTCTTCCGATGATTCATTCCCCAAGTGGCTGCAATGGCCGGTACTGTTACGATCCGGAGCCAGGAGACAGGAACTTCTGTCCGGGTCTCCCAAGGCTTTGAGCCATCCTCGACTGCTTTCCTAGGCCATAAGCGGGGAGCTAGATGGGAAGTGGAACTGCCAGGATTAGAACCAGTGCCCATATGGGATTTCAGCGCATTCAAGGTGATGACTTTAGCCGCTAGGCCACGGCACCGGGCCCAAATTCTTTGAACTCTTGTATGTGGTTTTCATTGTTCATCAGAAGCTATATAATAAATTTTCTGGGGCTCGGCGCGATGGCGCAGTGGTTAAGGTCCTCGCCTTGCACGCCCGGGATCCCATATGGGCGCCGGTTCTAATCCCGGCAGCCCTGCTTCCCTTCCAGCTCCCTGCCTGTGGCCTGGGAAAGCAGTCGAGGACGGCCCAAGGCTTTGGGACCCTGCACCCGCATGGGAGATCCGGAAGAGGCTCCTGGCTTCAGAGCAACTCAGCTCCAGCCATTGCACTCACTTGGGGAGTGAATCATCGGACGTAAGAGCTTCCTCTCTGTCTCTCCTCTCTGTATATCCGCCTTTCCAAAAAAAAAAAAAAAAAAAAAAAATTTAAAAAAAAAAAATAAATAAATTTTCTGAATTCTGTGTCCCCCATTTTCTCGATGTCTTCCTCACTGAACTCTGAGGTTGGCATAAGGTTTTGCTCCTTTGCAAGGGAGTCTTCAGTAATATTCATTGTGCCTCTGTCTCTTCTTTTGCTTTCGGTCATTGTACTTCTGGGTAGCAGATTCTTCTCCTTGGGGCAGGTTTCTAAGCTGTGTCACCCACAGGTCTCAGTACGATTTCACCTATTACAGTTGGTACGCAGCTCTTTGCTTGCAGCCACTTGTGCCACTCCCTCCAGTGAGTTCCAGATCTGGGTTCTTTTTTTTTTTTTTTAAAGATTTATTTTTATTATTTTTTATTGGAAAGGCGGATATACAGAGAGGAGAGACAGAGAGGAAGATCTTCCGTCCGATGATTCACTCCCTAAGTGAGTGCAACGGCCCATTCTATGCCGATCCGAAGCCAGGAGCCTCTTCCGGGTCTCCCACACAGGTGCAGGGTCCCAAAGCTTTGGGCCGTCCTCGACTGCTTTCCCGGGCCACAGGCAGGGAGCTGGAAGGGAAGCGGGGCTGTCGGGGTAGAACCGGCGCCCATATGGAATCCCAGGCGTGCAAGGCGAGGACCTTAACCACTGTGCCACCGCGCCGGGCCCCCAGGTCTGGGTTCTTATGTTAGATTTCCACCATGGTCTCTGTATCCCCAGCTCCTGGTTCATCACTCTACACCTCCTGTTACACCGTGCTGAGGCTGCACCATTGTCTGTACAACCTTTCTCCCACTTCTGGCTGGAGCAGGCAGGTCCCAGGATTAGGGAGACAGTTGGGTGTGCTATATAGCTAGGTTGTTGATGGTGCTGATCTTGTTGAAATCTGTTTGCTGTTACGTCTGGTGCCACATGGACCTATTTTGACTCATACGGTGCCACAGTTGGTATGATTTTCCTGTGGGACCAGTGCAATCCACTGAATTCAGTGAGTTCTTGCGAGCTCAGCACATGCGCAGTTCACTGTTGTCCCCTCCAGTCCTAAAACGTTTGCCACACTGTGCAAAATGCCGCTTGACGTGCCACTACTAGAGTTCTTGACATGCTGGCCATCAGATCTGAGGGCTACCCAGACCTGTCTTGGGTAGAACCTGTAGAATGCCATGTTGCTGCAGTTCATTGAGTCAGAAAAGAGTTCACTCCCAGCTCAGCGTGTGCTCAGTCCTTTTCCTTGCCTTTGCCTCCTTACGCACAATGGCGCCCAGTTTGGCTCTAGGGGGCTGACTGGGCTGTGAAATCCACTCTGTTCTCACACTGCCCATCTGAGATTTGCCACTCTGTCTCTGCTCCTGGTCAAATCAAACAGACCAGCAGGACGGACCATTCTTTGTCTGGGTTCACCTCTGAAGCTTCCAGTGAAAGTCTCTTCTTACCTGGTTGCTGGTGGAGTTCCAGCTGCTGGTGGAGTTGAGATCGCCGTTAGCTGAATGCTGCTGGAGTATCAGCCACTGCCACACCTCACCATTGTTTTGCTGCCTGCCTGTGTCTGTCAGTCCCCAGGTTGTCCTGCCCTCTCCTATTTTCTGGAATGTTTCCTCTCTGCTTCATCCTGAGTAGTGTCCTTACCCTATTCGCCATCTTGATTCTTGATTTTCTCACATTTATAATGTGTTTGCAGTTCGATCTGAGAATATCTTTTCAGCAATGCTATTGAGTGCCTTTTCGTGATTTGCAGCTGCACCATGAGAACTAATCCTTAATCCTAAAAGCAGTAGGAACTTGAAGGACAAAGCACACACACAGGTGGTTGGAGCCTTGCCCAGGGGCTTGCAATCTGCTTTGCCCAATTGTGAACCTGGTTTCAAAGACGTGGAAGGCTTAGTTCATCATGGCTAGTGGCACATCTGAAAGTGAAACAGCTCTTCAAGTAGAATTCTTCAACCTTATTTCTGAATCAGTGTCTATTAAAGATAAATACCATAGGCCTTAGGGATATTTAGCCATCCCAGGTATCTCTAGTATCTAGTATCTCATTTGTCGCCCTGGGTTTAAGCTTGTTTTCCTGTTTATTCTTGAACCTTTAGACAGCCCTAGTAGAGCTCACTCTAAACAACCTGTTCCTAGTTCAGCTCTATGAGACTGTGTTGCAACAGTGAAGTCTGACTGGCAGATAATCCTTGGAGAATGAGTCTCCACCTTGCTGCTGGAAATAAACAGTGCCTTTAGAGTGTTTTAATTTCTGATTTAATTTCCCAGCCTCAGTAAGACTCAAAAGTAATAAAGGTAGAAATGACATACGCTGTTATTTTGTATGTGGTTATTTCTAAGTGTCTTGTCTTCTCCCCCATGGGCCTTTCTGGGTGTTCAAAGATGTGTTTCAGTTGGGTATATGTTACTTTCTAACTAATGAGGAACTCAGAAAGAAAGCCAGTTGGGAAATGAAGGAGCAGCTGGCACCCAGATTTCCCCCTTTGCCTCTAGGCCTAGGGGGTTTTTTCACATCCTCCCTTGCAAGCGAGTTTTGAGATCAGAGCCCAGACCCTGAGGAGGAGGAAAGTCTGGAGCACAAGGAGAGAAAGGAGCATTTTCACTCAAGTAGTAAGGACTTGGACACGGAAGTCAATTCAGACAGCAGGCTGGGGAGCCTTGGCACGTCTGCAGGAACTGCATCTCTGCATGGTTCCAGCCGGAGTGCAGAAGTCAAAAGTTCAGTTCCTGATTCTCCCAAACTTTGGTCCAGCTGTAATTAGGAAAGTAGATGCGCGGTGAAAAGCAAGACTTTCAAACTGCAGGGAAAGCAGTGTTCACAGGCAACGAAACATTTAACTGATTCCCACAACATGAAATTTTCTGATAAACAGCTGCTCAGTTACATCCTCTTCATTTCATTTGTCACATTTCCTGCTCATTTGAGTGCCCTCTTTCACACAACAGAATTCAGTGTGGCACCCGTGTATTTCACGATGCCAGGATCCCTGCGAGTTCCAGGTGTTCCCACAGCTGTGAGAAACCTAGCGTGAAGATCCCCTCTCAGGAGGGAGAGGCCAACAGGCAGGATTTCCTAGCCACTGGGATCATTTCGCCAAAAGTTACCTCTGTTCCTTGGACCAAACTGTGAGTTTGGTTTGAGATACTTTTGAAAACATTACAATCATTGCTACCTTTGTTCAGACAGATGTGTCCCTACTTGGAGTTTGTGCTCATTAGCTGTGTGCGCATGTGGACACAGAGGTCCACTCGGGCTCCTTCCTGGGCTGTGCCTCTGTTTACTGCTGCATTTGGCAGCGCACAGCGTTTTAGCCAGCTGGACTGCCAGAGTGCTTCCCTGCTGTGAATGCTCTGCTGACCTCAGGAAACCTTGACTGGAAGCCATTGTGGTCCTCATCTGTGTTAGAATGAGGTCCATGAGATGTTAGAATCCCACCAGCTAGCACTTACCAATGGGACCGAAGCAGGTGTCGGAGGCTTTCTGCACTCGCCCTCCAGTCTGCAGTGCGTGTGCAGTGTCCGTTTGACAGCCAAGAATGCTGCCTGGCTAATCCAAGATGCTGATCCGTAGTTAGCTGTCTAATTCCTGAGGAGGCTAAAGGGTTCCCTTTACTAAGAAGATAGTGGTCCTTTCAACTGCGTTACAGTTTATTGCAAAGTTCATTCCCAAAGTGTCGGTTTGTCTTACAAGAGAATTCTGTACTTTCTGAGAGGACTTATGACAGAATTTGTTAACATTTTAAGTTATCTGAATGCTTGGAAAATGAAACCTTTCAGCTGGAAAATTGTGTGAAGCCTAGATACGTGCGGTGTCACTAACAAATCTGTCAATGTGTTTTAAGAACCAGCTCTTGGCTGACCATGGACATAATCCTCTCATGAAAAAAGTGTTTGATGTCTACCTGTGTTTTCTTCAAAAACATCAGTCTGAAACAGCTTTAAAAAATGTCTTCACTGCCTTAAGATCGCTCATTTATAAGGTGAGCCGTTTCCCCGGGGAGGCCGGCTTTGGTAACTGTGGAGTTAGGGGAGGCCCCAACGCGCTGACCTCACTGTGTCTGCCTCTGCCTGTTGCCTCTAGTTTCCCTCAACGTTCTATGAAGGGAGAGCGGACATGTGTGCCGCGCTGTGCTATGAGATCCTCAAGTACTGTAACTCCAAGCTGAGCTCCATCCGAACAGAGGCTTCCCAGCTGCTCTACTTCCTGATGAGGAATAACTTCGACTACACTGGAAAGAAGTCCTTCGTCCGGACACACCTGCAGGTGCGTACGGCCTGGCTTTCCAGTGCAGACTCAATCTGTCAAATTGGCTGTCACGTTCACCAGGGTCCCTCCTCACATGTACCGCATGGTCTGACCCTGGCGCGAGAGCTGGAAACTCACGTTTACTGGCTTGGTTTAGTTCATGCACCATAAATGAAGATGTGGGCCCGAGATGTACTTCTGTTGGTATTGATTCAGTATTGAGCTAACTGAAATTCTGTCTTATCAAGAAGGATTGCAGCAACATTCAATAGTAACCGTCTTGGGTGAGAAGCAGAAAGCCCATAGTGACTCTCCAGTGTTTAAACATCCCAAATTTTCTGCTGTAAGAACCAGGCTGGATTTGTATTTCTGTAGAAACTCTTTGTACAAATGCATAAGAGTTCCTTTTCACCTCTGCACTTATTTCCTTCTTTTAAAACAGTGATATCTACTTCCTGCTGTGATTCATGGATACAGCTGTGAACCAAACACAGCTCTTTCTTGGCACTCATGGAGCCTACAGTCTCCTGGAGGTCACAGATCAACCATAGGGCCCTTCCACTGTGGTGTGGCTGGTGCTGCCATGGAGGAGCTTGAGTGTCTGGGTGAGGGGCAGCAGCCGAGGACCAAGAAAGGCTTCCTTGGGGATGTGTAGGGTGAGCAGGGGTTAGCAGTTGAGGATGGATGAGGTTGTCCTAAGCATGTGATGGTGGGAATTGCCTATGACAGGAGCTGGAGATGTTTCTGAGTAAAGCTTAGAGTGTGGATGACAAATTGGGAGGACACATTGTTGAGCATTTGTAGGGACCCTCCAGACTCAACTAGAGAAGCAGTTGTCAAGTCTGGGACAACGATAGTGTCCTGGGCAGTGACAGGTTAGAGGGAAGAGTCGATCAAGTGCACGCTGACTTGCTGTACCTACCTTCTAACAAAAAATAAAATGCAAAACATTTCATCCAGACAAGGCCAGGGAGGCGGATGGCAAGGTCTCCCTTTGCTTTGGAGCAGGAAGCAGGTGACAACTCTAGAGGCGGGTAATGTCATTCTCATCCTTTCATAGTCCGCCAGGTTGCATTTTGCTTTACAAGAGAAATTCTTAAGTGCATCAAGATTGCCTTCTCTAATAATTTCTGAAAGCGAAAAATACGCTCATGTGTCACTTCCTACATCCCTGAACATCCCACTACCTTTGTCCCATGCTCGTGCCCAAACATACCAACAGTAGCTGAGCCCCTAGGGGTCCCTCATGGTAGATTGATTTGCTCATGTCCGTGTGTCCGTAGGTCATTATTTCAGTCAGCCAGCTGATAGCAGACGTCGTTGGCATTGGAGGGACCAGATTCCAGCAGTCCTTGTCCATCATCAACAACTGTGCCAATAGTGACCGGCTCATCAAGGTGGGTGCTCTCCCTTTTACTCTTTACCCCCTGTACTCTGCCTCATCCCCAGACATATGTGACGTCACACAGAAAGCAAGTGAAAGCCATGTTTCCCTCCTTCTCCCACCCTTGTTTTAGCACACCAGTTTCTCCTCCGATGTGAAGGATTTGACCAAGAGGATACGCACAGTCCTGATGGCCACGGCCCAGATGAAGGAGCATGAGAATGACCCGGAAATGCTGGTGGACCTGCAGTACAGCCTGGCCAAGTCCTACGCCAGCACGCCCGAGCTCAGGAAGACGTGGCTCGACAGCATGGCCCGGATTCACGTTAAGAATGGAGATCTCTCGGAGGTAGCCCTGCTGGCCTCTTCCTCCAGCTTTTACAGGAAACTGGTTATGTTGCATTTACTGAAAGTTTACCAGTTCTTAGGAAAATTGTCCCACTAGTCAAAAAATGCCAATTAATAGTTTACAACACTGCAGGATAGTCACTTAAAAAACCCCAAGAGAGGAGCTGGTAGTCTCGCAATACAGATGGAAATGCTAGCACTGATTTGATCAGGGTGTGTGTGTGTGTGTTGCTCCATACCCCCCAAAAATTGGACAGCTATTATATGGTAATCCACACTTTTTTTTATTAAAAAACAAGAGTGAGGATTTGTTACACTGGTTAAGACACTGTTTGGAATGTTAGCGCTTCCCTTGAGCACTTGGCTTTGAGTCCCGTGTCCTTTCCTTATCAGGCCTCTTGCCACTGCATACCGGGAAGCAGTGCTGGTGACTTGAGCATTTAGGTTCCATGTGGGAAATATAGATTGAGTCTCTTGCTCAGGTTCCCAGCTCTTGGCTTCAAGCTGGCCCAGCCCTCACCATTGCAGGCACTCAGGGAGTGAACCAGAAGATGGGAACTCTGTCTCTCTCTCTCTCTCTTTCTCAGCCTTTCTAATAAATAAGAAAAATCTCATACTCAGATGTCTGTTAGAAAATGTCTGTGGCTGCTTGCTTGTTCAGCACTTTGAGGCAGTTAGTGGAAGTAAAACAGTGTTGGGCTCAGAGACTGCCTTCATGGTTATCTGAATGTTTTCATAGTTTAAAACAGATTGTAAGGGAATATTTATGTCACAAAGGAGCATTGCTTGAAAGTTCCTAAGAGTAATTCAGATAATTACCTACTAATTAAAGTTCAAATCTGCTTCCACATCAAAATTCTTATTTCTGGGCCTGGTGCAGTAGCCTAGGGGCTAAAGTCCTTCACTTGCACGCACTGGGATCCCATATGGGCGCCTGTTCTAATCCCGGCAGCTCCACTTCCCATCCAGCTCCCTGCTTGTGGCCTGGGAAGGCAGTTGAGGATAGCTCAAAGCCTTGGGACCTTGCACCCGCATGGGAAACCGATAGAGGCTCCTGGCTTTGGGTTGGCTCAGTTCTGTCCTTTGTAGCTGCTTGGGGAGTGGATCATTGGATGGAAGGAAGATCGTCCTCTCTGTTTCTCCTCCTCTCTGTATTTCTGACTTTCCAATAAAAATAAAATGAATCTTTAAAAAATTCCTGTTTCTAAAATTGAGCTATTTACAATAGGATATTTGAGCTACAGACAGGCTTTGAATGCACATCGGCCCGTTTCCCACCCCTTTGCTCCTTGTGAAGTGGGGAGCTCTCCAAGACAAGCCCTGTCCTCATGAACGCCCCGTCTGGGGTTTCTGCCCGAGACATGTAGGTGTGATATACGTTATCAAAGCCAGCACATGAGGACCTAGAAACTTCTGTGACTAGTAGCAAGATTATGTTCCAAGTCCAAGCAGCTGACCTTACTGTTTTTATATATTGATTATTCAAGGAGCCCTAGAGTGCTAAAGATACAGCATGACAAGGCCCTGTGACCATGAACTTAGCCTAACCTACACATTAGTCATAATGAAAAAGAATTAGGAGTGATGATGACGGTGCTGATAGTGGCAGTGGTAGTAACAGCTACCCACCACAGCAGTTTCTCTATCACTCTCGGAATTAAATTGTTTGAAAAATTATCTGTGAAGCCCAAATCACTTTTTAAAAGACCACCCACTAAGCTTCATTATACCTCCATGTTTTGGCGTCCTGTGGCCACCATGATAAGGTACCGCAGACCTAGTGGCATAAAACAACAAAAATATTCTGTCATGGCTCAGGAGCATTAAGTCCAAAGTCAAGGTGTTGATGGCACCATGCTGTTCTCTCTAGAAGAGTCTCTGTTCCTTGCCCTTCCTGTACCCCGTGCATCACTGGCCATCCTTGGTGTGCCCCAGTTCGTGAACACATCATCCCAACCCCTATTCCTGTGGTCTTCAGAATTCCTGCCTCCTGTGTCTGGGTCCCTATGTTTCTTTCCTGGTATAACACATTCATGTAGAGATTAGGACCCACCTTATACCAGTAAGACCCCACATTAACTATGTCTTCCCAAAAAAAACTATTTCCAAACAACATCATCTGTGAAGTCTCAAGGGGGAAAAAAATGTGCATCCAGGTAGAGACACTGTCCCACCTGGTACAGTTGTGAATAAGGGACTGACACAGCTGCCATCCAAGATTCCTTACTGCTCCAGCCATGTGAGACATTGCCGACTCACCCTGTAAGCCACCATGTGCCCGTGTGTCTGCCTTGCGCTTGCCGTCCCGCTGTGCTCTTTGGCAAGAGACTGACGGTGTAAGAAGTGAGTGCTGCTTCTCTGTGCACACCTTAGACACAGAGCAGGGAGCATGCTGTACTACTGATATGTGTGTTCACATGAGCAGGTGTGTCACGAGGCCTGGCACGTGCAGCTTGTCTCCACTGAGGGGGAGCTCCCAGGGAACTGCGCTGTGTGCTGCTGCTCGTGCATTTGACAAGGAGGGGGCTTCACGTCCAACAGTTATTGTCTCTGGTGTTTTCCAACATTGTGACATCTTGGTTTAAAAAAAAAAAAAAGGTTTTTTTAAATATATTTTTTATTTTGATAATCTTACATAGTTGATTAGGGCACAAAGGGTCAAGGGTTACAGGAAAGTGGGTAAGACCATTGTTTCCACACCAGTTTTTTCTGTATCTGGGGTCAGGGGAGAAACAAAGAGAGAAGCCCCACCCAGCCTCCCACCCGTCTCAGGTCCCTGATGTGGGGCACGCTCCAAGGGTCCTACTCAGGAGTGTAAACAGTGTTGACCTAGAGTTTTTATTTAGAATTATAGGTTTAGGAAAAATACAGCTTCATCTTTTTTCTAAATTAAAAAACAAAATAATTGCAGTTAAATGTTAACGTTTTTCTCAGAGTCATTGGAGAAGTGCACCTCTTCCTCAGATGGCTTTTTTTTCTTAATATTTATTTTATTTTTATTGGAAAGGCAGATATACAAAGAGGAGGAGAGGCAGAGAGGAAGATGTTCTGTCCATTGATATACTCCCCAAGTAGCTGCAATGGCTGGAGTTGCACTGATCAGAGCCAGGAGCTTCTTGGGTTTCCCATGTGGGTGCAGGGTCCTAAAGCCTTGGGCCATCCTTGACTGCCTTCCCAGACCACAAGCAGGGAGCTGAAAGGGAAGTGGAGCTGAGACACGAACCAACGCCCATATGGGATCCTGGTGCATGTAAGACAAGGACTTTAGCCACTATGCTGTCATGTCAGGCCCTTACAAATTTTCTTATTCCTTTATGTTAGACTTTTAAAAAAATTTTATTTGGGTTTTTTTGAAAGAGTTATAGAGAAAGAAAAAATCTTCTATCTGCCGATTCATTCCACTAAAGGCTGCCATGGCTACATCTAAGCCAGACTGAAGCTAGAATCCAGGAGCTTCTGTCACTCTTGCATACTGGTGGACAGGACCCAGCACTTAGCTATCTTTCGCCACTTTTCCCAGGCGGAGGCTGGATTGGAAGTAGAGCAGCCAGGACTTGAACCAGTGTCCGAATGGAATGCTGGTGCTTGCAGGCAGCCACTTTACCCAGTATGCCACAGTGCCAGCCCCTTACATTAAAATTTAATAATTCTAAATAGAAACAAGGTTAACATTTGCTTCAATTCCAAATTAATTTCCAAACTCTGATTTCTGTGTGTAGTTTCACGTTTTTACAATAAGATGTTAGCTGTTAAATATAGCAGTTGGTGGAGGCCTTGAGAGCTGATTGATTGCATGTATTTCTATGAGTTTTGTGACACACCCTTGAAAACAGTGATGCTGAGCCCTGTCTTTTATTATAGGCAGCAATGTGCTATGTCCACGTAACAGCACTGGTGGCAGAGTATCTCACACGGAAAGGTGAGTATAATGAATATAAATGAGTATAATGAATATAAATGCAAAATGAATATAAAGCTATACAGCAAGACAGAGACACCTGAGAACCACTCTAGAAGATGTGGAAGCAGGGTATCAGTGTGTGAATGAAGCGGGTTTATTGCTTTGTTCCCTGATGGGACAGATACTTCAGTTGGCTGCACAGCAGAAATGTCAGGATGAAAAAGAAAAGGAGACCACAAGCTGTTGTATAACTTCCTGTTGATAGCACCGTTCTGCGGAAACCAGCTAGGACCTTCGCATCAGGGGTGATCCTGGCCAACGAGTCAAAGCTTGCGAAGCTCTGATTTTCCTCTTTACTGGATCAAAAGACAGACATAATGGGAAATTTTAGACACATTTTCTGGAATGGAGAGAAGCCAGGAGAGATGCTTCATGTGTGTCCTGTACACTTGCTCCCAGCAGAGCGGGCCGTGCAGCCATTCATGTATTCCTTGTGGTTCAACACCAGTGCAGCCTCAAATGGTAGCATTTGTTTCTGAGGACCCCTAGTCCTTAGAAAGGCTGGTCATCTGCCTTATCATCCTTGGGAATAGCAGCACCAACTCAGGGCTGGTGAGCGGCACCTGTAAGTCATGGCTGCTGAGACCATGAGGTTGTGTGTTTCTGGATTGACTGACTGGGATGGCATTTTGGAGCCCACATTTTTCTCATCTGAGGGCCTGAGTGAGAAAGGAGTTATGGGTTCCATATTCATTTAATACCAGCCCTGCTTTGCACTGAGACCTTTGATCAGGAGATACATTTCCTCGTGTTTAGAAGCTGACCTAGCACTCCGGCGGGAACCATCCCTCTTCTCCTGCAACTCTAGCACCTGCCAGAGGAGAAGCCGGGGAGGTGAGCCCCAGGGTCACCCAGCCTGTAGGGGTCCCAAGCTGCTCTCTTCACATTACTGAATGGAGTGGGGACTTACTTTCTGGTTCCACTTTGCATGAGAGATTTTGCTTTCTTCCATTCTCTTCTTTTTCTGGGCTCTCTGGTTGGCTGGCAGTCTGTTCATATGGGCAACGAAAGGAAAGCACTTTGGTCACCATTTTTTGTTATTGCCTTGAAACTAAGTCTTTTTTGATGTGTTCTGTGGCCTGAGCCAGAGCGATTGGCTTCTACATGTTGTTTTCTGTATATTAATATATCTTCCAGCTGTTAGATTAATGCTTTCCTTGGGGCCTCTTTAGTTTCTGTAAAACAGGATCCAAGTAAGGCTGATCCAGGAGAGCAGTAGAGACGCTCCGTGACCCTGGAGACGCTGGGAGCCTAAACGAACAAAACCACAGAAGCAGCCTGACTTAGAGACGACTTTTTCAAGGCTTGATTTCAAAATACTCTGTTCCTCTTTCTCCCACCCCCAAAGTATGGGAGGTCTCAGTTCAGCTGGGGATTTTAAAGTAAAATTTATGAGTGGCCTTGCCAGAATAGAGCAGCAAAACATTTCAAGTCCTTCTTTTCAGCCTGTTGCAGAGCTGGCATTGTTAAGCTGAGTTAAAACCATCTCCCAGTGACCCCAACGTGAGCTGCTTGCCTAAGGATTTTGTTATCCCAGGCATCAAGCTTACTGCAACCTTTTACCATTGCCCCTGGAGGCCCTGGGAGTGCCACGCTCCCTGTTACTCCTGGGTCATGTGCAGAAGGGCCTGTCGCCACCGTGGCCAAGACCTGAGGGGAGTCAGGGCGCTCGGCTCCTGTGGTACTCTCAAGCCACATCCGAGCTCTGTGGTCTACTCAGGCAAGCAGGAAGCTCTGCTTTGGACTGCAGGAAAGAGGAAAGGAAACAGAGCTATCTTTTTATATATTATTATTATTTTTAAAGATGTATTTTTATTGGAAAGACAGATATACAGAGAGGAGGAGAGACAGAGAGGAAGATCCTCCGTCTGATGGTTCACTCCCCAAGCAGCTGCAATGGCCGGTACTGTGCCCATCCGGAGCCAGGAGCATCTTCTGGGTCTCCTACACGGGTGCAGGATCCCAAGGCTTTGGACCGTCCTCAACTGCTTTCCCAGGTCACCAGCAAAGAGCTGGATGGGACGTGGGGCTGCAGGATTAGAACTGGCGCCCATATGGGATCGTGGCGCGTGCAAGGCAAGGACTTTATTCATTACGCTATCGCGCCGGGCCCAACAGAGCTATTTCTGAGACATGGCTTTCTCTTTCATTGGCTTTGGCTTTATTTTTTCTTGCTGTTGGAGTCTCGTGGGTCATCTCACTAAATCACATTTTCCAACACTCATTATTTTATTAATTCGACAAAATGTCTATTTTGTCAACTTACCTACAATGTATATTTTGAATGCACATTAATAAAATGTAGTTAAAATTTTACAAAGGGATGGGAACACGGAGCCAAGTGAGGGAACTGTGGATGATGAATGAGGAAATGAATCAAGAAAAAGCACACAGTGGCCCCCAGGCTCCTTCATACATGCAGTCTTACACGTAAGGGTTTTTGTTTGGTATAAAAACACACAGGATAGGAAGAAGCCTTGAGATCCCATTGCTTTTGCATTACTATCGCTGTTTCTGTTCTCCCAAATTTTAGGCATGTTCAGACAGGGCTGCACAGCCTTCAGGGTCATTACCCCAAACATCGATGAGGAGGCCTCCATGATGGAAGACGTGGGAATGCAGGATGTCCATTTCAACGAGGTGAGTGGCATTCCAGTGCAGCTGGGCAGTGCGGGAGATGCCTGAATCAGCAACAGACCTCAAAGACAGTGGGGGCGAGTCACCTGCTGACTTTGAATCCGTCCTCCTTTGTGTAAGAACACGCTCCCACAACAGTGCAGCCAACCCTCAGAGCAGTTCCCCCACAGCAGGAGCCTGTGCCAGGTGTCTCTGCCAGGACCTCCACCCAGCGCTTGTCTCCAGGCACCAGGCCAAATGGCTAGAGCTCCCACCTTGGCCACTGGCAGCACCCTCCGCTCTGGCTGGAGGATCTGCGGGGCTGAGCAGCAGCTCTCTGAGTCTGCATTCTTGAGCACAGCTAGGTAAAATCCTGCAGAGTGATCATAAGGTCCCCATTCTGTTTAGCACTGAATTTCTCCAGCTCATGAGTTTCCTTGCTGCCCCCACCCCATCAGGATCCTAAGTCCTACCTCTGCTTGGGGCCTGTAACCTGGGTTCTGTGGCACATTAGAAACTAGGACAACCCTCTCCCACCCCCACAGGGATATAAAATTTGACAGTAGGTCTCTTGCCAAATATGATAGTCTTGTAGCCCCTTATATGTAACTAGGCAGTTTTTAAATAAAGCCAAGAATTTGGATAAAGACTAGTTCTTGGCTTGTATTGACCATGTCCCGGGAGCTACATCCCCTCACTACGGGTTCGACTGAGACAGCCAAGGGAAAGGTTGTTAATCCTTCTTAAGCCCAACTTTTTAAAATTTAATTTAAATTTATTTTTATTTCATAGCCTTTATTATTATTATTATTACTATTATTATTATCATTTTATGATACAGTTCCATAGGCCCTGGGATTTCCCACGCCTGCTCCCCAATTCCCTCCCCCCTCACTGAGTTCCCCTAAATTATTACTATACTATAGTTCTTCATAAGCTGTCATATGTCCATCATTGTGTTAAGCCCAATTTTTAAACAAAAATGCAGTTGTCCATTTCTTCATGTAAGAGAGAACAAATGAGAGTGAATATCTTCTGCCTTGATTTTACTTCAGTAATGACTAAAGTATGTTATCTTTGAAAATGTGTAATACTTGTTGCGTATTACAAAATTTTTTTTTTTGCTTTTTCAATTTCCATTTCTAACATTAAATATCGAGAAAGCTCAATCACAGAGACAGAAAATCTTTGGAATCCTCAATCATTTTAAAGACACCTTAGAAGAAGTTTTATATTCAAAGTCCCAAGATGCCTTCAAAATTAAAAAACTAAGCTGAAATATTAAGTGGTTAAATATTAAAGTCAACCTAACCACATTAGATAAGGCTCTCTATGTATCTAAGTGGGGAAACAAGTTGGTTATTCCATAGTGTTAACAGTTCTGTGACATCTCTACCGGGAGATAACCTGGATACATCAATTTCACCTTATTTATGCTTTTCATTATTAACCGTGAAACCTGTCGCTGAAAGCACAGAGCCCACCCACATACTGTTGGCTTCGAATTCCTCACTTCGAGGCAAATAATAATGGTGTTTCCCCTGATGGGAGGCATGCATGCCTGTAGAGTCTCCTCACAGAAAGCCATACTTGCATCATTGTGCCAAGTGAGCCCTCAAGAGCCCTGTATTTCATTTAGAATTAGATAAGGAAAGCAGTGATGCCAAGAACAATTAAAGATGGAAAAATCAAGTTTCCAGTAATGCACCGCACGGGAATGATAAATTAATCTTGAGTTTGCGCATGTGATAAAATAAAAAGCAGAAGCAGCCGCTGGAGCCCAGTGAACCAGCCTGTGTCGGACGGACGCTGGGTGTGAATGGCACCCTCTCCAACTAATCACTCAGGACCCCTGTATCAGCTGTTTCTAGGATATGGACTTTTGCCACCCTATCATTGAATCATAAAGTCGGTAAATCTTTAACAGGGTCCATGGTCCATCATGATTTGTAATGATTAGGCCGTACCATGCTGCAGTCATGCTTGTCAAGTCCTAAACAAGCCCTGCATCAGGGAGTAGAATGAATACCATGTGCTGAAAGACAGGAAATGATCTACCACTTAGTCACTGCATTGCCAACCAGGATGTTTCAAGAGAAGGAAAAATATGAAGGAGTTATCGGGCAATATGTGTGGGGCAGTAAAAATCATTGTCCAATGGTAAAACTACAAACAAAAAAATCATCCTCTTAATTTACATCATTAAATAAGTTAAATGTCTGGGATGCTTTCTTAATTTTTTCAAGGAAAGCTATCTAAAAGTACACAAAATTCTCATAGTTGCAGGTCTCATGGAAGTTTTTATTGACATCAATTCCACCTTCGCTGAGAGTGGACTCTCACCAGCTGCTTGTGTTTACATAAGAGAAACTTGCAATTCGTATTTAAAGTTTGATTTTGTGAGTCTGAGTCTGTGTATACAGAAGAATTCTACAGTCCTTGTGGTATTAGATTCAATTTTGGGATTTTTTTTAAAGATTTATATGTTTTTATTGGAAAGGCAGATTGACAGAGCAGAAGATGCTTCATCTGCTGGTTCACTCCAAAGATGGCTATAACAGTCAGAGATGAACCAATCTAAAGCCAGAAGTTTCCGCCAGGTCTCCCATATGGGTGCAGGATCCCCAGGCCTTGGCCCATCCACTGCTGCTTTCCCAGACCATTAGCAGGGAACTGGAGGGGAAGTGGAGCAGCTGGGACACAAACTGTTGTCCATATGGGATCCCATCACTTGCAAGGTGAGGATTTAGCCACTGAGCTATCGCCTCAGGCCCCAGTTTTGTGATTTTTATTCAGGGGCCTAGATAGACATACGTAGGAAAATGAAGGAAGCCTAATGAAAGAGGTGCTTAAAAATGTTCAGAGTTTAGAGAAACCAATAAGAAAAGTCACAGTGCCCCTGAAGAAGAGAGAAGAATAGAAACTACACACAGAGGCCACCGGCAGGTAAAGGATTCTTCTACTCACTCACCTTGCACATCTCTGTTGGAGTCTGCCATTGTCCAGACAGCTAGAGCCAGAGATCCTGGAGCCTATCCTGCAGCCCAGCCATCCTCCTATCAGCTTCCAGAAGGACAGGACCAAAAGAAACTCGAAAGGAGAAGGGAAAGTACAGAAATCTCCATTCACCTGTTTTCTACGATTTCACTGCCAACTCCACAGTAGTGCTCCTGCAGCTTTTGCAGCCTCTCAGCGATACCTATAAAGTGGCCCAAACTTTGAGCCAGTTAGTAAACATATTCCCAGCTGAGGTTGAGCCAAGGTAGCCCTCTTCTATTCTTGTTTCAGCTCTTGCTTTGGGAGCTCTTGTACTTTTAAAATGAATGCACTGCAGTAATCTCAAGTGTAGCACCCAGGTACTACAGTACTACTTGCCTGCAGGTCCCTAAGCACAGAAATGTAATGTTCCATAATAATGGTAGCTGTCTTTGTATCTCGCATAGACTGGGGTTTGTAACCCTGTGGAGCTATCTAACCATGCATTTCTCCCTGGCTTGGGGTGTTCTTAGAACCATGAGAAACATACAGCACATCCACACCATTAGGGAGGTTCTCCAGGGCGGCGATAACAGTTAGTAGGGAAGTTGTGAGTGGAGTGTGTAACTGCTCTGTCCTTTGCTGATACCAGAGCACATCATGCCACTCTGGTTTGCCAATGTCCTGAGTTGCACTGGGGCTGAACTTGGTGCTGGAGACATGGAAGTAAGAATGGTCCCTGCCATAAAAACCATAACAGTCCTGGTGATTCCTTCCAGCTCAGGAGAGACACTGGAACCACTGTTCTTAACAGCAGAATCAGAAGCTGTCTGAGCACTTTGTTGATTCATTCCATAAACTAGCCACCTTTGTATACCACTTTGTAATGTAATCTTAGAAGTCAATGCCACGTGCTAGTGCAGGGACGTGAGAGTGAGCACCTTGCCTCAGAGGGTTCCACTTTGTGCAGTAGCCCTGTTACTAGCAGATTCCCTTTCATGTGCCTCTGCCCTGATCACCTGAAGGGAAAGAGGTTGGTTTTGATCCTACACAGGTGGTTACTTTGAAACAAATGGTCCTAAACTCTATCTTGAGAAATGATTAAATGATAGAGAAGTATGATTTAGGCCATGGTACCACTTCAGCACTCAAACCAACTCATGTTAACAGTTATTTCCAAATGATGGCAAATGAAGCCAAAGCCATCACAGACCCCATCAGTGTGCTGGTCCTCAGAGAGGACAACATCAGAGCATGTAAACAAGGTGCTACAATTGTCCTTCGTTTTATCTGATAGCCTTTGAGCACTATCACCATGTGACCGTTGCCAGGGATCATTCTAGTTGTAGTAGCCATGATTGGTCAGAATGCAAGGTAAATCAGCAGATTTCTGCTGAGACTGTCATTCACATTCACGTACTAAATAATGTTTAGATACTATCTTGGTTCTTCTGACTTTAATTTTGTATGACATATGGTCTCTCATTTGACAGTCTGTGTTTACTATGTTTATTTCCATTGAATTACATCATCTGTCTAGCTATAGAGTTGACATTAGTTTAAATGTTTTGCTTCACCAAATAGTTTTGATATTCTGTAATCCATACTCTTATGAACAAAGAATTACCTTTTTATTTTTATTTGTTATTTTAATATTTATATAGTTGAAATAAAGAGCTATGGGAGGATGGACTCTCCATCTACTGGCTTACTCTCCAAATGGCCACAGTGAGTGGTGCTGGGCCAGGATGAAGTCAAGAGCCTGAAACTCCATCCAGGTCTCCCAGATGACTAGCAGTGGCCCAAGCTCGCAAGCCATCTTCTGCGGGCTTCCCAGGCACATTGGTAGGGAACTGGATCAGAAGCAGAGTAGCTGGAACTCATACCAGGGCTGCTATGGAATGCTGACATCACAGTGACAGCACCAGCCCCATATTTTGTGATAAAAACCATTTCTATATATTTCTAGATAAATTTTATGCTAATTTGGATTTTGTATGATATATTGCCATTTCTTTACAATAAATCATGCTCACATTTCAAATCATGAATGCCTCCCGTATCAGAAAAGAAAATAGTATCCAACAAAGTGTCAAAGATGATGCTGAGTTGCTTCATGGTTATTAGTAACTATCAAATTGAGGTACTTGTTTCATAATATTTTGTATCAATTATAACAAGTTATTTTGCATAATGAACTCAGGCATGTCATGTCATATATACTTCTGTGTCACTTGAATTCCAGTTTATTATTAAAATTTTCACCTGTATCTAGTTTTACAAAATAACATATACTATTTAGATATTAATGTATCAATTGGGAATATAGGAGCTGGGAAACTAGCTCTAGACTTACTTGAGTAACATACAAGTAATAGGCAACTACGTCTCGAGCTGTTTGAAATGTATCTAAAAGGCCTCTATTGACAAACACTTTACATGAATATACAGACCATCTTCCTTGTATACCACTTTGTAATGTATTCTTGGAAGTTAATATGTGTCTTTGTGTACTTTCATGGCAGGAAATTGCCTCCACATGATTATTTTTGCCTTAAAGTGTTGTGTCCTGTAGGCATGCATTTAATCCTCACATCCTTGTCTCCTGTCTTGCCACTGTGGAGGTTGGATTTTATTCTCCAAACCCTGAAACTGCCCTTGCCTCACTTCCCAGCTGTCTTCACGCCCCACCTTTCCAGGCTATGGCCGCATTCCCCATCTTTTTGCACTGCCTGCCTTTTCCCAGGCTATGGCCACACTCCCCACCTTTGCCCAGGCTATTGCCACACTGCCCGCCTTTGTCCACGGTATCGCCACTCTTTTCCTTCCTGCTGCTGCTTCTACCATCCACCTTCACCTGCCTGATTCTTTATCACCTTTTGTGATTTGGACCATCACGGCTGTCTGTAGCCCCCTGTGCCTCTTCCTCCCCTCCTCTGGACAGTCACTGCTCCTCTCGGCATCCCCAGTTCTCTGCCCAGTTGTTTATTAATGCACTCATGCCATCTTTTATGGATCTGACTGCCACACTGGACTCTGAGCTTGGGGTAGCAGGGAGTGCTGAGTCCCATGAAAGCTGCATGTTTGAGCTTCTCTGTACATCCAGAAACTCATTAACTGCTGAGAAATAAAGCAACCCACGCTACTCTCATTGCATTTGGGCAGGAACTTGTTTGAAATCACTGTGTTTCTTCTGTCCTTGACAGGCTGACGTGGAGGTCACCTCTCTCTGGGTGATGGTTCCAGTTGGCTCTGAAGGATGCATCTATGCTTGAGACTTCTTTTTCAAGGCAGATTTCATTTAGGTTTAATGATCCATTCAAAACTTGGACTCCACTTTTCATAAAGACTAAGTTTAAAAAAAATAGTAAATGTCAGAAACTTAATTTTCTTTATGTAGATTTTTTTAAAAGATTTATTTAATTTTTATTGGAAAGTCACATTGATGGAGAGAAAGAAAAACAGAGAAAGATCTTCCATCCACTGTTTGATTCCCCAAGTGGCTGCAACAGCTGGAGCTGAGCTGATCGGAAGCCAGCAGCCAGGAGCTTCTTCCAGGGTCCCACATGGGTGCAGGGTCCCAAGGCTTTGAGCCATCCTCCTCTGTGTTCCCAGACCACAAGCGGGAAGCTAAATGGTAAGTGCAGCAGCCAGAACACGGACCGGTGCCCATAAGGGCTGCTGACACACACAAGGCAATGATTTAGCAATTGGGCTATCACCCCAGGTCCTATGCAGATTTTTTTTTTGTAGTCTCAGTCAAGCACGGCATAGTACATGTTGTAAATGCTTGATTAAATGTTTGAATGAATGGTTAAATGAAATATGTATGTAACATTACAACTTAATAACTCTTGGAGGCCGTTTTAGTTTTCTGTGGGATTACATTAACACTGCCTCAGATGGTTTGTTATAGTTGCTGTGGCATGCAGTGCAGAACCCTGAGTTGATCTGATCTCATCCACAATAAGCAAAGTGTCATTACTCTGTATTTGTATCTACAGTGTGGAGCTCAGCATACTAGTGGGACCAGTTGTAGTTTTTCACAAATGAAGCCCAATAGTGAGATCATAAAGAAACAAATGAGTCGTAAATTAAAGCAAAGGGCAGTTTTAAGATAGAAATTTTCCATGCCCTTGACTGTTGCGTTAGCAGAATGCCGTGTGTGCTTGGTATTCTCATCTGCATGGGAAACAATCTTCAGAAAATGTTTCCACCTCCTCTGCTGTCCCACAGCACCATGAGTGAACACTTACCAACGGTTCCTTTGTCCTAGGAGACAGGAAGCTCAGGACTTTAAAGGAGAATCCTGCTCAACTCAATTCCCCACAGCAGACAACAGTTGCTACTGCCTAGTGATACTGTCAGTATTACTGAGATGTAAACGGACCCATTACTGGGCAGTATGTGGCACCGGGGCCTAGTAGATACCCCAATAGAATTAAATTTTTTAATAAGAAAAAAGGAAGAATCCATTGAAATGCAAGAGGTTTTTCTTGTCACGCGTCCAACAAGATGAACTGAGGTGACAGGTGCAAGGCTGAGACCCTGCTGAGAACAGGCTGCAGGAGGGGAAGGCGGAGGGTCCCTTGCCCAGCACATGGCTGCTCCCAATGAGTCCTTGGAGCTGTTCTCATGCTCTGCTTGATGAAAGGTGAACCTCTGTCTGGTCAGCTAGCCAAGAACAGACAGTACTGCTTATCTGGCCTCCATTTCAATAGTGCTCTGGCCAAGGTGCCTTGTTAACTTTCCTTGAACTCCCTGTTTACAAACATGACCTGAGTTATGTTTCAACTATTGTTTTTACTAAGTGTGTAAAAACTGGAACCCTGGAACCTGGTGTGGTAGCCTAGTGGCTAAAGTCCTTGCCTTGCACGTGCCAGAATCCCATATGGGCACCAGTTCATATCCCAGGTGCTGTGCTTCCCATCCAACTTCCTGCTTATAGCCTAGGAAAGCAGTAAAGGGCAGCCCAAAGCCTTGGGATCCTGCACCCATGTGGGAAATCCAGAAGAAACTCCTGGCTCCTGGATTTGGATCAGCTCAGCTCTAGCCATTGCAGCCAACTGGGGAGTGAACCAGTGGATGGAAGAGCTTTCTCTTTGTTTCCCCTTCTCTGCTTAAATGTGACTTTCCAATAAAAAATAAATCTTAAAAAAAAAAAAAACTGGAACCCTGGAAATAAACTTCTGTCAGTTGCCCATGAGAACACTGCCCCCTCTCATTTCTTTTTGGACACTTTCCTCCCCAGGACGCATAAGGTAAATTTGTAGCTTTTTAAATGACCTGTGAGTTACTGTCCACAATGAACAGTTTTTAGGACATTTTGGTGGATGAAATTATATTTGATCCTCACAAACACCAACTTAGGTAAGATCTGAAATGCACTGCTCTTTTCACAAGTACAGAATACTTAAGTGTGTGGTTTTATTTTTATCCTGCTCTTCTATCTTTGTACCACACAGGTATGGAAATTATAAAACATTCTATATTTAGTGTGGATAGAGTGCCCACTTGGAAATAGGTATGAGAAAAGTCAGAAGGGCATGTATCTTCATGATATAATCGCAATGGAGAAGAGACAGCATTAGAAACTTCTCTGATTTCTTCTCTATAGTTCTTTTGATTGTTTTAATGGGATGTACAGTAAAAGCCTGAGATAGCAGCTATACTGATATGTATGAGTACAGAGTTCAGTCACATAAATAGCATTTTTATGTTTTGTATGCCATAAATTTGACATATAATTTAAATGGTCTTGTTAGAATTTTCTGGTAAATTGATTTACAACTGCTTTATAAATACTTTTCCTTTGAATTGTAAACTGCAGGCATCAAATCTGCCATAAAAGGTTATCCCTGTAGTAAAAATACACAGATTGTATTTCTTTCACAGTATTAGCAAGGGTGCAGACATGTTGAAAACAGCTGTCTGTAAAACCTCAGCAAGATATTAATAAAATTGATTAGTTATATGCAGCAAAGGAAGGTAAAGTTTATTCCAGGAATGCTTTATTGGTTTGATATTAGAAAACCAACAATATAATTAGTCTTTATGTTGTAAAGACATCGTTTCTCCCTTAATTGGCTTACTGACAAGACCCTGCCCTGGCCAAGAGCTGAATGCCAGTCCCTAATGCATGTCTTGTCATGTCTGACACAAGCTGGGGTCCTAAAACTTGCCCTGACTGGTTGCTGAGGCAACATGAAGCATGACCATGGCCTGGAAATGGGTTCAGACTGACGAGTTTAAACCTGAAGCACGTGACCATCCTCAGACCCCGGAAGGCGTAACCTTCCTCCCTCTAAGAGTGGCACTTCAAGATAGACACAAGGCAAAAAGCACACTGGATTCCTCTGGGATGTTCAATGTGGGCCAAAGTTATGCTAACTACATGTGTTTCAGCATTTTCATTGCTCCCAGAAAAGAAGTCCTATAAAAAAAAGAACTTAGAAAAAGTTGAGGCTTCATGAGAAGCTATTAATGTCAGTTTTTGTAGGCAAGTAATTATCACAAAGCCAGACTGTGTAACTATTGTTTCTCAATGATAAAATGGTTCTCCTGGTCCCAATGCAATAGCCTAGTGGCCAAATCCTCACCTTATATATACTGGAATCCCATATGGGCATCAATTCATGTCATGGTTCCTCCACTTCCCATCCAGCTCCCTGCTTGTGGCCTAGGCCAGCAGTATAGGATGGCCCAATGCCCTGGGACTCTGCACCCACGTGGGAGACCAAGATAGGGCTCCTGGCTGCTGGCTTCAGGTCATCTTAACTTGAGCCATTGTGGCCTCCTGGTGAACCAACAGACAAAGGATCTCTCTCTGTTTCTCCTTTCCAATTAAGAAGATAATCTTCAAAAATAATGGCTCCATAAGAGATGACTTGTTGCAAACGTAGACATTGGTGTTTTTATATATTGCATGCTTTGAATTTTGCCTCCTAGCAGTCTTCCAGTTAAGCATTATTCTGTAAGTAGTACAGTGTCGCGTTCCCCGTAACCCACTTCTCGGCGGCCTTTCCTCTTTGGTCAGGATGTGCTGATGGAGCTGCTGGAGCAGTGTGCGGACGGGCTGTGGAAGGCTGAGCGCTACGAGTTGATCGCGGACATCTATAAGCTTATCATCCCCATCTACGAGAAGCGGAGGGACTTTGAGGTATCTCACCTTGTCGGTGTGCATATCCGCAGGCCTACTGCCATCGCAGATACACATGTTAGCTTGTAGTGCCCACCGGACTCCTCCAGAGTCTTCAGGCACCATGCAGGTTTGAGTTGTCTCAAACCTTAGGCATTCCCGCCCAGGTCCTCTCCTTGCAAAAGGTCACCACACACAGTGTTATAGTCACCAGATGTCTTTTTCTTTGAACTCTTCTTTAACCCACCTGCAAAAGGTGTCCTTTCCACGCTTCCCAGCTGAAAGATCATCCAAGTGCTCTGAGAAAATCAAATGGAGCACGACAAGCGAAGACTCAGAATGGTTTCCGAGGATCACCTCTGTCATCACATAGCAGCTTGTATCTTTACTGTGAAAACTGGAGGTGTCCTCCTGTGTCGGTTCACCCTTCGTGTGGGAAGCACTTCAGTTCATAAATGATCACCACATGCTTGGCCATCAGAATGCAGACTTTTAAGCTCAAGTTGAAGGACTTTTCAGCTATTGGTATAGGCTTGGTTGTCATTTTTAAATGGGTTTTGTTCTGCCTTCCAGAGACTAGCCCACCTGTATGACACGCTGCACCGGGCCTACAGCAAAGTCACCGAAGTCATGCACTCAGGCCGCAGGCTCCTGGGAACCTACTTCCGGGTGGCCTTCTTCGGACAGGTGCGCCCCCCATTCTGTAGGCTGCCCCAAGTTCCTTGCTAAAATTGGCTTTAGAACTTCTAAATGCTCTGTTTTCTATAAATGCTAGTATGATGAATTTATCAAATTTCGTGTGGCTCTTACCTCCCTCGGTAGTAAACTTTCTGCTTTTTTTTTTCTTTCTTCTTGTCTTTTCTTTCTTACTTTCTTAAGGCAGCGGTAAGTTCTCCCTCCGTAAGACATTCTTAGTGACATCTTTGGTTCTTCACTGTGGTTTACAAGTTTCTTTTTCAAGTCTACATGTTACTTGTCTAGTCATTACAAACTCAAAAACAAAGGATTAACATTGTATTCCATTTACAGAAATAAATCATATTTCTTTATGCATCTGTATTGCATGTTTTAAACCAATATTAAGACTTGCTGGTTTTGTTTGTGCCTTTATGTCTTTATGTTTTGTAATATAATATCACCACAAGAATATTTACCGTTATACTATCTCAGACTCCCTGGATGAAGGGATTTTTACAATTTTACTTAAATCTTAACCTTCAAATCTCTAACATTATTAAGTAGTATAATCTGTTTATTTAGGGGATATGGTTTTCTATGAATACTATATAACCTTCAATTCTGTTATTGTCTTTTATAACTTTATAGCAATACCAGTTTACAGACAGTGAAACAGATGTGGAGGTAATTACAGTCAATGCTTAAAAAGCAAATAATGTAGTGAAATGACTACATCTATACGCCTAGTTTGATGTGGGTTGTTTTTGTTTCATATTAGCCTGCATTCTTTTATATGTCCTGGTTTTGCACCATTTTCTCTCTTTTATTTTAGATTTTTTTTTTCAGTTTCAAATATTAACCACCATCTGGACTTTTTAAGTTGTCAACCTTTTTCACTTCCCATGCAAGTCGGTAGCCATGTAGTCAAGCATGACTGGTGCTAAAGCAGGTGGTGATAGGTGATAATAAGTGTACTTTCTTGCCACTGTGCTATAGACCGCGAGTATTTTTTCCTCTTGAGTGAATCAAAAACGGTCTGCACAGACTTCGTGTAACTTGATGAACATTCCATTCGTGCTGCCACATCCTGTGTGAATGGGGGACATCAGGGAATGGACGCATGTGCGTTTCTGAAGCCTTCCTTTCCCAGGCTGCTGGTCATGTGTTGCGAATTCCACTTCTTGGGAACGTGAAACAGGCTCAACTCCCATCGTTAGAGTCCACTGAGACACACTCTTGAGTCCCAGAGTTTGATTTCACGCCACACTGAATGAGGGCATTCTTGAACGAGTTCTCAAGTGTGTGTTTTTCTTGAATGTTTGCATCCAGACTTCACATTATTATCATCTTCCTTTGTCTTCAGAAACCCTGTTTAGGATTTTATTTTGGAAGCATTCCTCCCCTGCCCTTTTAACAAGAGAACCCTTTCTGTGTGGTGAATTTTGGGCTCTTATTGCGGGCCAGCTCTAATTGTGCTTTATGCCACAGGGGTTCTTTGAAGATGAAGATGGAAAGGAGTATATTTACAAAGAACCCAAGCTCACACCTTTGTCAGAAATTTCTCAGAGACTGCTTAAACTCTACTCAGATAAGTTTGGTTCTGAAAATGTCAAGATGATACAGGATTCTGGCAAGGTGAGTGTGCACTTGGTTCACAGCCATGTGATATTGTTTGGATTATATGTGATGGATTATATGTTATATTATATATTCACAAATGCCTGTAGGGAAAAAAAGGAAATGCAGGAATGATTGACTTTGAGGGGCAAGTGTGTTTTTCCTTCTTAGTCCCTTTTTGTGCTTTCCACTATGTTTTTAACACTACACAAATCTTCATTGCATAATTTTAAGAGCATCTTTTTTAATCCAGATGTTTAGAAACCTAAGAGATCAGGGTCCATATCTCTGGTCTTTACTGTCCTTTCTCTCTGTGCTGAGCTGGTGCCTGGCACGTGAACTGACACTGTGTCACTGAGTGGATAGATAGACGGTCAGCTCGACAAACCAAGGAATGAACTCACCAGACAGGTGGCGGCAGGAAGATCTGCAGATCTACTTTCTACTTTCCACTTAGAGAAACGTCCTCTGTTTTTTTGTTTTGTTTTGCTTTTTTTCTCATGAAGCCTCATTCTCTCTCTCTCCCTCTAAGATGTTATTTATTTGAAAAAGTGATAGAAAAAGAAAGAAAGAGATCTTTCATGTGTTGGTCATCCCACAAATAACCAGAATGGTCAGAACTATGCCAGGAGGAAGACAGGAGCTTAAAATGCCTCTAGATCTCCCACATGGCTCCTAGGGACCCAAATAATGAGACAGCCTTCTATTGCTTTCCCAAACACATTGGCAGGAAGCTAGACTGGAAATAGAACAGCTAGAACTCAAAATGCTGCTCCAGTGTGGGATACCAGCATTACAAGTGCGGCTAACTCAGTGTGCCACAATGCTAGCCCCTGAAGACCCTGTCTGAACCTCTGCCATTGTCCTGGACAGTTAATTGGCCTCCCTGCTCCAGCATGTCTCCCGGAAGTTAGACACCCCTCTGCTTCCTATAAATCAGGCCAAAATTTTCTTTGTCTAAAAAGTTCCCTGCTTCTCAGACCTCCAGCAGTGACCAGCCCTGCATCCCTGTCAGAACACCATTTTGGAGTGACTCATAGTTCCTTTGCCTTTACTTTTGCAGACCCCAGCATCTGGAGTCTGTTTCCTTGGCACTCTTAATTTTCTCCAAGGAAGTAAGAACCCTCTGGTCTCGTGCCCAGAAAGGAAGAGGGTAAATGCCTGAAATTGGATTCCGGATGCAGCAGCAGAAAGGCTAGGAGACCCCGCTTCTAGCCTGCAGCCTCTCACTGACCTGTCCTTGTTCCGCTCAGTGGCTTTGTCCCTGTCTTCTGCTGAGACTAGTGGGCTCACTTAAACCTTTCAGAATAGTTTCTTCTGTGCTCTTGTTTAGATTGAAGCCTAGGGAAGGGAACCTGGAGTTCCCAATTTCATAGAGAAATTGTCTTCCACCACCACACCTTCTTTGATGGGCCTGATGCTTGGGGCTGCAGGTGCTGGTGCTCCACAGGCTTTTGAGGAGTATGTTACCCTACCCTCAGAAACGTGGGTTTAGTCCACTCTCTTCCTGCTAGTCAAGGTAGCATACCTCCATGCACCTGCCTTCCAAACATGCGTTAAAGTTTCTCACCCACTGTTGTCTCTGTCCTCTTTCTTGGGTCCTTTCAGGCTAATTCTTGACATGTTGAGAGTTGTGAGAAAGGAAGAGGATCAGTGAACACTGTTAGTTCATTTTTAAGCAGAAACCTCGAGATATGCTTACTCCACAGACCGTATTACTCAGGCCTTTTTCTCTAAATCCAAAACCTTGGTCTGGATCACATAAGGAGCTTAAACATTACAGTCTCTTCTCTAGGTTTTTCAGCCATTCTTTCCTGTTTACCTTGTGATTCTTGATATAGAATCTGAGAGAGTTCCAGGGCCACCTTCTGTACCAAGAAGCCATTCCCCATTCCTTCTCCTGATAGGCAGGAAGGTAATTCAAAGTGTTCATGGAGAAATGGAAATAGAAGATAAGTTTATTTTGATGCAAATTTTTAGGAAAAAAAATGGAAACTAGTGCATAGTTTCTTCATAACACACATTTTCCACAAACTCTTTGAAGACATCTTTTGCTTACAAACTTTGAACATGAAGAGTAAAGAAATGAAATTAATACTCAGGTGAGACTTCTACTGCTTTTAGATTGTTTCTGCTAAAGAAAGTCAAGTTCAATAGATTCCAATACTGTTATAATGATTGGCTGGAGGACCTTTTCTGAAATTCACATAGTGGCTTTCTGTGGCATTGTGTGTGTTCTTAACTTGCTCATGTGGTTTTCATTGTCCTTCACAGCATCTCCGTCAGAGCAGCAAAACTGTGCTGTTCTCTTATGTCTGCCTGCTTCCTACCAATGTAACTGTCCCTTTCTCTGCAGTCATTTCTCCTTGGCCGCTTTTGTGACTAGAGAATGCTAAAACAGAAACTGCAAAATTGAATTGTTAATTTATTGAGTTTGATTTTTGCTTCAGATAAGAAATGCCCATGTTTAATGTTTTGTCATGTCACAGAAATTAGAGCATTGTCACTTCTGACAATGTGGTTTTCAAAGCATTTATGTGCTAACTAAAGTTACCATTATATTATTTAATGACTAACTTAATCTGTACCGTATTAAATTGATTAGTCTGCAACTCATTGCATCTAATCTGGTCTGGCTACAGATTAGGGGCCTACTTTTCAACCATCATTTCTAACATATATATCTTTGTAAGATAAATATTAATAATTGCAGTTTCAGAAGCAATTAGAGATACACCTACCAGTAATATTTTGATTTCTTCAGAAAAATCAATGTCATGAGCCAGTGGAGCGCTCTGGGTTAAACAAGAGTAAAGAGATAGTGACTCAGTATAAACTGTGGTCCATGATTAGATTAGGATTCAGGCCCACACAGCTAGAAATAAGATGGCAGAAGCAGTTCAAAAATGATAATAGAGACTGGCTGTTTGTTGACATAAGAAAATTATTGTTGGTCTTATTAGATATGACCATATATTGCGTTGTACAGTAGAATATCCTCATTTTCAGGAGAAACTAGCTGAAGCATATTAATGTGTAACACTGAAATCGTTCAGCCAAAAAGCCCGTATGTTCATGTGTGGTGGAGGAAGCAGATGTGTTTGTGTACTTGTATTGACATAGCAAAATGTTAGCAACTGTTGATGAGGGTGGTGGCAACAGACTGTTCATTGGACTGTATTTTACATCTTTTCTGACTTTTTCTAAAATACTTATTAATAAAATGTTGGAAATGTCAGCCTTTGACAAGGTTTCAAAGAGTCCTGCAATCCACCTTCAGTATTGTTTATTCATTTCAAGGTCAACCCCAAGGACTTGGATTCCAAGTATGCATATATCCAGGTGACTCATGTGATCCCATTCTTCGATGAGAAAGAATTGCAAGAAAGGAGGACGGAGTTTGAAAGATCACACAACATTCGCCGCTTCATGTTCGAGATGCCCTTTACCCAGACCGGGAAGAGACAGGGTGGGGTGGAGGAGCAGTGCAAGCGACGCACCATACTGACAGGTACTGTGTCCAGATGTCGGCCCCCATGCCAGCACAGAGAACTCTGGGGAAAGGATCCAGAAGCCTCGAGAGCCACAGGAGACCCTCGGTTAGCTTCCCTACACCTGGTTCAAGTCAGCATCTCTTCAAGGCTTACTTGGCCACTTCATACTTTCTTCTTCACAGACCAGATTTTATTTCCTGTGCAAGGTCACTTACCCTTTTTAGAATATGCTTTAAGATTTTAGGGGAACTCTACACACAGCCCCCCAGTCTCCTCATGGGAAGAACCTGTCTCGTGTACATTTACTACTGTGTTCCAGCAGGGACATGTTCAGTGAATATGTTAGCCCAAGGGGCTGGGTCTCTTCCACCTTGTCTCTGACCATGGTTGGTCACCCCCAGCAGTAATAACTCCAGTTCCAGGAAGCTCACTGCATGCAGAAGTGGCCTATTTTGCTGAAACTGTTTTATGTACTTTTTATTTTGAAAGGCAAATTCACAGTGAGAGAAGAGATGGGAGAGAAAAAAATGTTCCATCTGCTAATTCCCTCCCCAGATGGCCACAGCTTCCAGAGCTGCGGTGTAAGGGCCCAAGGAGTCGCTGCCTTCCCACATGTATTAGCAAGGGGATGGATCAGAAGTAGACACAAGGACTTGGCACGGTAGCCTAGAGCCTCAGGTCCTTGCCTTGTACATGCCAGGATCCCATATGATCGCCAGTTTATATCCTGGCTGTTCCACTTCCCTTCCCTGCTTGTGGCCTGGGAAGACATTCGAGGATGGCCCAAAGCTTTAGGACCCTGCACCCATGTGGGAAACCTGGAAGAAGCTCCTGGCTCCTGATTAGCTCAGCTCCAACTGTTACAGCCAGACAGAAGATCTTTCTCTCTTTCTCTCCTCTCTGTAAATCTGACTTTCCAATAAAAATCCATATGGGATGCTGGCACCATGGGTGGTAGCTTAGCCGGTTGTACCATGGCCTCCACCTGAAGCGGAAGCAGTTTGGTTTGATCCCTTTAATCCTGTTCACTGTTGACAGCCCGTTCTTAGCAATGTGTTTTGCACCATTTCCAAGTTCCTCAAGTGTCCAGTCACCTCAAGGGGGACTTTGCCTTCTGTGGATGAACTTCATGTGGTCCTTCTTAGGGTTTGTAGCAGAACTGGAGTGACCTACAGCCAAACTCAGAATGCCGCCACTGGGCTCAGTTTCCGAAGTGGCTGGAGTTGAGTTAGCCTGAGCAAGCACCCAGTGCTTCTCTGGCAAGCCTTCCCTCCTGCAGGCAGTCGGGTAGAACTTCTCATTCTGCAGCTTTGTCGTGAATAAAAAGAGCTGAGGAAGGACGCCGCATCTCAGCTAGTTCTCTTTCTGGCCAGTAAACTGTGCATGCTGGCTGTGTGATTTATCTCAGTAACACTATTACCAAATAAAATATTCTGGGTAACCATCAAAACCTCAGTCCAAAGCAGCCATTAGCCCCAGCAATGAAAACGCCAGAAGGGAGGACCGTGTCCCGTGTCAGAATGCCTGGGGTTGATTCCCACTCCAGCTCCTGATCCCAGATCCTGGAAGGTAGCAGGTGATGACTGAAAACCTAGGGGAGACCAGCAGCTCCTGGATCAGCCCGCAGCCCAGCCCTAGCATGTGACAGGGCATTTTTCAACTTCCATTTGAGGCTGGTGAGATAAAAGTTTACAAACAAACAAAATGCCCCCTCCTACTGCTCCTGCTTTCCAGTGAGATAACACTGTAAAATACAAGCAACCTTGCCCTTGAAGACACTGGCTTTCTCCCCATATGGAAGTACTACCTTTTCCAAATGCACTTCTCAGTAGCAAGTGCTCAGGGAGACTTCTGAGTTTCTAGGGAGATTCATTTTAGGAGAATTACCAGTTCACTGGGTTTATGTGGGCAACAGCGATGGCTTCATCCTTGATTCCTTAGGTCAGTGGTTGCCAGTGGTTGCTGCAGTATCAGGGACTCCTAGGGAGTTGATAAAAATGGAGATGCCCAGGCCCCACCCCCAGACCTGCTGAGTAACAGTTGTAGCACCCATCTCACTGTAGGAAGCAGTTTTGTAAATTGTAACCAGGTAGGGAAAGAATTTACCTCATTTTGCTAGATCTCTTCTCCCTCTGAGGAATCCCTTGCTTTTAGAGCTGATGACGAACAAAAGGAGATTATCATGCAAAAAGACACTAAGAAAAGGGGCAGGCGCCCAGAACACCTCGAAATACGCAGCTAGGTACTTGGCAACAAAAAGAATAGATTCTAAATATGCCACTAAAATGTCCACTCTAAGATATGCACATTGCAACATTCCAAAGACTTTGAACTTGAGAGTTTTGCCTTTGGTTATTCTCTTAATCCTGGGTCTCTCTTCCAGGTATATTGCTTCAAACTGTGACCCTTGGCCTTCCAAGCTGTAGCCCCAGACTCCCCACCTTCCCACCCAGGCAAAGGCTCACTGCTCTGGATGGTTGCCCATTGACTGTGCTTGTGTTGCTATTTGAAAAGCCTAGGTTCTCACCCATGGGGGGAATGGCCTCCTGCCCACTGCCTTCTGTTCAGCTGAGCAGCCACACAGTCACCACACCGCCTAGAGGGCCACAGGTCAGCTCTGTGCGCCTGTCTAGAATAAAGAAGCAACCTGCTCCCTCGGTTATCTCACCAGCTGCCTTCCAGGCAAATTTGCTCTTCGATAGCCATTTGGGCAGAAGTGCGTGGAGCTCTGGCAGCGTTGTTATGTGGCACACTCACAAACAAAGCTCTGTGACATTGGATACCTCCCATCTTGGCAAGAGGAGATGGGCAGCAGGCATTCAGTGTAACGAGTAAATGATGGCTGTGCTGGAACAGAACCTGTGTTCTGGACAAAAGCAGGAGATTGGGGAAGGGAGGTGGAAGGAGATGGTTGAAGTTTCAGTGGGGTGACTGGGGTAACATCTGAGCCTAGACAGGAGGTGAGGAATGAGTCATCTGGCAGGACTTTGGGGCAAAGCCCGGGAGCTGGTGAGGGTTCCTTGTGGTGGCGCAGCAAAGACCAGCAGTAAATCCCAGAACCCAGGGACCTGCTATGCTTGGCAAAAACTCCAGATTTTTCTGAGTCAGGTTAGTGACCTCTTTTTTACCACTTGAAACCTCTGCTCCCCATCCCAAGCACCAGGTGCCTTTACACTGACTGGCACGGGCATGTCCATGGGCATCTTGCCAGCACTGCTCTTGGAGTCTATCTGAAGAACAGTGCCTGCTTGTATTGTCTAACAGCCATGTTAGGTTTTTGTTTTATTTTGTTTTTGGTGATTACAGTCTCTTATGGATGATTGATTAATGAATTACATCATAATGTGTGAGGAGTTAGGATTTTCTGGGTCCCCGAGTGATTTTTCTCAAATATAAATTTTATTTGTCCCCATTTCTCAACTTTTCCAAAGCAGGTTCGTCCTTCTAAGTAACACATTCTTCCTTGAGGGAGAACAAAGGGGTAAAATTAACATCTTAATCCCCATCGCTTAGCAAGCAGACTGGCCCAGCTTGGTCACTGTCAAAGGAATGGCCACCTCAGTTTATCATCAGAAAGAAACTGAGGAAGTTAACCAGTAACACCTTTTTGGGCCTTTTGTCCCAAAACCAGGTACCATGGAAACCAGGAATTTTCCTTTGTTTATGGGGAAACTCCTTTGAAATGAAGTTTTATTTGTATTATTATTTTTAATTGTTTATTTGTATTGGAAAGGCAGACATACAGAGAGGAAGATCTTCCCTCTGATGATTCACTCCCCAAGTGCCCACAACGGCCTGTGCTGCACTAATCTAAATCTAGGAGCCTGGAACTTTCCCAAGGTCTCCCATGCGGGTGCCTGGTCCCAAAGCTTTGGGCCGTCCTCGACTGCCTTCCCAGGCCAAAAGCAGGGAGCTGGATGGGAAGTTGGGCTACAGGATTAGAATTGGTGCCCATACGGGATTCTGGAGCATTCAAGGCAAGGACTCCAGCTGCTAGACTACTGCATCGGGCCCGAAGTAAAGTTTTAAAAGACACTGTCCCGAGGATTAACTTGGGTTTTTGCTTCCTTCCTCCTACCATAGAGGCAGGAGGTCTAGAATCTTCCTTCCTTCCTCCTGCCACTACGGCAAGAAGTCTGGGTCTCTTCTCTCTAGAAGCCCCCTCCCATCACTAGGACAGGAGCTACTTTCCTGTTCAAATCTTGCTTTGAAACCAAACTATCTACAAGAAAATTCTTTCCTGCAAGACAAGAATTGAGGTTGATACCCTATATTGCGTCAATCTTACAACAACAAGATCTTATTATGAAAGGTACAAGTAACTAGGAAATGCAATAAGGTAAAATTCACATTTAACACCCTTAGATTTGACATCGTATTATCTTATGTTAGAACAAGCATATGGTATCTGACCTTTTGGAATTGGCTCATTTCTCTTAGCGTAATGGTCTCCAGTTTGGCCCACTTGGCCACAAACAATTCTTTTTCTTTTTCTTTCTTTTTTTTTTTGTATTTTTTAATTTTTGTTGAAAAGTCAGATACACAGAGAGGAGTAGAGACAGAAAGGAAGATCTTCTATCTGTTGTTTCACTCCCCAAGCAGCCGCAACGGCCTATGCTGCACTGATCTGAAGCAAGGAGCCAGGAGTCTCTTTCCAGTCTTTCACAGGGGTGCAGGGTCCCAAGGCTTTGGGCTGTCCTCCCCTGCTTTCCCAGGCCACAAGCAGAGCCGCCTTGATTAGAACCGGCACCCATATGAGATCCTGGTGCATTCAAGGTGAGGACATTAAACTGCTAGGCTACCATGCCGGTCCCCTGTATTTCATTTTTTAAAATAGCTGAGTAATATTCCGTAGTGTAGATGAACCACAGTTTCTTTATCCAGTCCTCTCTTAATGGGTATTTATGTTGCTTCCAAGTTTTTGCGATTATTGATTGTGTTGCAATGAACATAGGGGTGTTACGGGGTGCGAGTGAGATCACACCGGACATGTCTAAGGTTTATTCAGGAGTCTTTATTAACCAAGTTTGGTGATAACAGAGCCCACTAGAAATAGCAAATTACAAGTCCATATGGCAATCCAGCCAATCATAATCCAATCAGCCATAACCCCATGAGGAATAAATGGTCATTACCCTCAAGTCCATCTGTTAAGCAGAAGACCTATGTCCCAGCTTCCCCAACAACGTAAGTTATCCTAAGAGACATGCAACGAATAACCTGGGCACACTTACAAAGCTACAGACATTCACCCCTCCCTGGCCTCTCTGTCCATATTCGACTACTGCTAGGCCTTGCCTCTCCTGGAGTTCCTGACAGCACACAAACCAGAAATACAAAGCATCTTAATGTTGCTATCTTCATTATCCCACCTAAGCAGTGAACGGAGGGTAAGGAATAGAGACCCACAGGGGCCATGCTCAGGGGACACCTGTACTCAGAGGTACTGGGGAAGCTAAGAGTTGGAGTGCCAGAGCAAGGGAAGCACGGGAGCCCCTCCTTTTCAGTAGCCTTTAGAGGGATTTGTGAGGGGAGTGGTTGCACAACAATACAATGCCGCCCCCTCTCAGGTGATAGGTGAGAGTCACAGGTGGGCTGGAGGGAACACTTAGGTGGTGGGGGAGTGACTTCCAAGCTCATGACCCTGAACTAGCTGCCTACCTCACCACAGGGGTGCAGTTTGCTTTCTCCTGTAGCGTGTCTTTGACATATATTCCTAGAAGTGGAGTTGCTGGTCATATGGCAGGTGGATTTTCATTTTCCTGAGTATTATCCATATCATATTCCATGGTGGTTGTACCAGCCTGCAATCCCACCGGCAGTGGAGTAGGGTTCCTTTTTCCCTGCAACTTCGCCAACAGGTGTTGTTGGTACTTTATGTGGGCCATTCTTACTGGAGTTAAGTGGAACCTCAGTGAGCCCAGTTGGGTTTTAAAGCATACTTCAGGTTCTTACATGCAGCTAATTCCCATAGCCAAGTCTGCTTTTCACAGTAAGTTTACCACAAGCTGAAATACAAGACACAGTGAGGTATTAGGAGGGCCTTTATTCCAGCAGGGTAGGGACAAAAGTAGGGGTAGAGGGGAAGAAAACTAGAAGGGACACATCTGCTGCCATGACAGCAGGCTCGGGGGCTGCCAGGGCAGAGGAAGGGGACAAGGGGATGGTAAAGGACAGGGGAGAGCCAGGTAAAAAGGGAAGAGAAGAGGAAGAAGGGGGGAAGGAGAAGGAAAGGGGGTGCACGTGGAGGCTCATTTACAACCCAGGTGAGCCTGCAGGGTGTGGGGGGCGTGGGGAGGGGCTGTGGGCGGGCCCAGGGACTGGTGGAGTGGGATTCCCAGGTAAGGCCATGAGGTTACATCTCATTGGTGGGCAACCAGAATGGCACAAATTTTGCAAGCTGTGGAAAGGAGGAAGCAGGAAGTGGCACGGGGTCCAAGATGGGGTGTTCGAATCACTCCTCTCAAGCCCCGTGACAGATCCCCACAGGCAGGCGTGGAGAAGTTGGGAAGTGTGTGTCTATATGTCTGTTCGTATATGAAGATACATTGAATGACAGAGACAAGTATCTTATGATCAATGAAAGCAATATTAGCTTTTTCTTGTTAAAACATCTAGAAAAAGTAAATATTTTATTGCTTACTCATTGTTGTTAGTTTTTAAATACCTTTATTATTCCTGCAGCTCCAACAACCTGAAAAGAAATGGTTCATGAAAAACTTTGCTTGGAAGTTTGCTCTTAGTTATCTGTCTTTAAGTTGTCACATTTGTGTTGATTTAAGAAAAGACTCAGAGTTGTTCTGTGGAGAAAAATGAGTTTCCTCAGGGTATTTGATGGAACTGTTATGCCCGGATTTTGAGATCCCTGGAAATCACCAGGAGTCTGAAGTCGATGCAAGCGCACAAGGGCGGTTTACTTAAGCTCGGCATGTCCGAGCTTGGATCCCAAGAGCGGCTCTAGGCTGAGACTCCGAGTATCACAGGGGGTTTTATACAATTCAGGGATTCTTTACAGTTACACTCTTAACTTTTAAAAAGTGCAAGTTTGCAGGTTTCTCTTGGTGCAGCAAGCAAGTTTCAAACAAGCAAATTGGCGGGCTGTGGGGCAACGGCTCTTGGGCAATTAAGTCATATCTTTATAAGGCACACTATGAGTAAGCAAGTGTTATCTGAAAGGCATACTAGGGGACCTTGCCTTGAAGAGTGTCCTGTCATTGTGACTCATATGTCACTTAGGCTGCTAGGTCTGCAAGCTTGCACAGTTTCTTAGCCAAACAAGCAAAGCAGAAGTTACAAAAGCAGAAAATATTGCAATGAGCAAATGGTTTGGATTCTGATTTTGAGGTTCTTCAAAACTGTTTCTTGGGCGTGATCTGCTCAGCAGCCCCTCAGGATGTTGAGTCTGCTCTCTCTTAGACCTACATTCAGGTCTCAGAACTTCCAAGGGAAATGTGGGGTATTCATGGATGAAAAGATAGAGCAAGGGCTCACCAAATGATCGATCGCTTAGCTAGTGGCTGGGGGGGGATTTATTTATTTACTTATTTATTTGCCAAAGGTTATTCAGATACTTAATGACATCACTTATGAGACACACACAAATTGTCGATTTAGAAATTAGCCTACTGTGACTTCCTGCATTTCAGGTCCCATCTGCCAGCTGTCTTGGCAGGGCCAGACCAAGTAACTTCCTAGGCTGCCTAGTGCCCAGCCCTGCTCAGAGGCAGACTTCACAGCGAATGGGTAATCAGGACCCCGTACTCTTGGCCTTATAGAAAACTCCTGTCATTAAATATACACATGTATAAAGGAAGAGTCTGCTTGGACACAGTGCAAGCACATGCCTCTAGCAAGCTCTGTAAAATGGGCATGGTAACGCGTTCTGCCTCCATACCAGGAAGGGCTCTGAGCTGTAGCTGAACTCTGGCCTTGTCCCTCCACAGCCATCCACTGCTTTCCCTACGTGAAGAAGCGCATCCCCGTCATGTACCAGCACCACACTGACCTGAACCCCATCGAAGTGGCCATTGATGAGATGAGTAAGAAGGTGGCTGAGCTCCGGCAGCTGTGCTCCTCGGCTGAGGTGGACATGATCAAGCTACAGCTTAAGCTGCAGGGCAGTGTGAGCGTCCAGGTGAGCAAGGCAGAGCCAACCGGAAGCGGGAGAGGTCACCCTGGGACCTTGCAAAATTCACATCCTTCACAGCTCTCATGTCTGGCTGCACTCCCTGGGCCACTACTGTGCGACCCCCGCTACCTTCCTTGAGTTTCCAGGCAGTTTGTCCTGGTACCAGAAAGGGGCAGCCCCAGGGCTTCCTGCCAACCCGCTCTGAGACATCATTCTCACTACATCATCTTCTGGGAACATGGAAGTGCACTCCTTGGCTTCTTAGCCATTAGGGGAAATTCTAGGCGCTTCACTAAAACATCAAGACTCTTCAAATATAGGGAAGTGTGGATGGCAGTAGATTTCTTTATGAAACTGTGTTCTACTTTCAAAGAAACTTGTATCTGGAAAAGCACTGTAAGCTTCAGTCTTTTAACAACATCTTTTGATTAACAGAAAGTCTTCATTTTGATATAACCCAACTGTTTGTTTGTTTCAAAGGTAGCACCATTGGAGTCCTTTTAAATCTGTGCCTTTTCCAAGTTCTCAAATGTGTTTGGTATTTTTCTCCTTTGTTCAGGATTTGCATTCAGGCCTGCAATCTATCCAGAATTGATTTTTGTATGTGATATAGACTAAAGATCAGTGTACTGATCTCTATATTGTTGGAATCACTGTTACCATGCAGCTGGTTAAGCTACCACTTGGGACACTGCACATCCCATATCCAAGTCCCTGGGATTGACTCCTGCTCCACTTCTGCCCCAGCTTCCTGCTGACGCACCTGTGAAGACAGCACAGGTGACCAAGGTGGTGGTGCTGCCTCCTGGACTCTGCTCGGCTGTGGCAGGCATTGGCAGAGTAACCAGCAGAGGGAAAATTCTCTCTCTTACTTGGTTTTCAAATAATTTAGCAAAATTTGTTAAGTTTATAAACTTCTAGAAAATACATGCATTTTGCCCGTATGACCATCTCAGTAATGTACAATATATTGAAAAGACCATCTGTGATTAGTTCATACATCGGTTTGTGAAATTTCATCAGTCTGTGTGCATATGAGCATGATTTTCTCTTTGCATATTTTACTTCAACAAGAGGGTCTCAAACTTTTTATTATTGCAGTTTTCTAAGTGATTGATAAGTGTTAATCACCTCTTTTCCGTGACCAGTATGCCTCTTCCTTTTGTTAATATTTTTAAATACCTATAAATAATTCAAGCTCATGTTTGTTTCTCATCCATCTAGATGGCTGAATCAATATAGATGGATTAGTAGATGCACGCATCACACATCCCTGCCCTGTTGTTTTGTTTTCTCTTACAGAAAGAATTAGGCTTACAAAAATTACAGGCAAATTGTAATATGTGTCTGGGATTCTGGTTCATTTTCTGAACTCAGTTCTTGCTCGTTTTTTTCATCAGAACTGCACTAAAGAAGTATGAGTTGTTGCCCTGCATTTTTCTAAGTGTCATTCACCATGAAGTTTTTTTCAGATGTTTTCAATTTCTCCTCTTATGGCCTAAAAGACTTAAGGGGGCAAAAGAAGTTAGCCAATGAATATAAATAGTCCAGCAGTGTAGATGATTTCATAATGGGGTCTGAGGCCAAAATTTTCTGTAGCTAAAAACAAAACCACTCAGTGAGGCAGCCTGCAAACACCCATCCTCTATCAGAAGACCAGCAAAGGGTATGGGTGCCAGGAAAGGTGGGGCTGAACCAGTTGCACCTTCTAATGGGCAGAATTGGCCCTGCCATTTGACAGTGACCTTCATGGTTTATAAAATGCTCAGTCATCCTTAAAAGCAAAGAATTTCTTATTCAAATAATAAGACTAGATTTATACAAATAGTCTTCAAAGACCTCATGGGAAATTCATGTTTTCTTTTAATTTGATTTTTTTTAACCCTGTTTGAAGCACTCACACACTTATGCCCCCCAAACAAAGAACTAATTGGAACAAAGAAGTTGGAACCAGAAGATGTTAAGTTCGCTGTATTTATGTATTTCTACAGTTCTTTTCAGCAGCATGCTCACTGGGGTTGCTACTCTAAAGGACAGGGCTACTACGTTGATGGCTTCTTGGTACCAAAGAGCATGTTACCTTAGACCCCATGAAATCCCCTAAGTTTCCCCCTTTATAGCTTCCTAAAATAGGACATAAAATTATATGATTTGAGACTGTCATCTTTAGGTTATTACCATGGCTGCTACACATGTTGAGCCTCATCAAATCCTATCCTTACAGGATCATCATCATAGATTGGCTACTTGTTCCTTTCTCCCCATGTCTTGGGCCCAGCCCTCCTGGCATTGCTCCCAAGGTCACATACACGGTGGCTCTCAGAGCTACAGACAGCTCTTCCTGATCCTTGCTTTCCAAAGCCATTAGATCTTGTAGGAAAAGTTGTGTGATGACCGCATGATCAAGTCCTTTTCCAAGCTACCTGAGATGTCTGGAACATTCTCCTATCTACTGTATGCAGCTTTGTTTTTGCTGTATTCCTATATCTGCTGACTTATCAGAGAACACTTGTCAGTTAATTGGAAGAGAGGCATTGATAAATGCCTCTAACCTTTGATTTATGAACACACCTCAAACAGTTGCTTTATCTAAGAGAGCAAGTTGTTCATTACTGTCTCTACCACTCAGCCAATAGTTGACTAGCATAATTTTTTTTTCCATTTTTTACTATTCCAATGGTAGTAGTAATAATACTTGATACAGAGTTAGAATACAATCTCTGATCTCTGGTTTTAGGCTTTTTTTGTTTGTTTGTTTGTTTGTTTAAATTGAAAAGACTGAGAGAGAGAGAGATCTTCCATCCATTCATTTACTCCCCACATGCCTGCAACAGCCTGGGCTGGGCTAGGTTGAAGACAAGAGCCCAGGTCTTAGTCTAGATTTCCATGGGGGTAGCAAGGACCCATGTCCAGGAGAGCCAGCACCTCTTGTCTCCCAGAGAGCACATGAGGAGAAAACTGGATCGAGCGAGTAGCAGGAATACAAGCCCAGGAACTCCAGTATGGGGCAAGGGCATTTTAAACAGCATCCAAACCACTGCACCCACCCCGATCTCTGATGTTTTGCTTATTAGTTACTCAACTGCTAACGGGTCCTTACATTTTCCAGCATTGATTTCTTCATTAGGATTAACCATTTTGACAGTGCCCTATGAGACATATAAGTAACAGTGTAAACCTTATTTACAACTTATTTTTTTCTTGGGGTGGCGGAGTCATGATTAACAGTCATGATTAACTCAAACAGCTTTTTAGTGCGTGCCATCTGAAACTGGTGAATCTTTGCTCTTTATCTAGGTCAATGCCGGTCCATTGGCCTATGCCCGAGCTTTCTTAGATGACACAAACACGAAAAGATACCCTGACAACAAAGTGAAGTTGCTGAAAGAAGTTTTCAGGTAAAGCACACTGGAAATATCTCATTCTCTTCAAAGATGGACCATTTCTAAGTTCATTCAGGAAAGAAATTCTGCCAGGTAGACTCACTCTTGGTCCTCTGTTTGCCCTTCTGTGCCCTTCCCACACCATTCCAGGCAATTTGTGGAAGCTTGTGGTCAAGCCCTGGCAGTAAATGAGCGTCTGATTAAAGAAGATCAATTAGAGTATCAGGAAGAAATGAAAGCCAACTACAGGGAGATGGCCAAGGAGCTTTCTGAGGTCATGCACGAGCAGGTAGGTGCCTTCCTGTCGCCAGCTGCCTAACTGCTTCTTCTCAGTTAGGGAATCAGGATTAGTCCATGGGCTGTGACAGCCAAGCCTTCAGAGCATGTGGCGTCACAGTCCTCCAAGGGGCGGAGCATTCACCTCCTTGCTGTGTGAGCAGTCCTTCTGTTTCCTAAGATCTGACCCTTCCCCTCCCCCATCTCAAACAAAATCAAAGCAAACAAATCCTCACCTCCCAACCCTAAAACTGGTATTACACACACAGCCCTTACAAGTTTACGCACTCAGTCCCTTGAGTGGGGGAAGCAAGGGCCAGGATGGGGCAGGGCTTTCTCTGCTGTGTTTAAGGAATTGTCTATTGTATAAATCTCTTTTGCTGTGTGAATATAGAACTAATCCACTTTTAGCTATTGACAGCTGACCTGCATGCCCCGGGCAGTTTCTATTGGCTTTATTTTTTTTTTCTGTCTTTAGGGTGTTTTTCCTGATTGCTTTGCTGTCTTCTCCTCCCCTTGTAAATTTCTCCAGTAGGGTTCTCATGTGGGCTCAGCTGTCACCTGAGCGATAGTTGGCCATAGCACCCAGAATGGCATCAACATGATTGCTTTTAACACGCAAGACTGTGGTGTGTCTTCCATGCAAGTTGCTGTTGTGGTCTTTGTCTTTAATCTTAGCCCCTATGCAGCACTTGCCTGTGTTACTGCCTGTTTGTCATGCAATGATTTCGTTAGGAAATTTCCATTGTAAGAAATGATCAGCCACTTTGAGTTTTAAATCATTTGCATTTTTTTTCTTTTCCATGCTAACACGTTCAGATGGGATGGTAATGTCATGTTTTGATTTTGTTTTTTCTGATTACACTGATTTTGATAAAGTTCTGACTGAGCAACCATAGACATTGGTGTCATGGCAGTGCATCCTTCAAGGAAAGCAAGCCTCTTGTGGCTATTTAAAGAGCAGGGGGGGAAATCAAACAATTTAAAAAATGAATGTATGAATTATGAAACAGCAGAGGAGGGGAGGTCTGCTGGGAACACATTTGCTTAGAAAACAGAAGCTCTTACCCATGGGGCCTCTGGAACGCAAACAGAGGCAGCATTCGGCCCTGGAAAAGATGACTGTAGGAAGAAACTATGGGCCGGAAGTGTTGAAGTCTCAGGTTGTGGGAACATTCCGTGCAGCACTTTGCAGCTCGGACCTCTTTGAAGCGGAAGCAGAGATAGGCTGGCCTTCAGAGTCTCCAGGAGCCCTTGCCTAGGGATCTTTGCTTAGTGAGTCACCTCCTGGCCAGAAGTGAAACCCTGCACTCAGATTCCTGCCAGCCCCCACTGGAGCAGACACAGAGTATGGAGTCTCCCTTCCCGGGGTGGAAGTCTGGAAGACCCTGGAAGAAGGGTCCAGGAGAGAAACAAATGTTCCAAATACTCTCAGAAGGCTTTTTCAAGGGACGGGCCCAAGGCATGGCCCAGTCAAATGTGTGTAAAATAAAGTTCAAGTCACCTTAAGATCCGGTGAGTCCAGAGCCTCTCCATTTTCCCTATCGGTGAAGCGAGATGTGCGTTCTTTACTTTCTCGCAACAGTCCTGTCTGGGAAGCAGTCCTTTACTAGATCAGCTGAAGCAAAGCACCAGAGCCAAGCTGTCCACAGGCACCATTGCCCACAGTTACGGATGACAAATTGGGTGTGTCAGGTGCAGTGCATGGTTTGAGAAATGCTTGTGTGGGGCCTTGCACTGTTCTGATGTTGTGTTTCTGTGCCTCAAGATCTGCCCCCTGGAGGAGAAGGCAAACGTGCTACCAAATTCACTTCACATCTTCAACGCCATCAGCGGGACTCCAACAAGCACGATGGTGCACGGGCTGACCAGCTCGTCCTCCATCGTGTGATGATGCCTCGGGGAGCGCACTGGGGACTGACTTGATCGCTTGCAAACTCAGGATGATTTCTCAAGCTCATCACTGGGGAGACTGAGCACAGGGAGAAGCCATGGGGCCTGGGAGCAAAAGGGAATCAAGGTCTGTGGTATTTCGTGGTAGGTTTTCTATGGAATCAGAAGAAAGCTGCATGTATTTTTTTAAATCTCACTGGCAATACTCAGTTTTCATTGTGTCCTGATAGAGGAGTCTGGTGGGCACTCTGAAGCTGGGGGTCACTTTGATTTGTCCTTCCAGAGTTGATGACAGTGAAGGGCCTTGAGTAAAAGTGTCCCAGAGGGTACAGAGTGGTGGCAGCAGCTCAAGAGGGAGAAGGGGCCCTTTGGCCTTTCAGCTAAGCTGGAGAATCTTGAAAATATTTTTCTTTCTTGTGGCACATTCAGGTTGAATATGAGAACTATTTTTGTGAGTAGTTTTTGATGAACTAAAGGAACTGACCGTTATAATTTTTGTACCGGCGAACCAGGAGAGTTAGTGCTTTTATATGCATTCCCTTGCATTTAAAAAAATATGAAAGTTTAAGACATTATGTGGGCTTAAAACTAGTCAAGCAGTTTAGAACCAAAGGCCTGTATTAATAAACACAACTAACTAAAAAGAAAAAAGTGGTCTATTACTTTGTATATAGTTTGTTAATGCAGAGTCAGCATTCTGTATATACATGTATCACATTTCTACATTTTTAATATCCACATGAGGTTTCTCCATTAGGTTTAATTGTGACAGATTAGTTCTGGTCTTAGTATATGAAATAGACTTGACTGTTTTATTCTTGTACATAAGAAAGTGCAATACAGAGATGTATACAGTCTTTGCTAAATTAGGTTTATAAACTGTTTTAAAAAAGAAATCTTCATCCTTTTGCCAAAATGGTGAAGTGTGTAATTGATAGATCATAAATCCTGTGATGAACAGTGGTATAATTTAAAACTTTCACCATGTTATATTTTCTTTTAAAGACATTAATTTAGTAATTTTATATTTGGGGAAAGAAAGGTTTTTAATTTTATTTAACTGGAACCACTGCCCTGCTGTAATTAAACATTCTGTACCATGTATGTATTAAAAATAATATTGCTGATTTTCTGGTAGTGGATACTGAGTATTTTTTGTGTGACAATCCTGGGACAGATAAATTGCTGAAACACTTGAAGATGAAATAACTTGTAAACTGGAATTTTCCTTCCAAATACTTGAGAGACAGCTAAGAAGGTGGGTAAATCAAACAAGATTGATGCAATGTCCATAATTATGAAAGCTGAAGTTTGTTCCATGGGAAACTATAACACCAGTGTCTCAGCTTTGGTAGAAGTTTCCATGATACAGATTTCAAAAGGCAGCCATAGGGTCATGTTTTCCAGAGAACTCGAGTGACAGCTCCATAGTACCATGGTCTGCCTGTGATCTGCCATGGTCTGCCCCACATATTCCCAAGTACAGACACACCCCTTATTTGTTACCTCTGGCTTTTCTTTGTCAGCCACATCAAAACTGTCATCTTTATCGTCTTCCTTTCTTGTTTCTGAGATGCATACTCTTAAAGAAAGTGGTCATTTATCCCAGAGTTGCACAGGGGACCACATATGCACACATACCCCTGGGGCCTCAACACCACCCCAAACACTGAACTGGTCATGCATTGGTCCAGTTTGCAGGTGCTAATCATGCCTCTGGTGCCCAGGGGGGCCAGCAGGTGAGTAGGCCCATGGTCTCCCAGGGGACCCAACAGGTAAGTTGGTCCATGGTTGCCTAGGGTGCCCAACAGGTGAAATGGTTCGTGGTCACCCAGGGTGCCCAGCAGGTGAGTGGGTCCATGGTCACCCAGGCAGCCTAGCAGCTAAGTAGGTCTATGGTCTCCCAGGAGGCCCAGCAGGTAGGTGAGTCCATGGTGCCCACGGGACCCAGCAGGTAAGTGAGTCCATGGTCCTCAGTCCCATCTAGGTCAGGTCCTGGAAGGAAGAGGAGCCTTAGAAGTAACTGAGTTTCTACTTGAAGGTCTGGAAAGACTGTCTTGGCGCACACAAGCAACCACAGCAAGGCAGCTTGTAGTGCTGAGTTCCTCTGCAGCACGCATGGCCGAGGATCTGGGGGCCTCTGAAGCATTCTCTGTTCATCGGTGGAAAGAAGAGACCTTGAATATGGTGAAGAGCTGTGATGATTCAATAGCCCAGCCATGAGTCTGTTCAGACTTACGTCTTAGGAAAAACCTAGTAAAGGGATGCCATCTCAGCCTCACGTAACAGGCCTTGATTCATGTGATCATAGCTTTGAGAGTCTGTCATTGAGCTGGACTTCCTAAAAATTTCTTTAAGAAGCTATGAAATTCAACTTACCACACAGTAAGATAAATAGAAGTCTAGAAAGTCTATAGAAGGTAAGTATGAAAATGGGTAATGGGGTCCTGGTACAGTGGCTTAGCAGTTAAAGTACTTACCTTGAACATGCCAGGATCCCATGTAGATGCCAGTTCTTATCCCAGCAGCCCCACTTCCCATCCAGCTCCCTGCTTGTGCCTGGGAAAGCAGTCCAGGATGGCCCAAAGCCTTGGGACCTTGCACCTGTATAGGAAACCTGGAAGAGGCTCCTGGCTCCTGGCTTCTGATTGGCTCAACTCCAGCCGTTGTGACTGCCTGGGGAATGAATCATCAGATGGAAGATCTTCCTTTCTTTCTGTCCTCCTTTCTGTATATCTGCCTTTCAATAAAAATAAGAAAATCTTTTTAAAAAGAAAACATCATTTAATGTTTCTAGCCTATCAAACACCAGGCTTATAACAGCCAGCCTACCTTAAATGAGCATAGAAAACTCACTTAGCCTAGAGTCCATTTTTTTTATCCTTGTAGACTTATAATTGTAATATTCCTGTTTGTGCTGCTGTAATGGATTACTTGAGTCATGTTTAAAGAATGGAAGGTTATTTCTCACAGTTCTGGAAGCTGGAAAACCTTCAAAGGCTCATTGTCTGATCAGAGTTCTGTCTATACTCTTAAAATGGTGCCTTGAATGCTGCATCCTGTCAAGTGGGAAGATGCCATTACTCACATAGCATAGGAGAACGCAGAAACAAAGTCCTTCCTGAAAATCTCTCCCCACCTCTTTTTAAAGATGTTAGACCCTCTCATGAAAGAGAAATCCTTATGACCCAATATGCTCAGAAGGCACTATCTCCTGTTACAGTGGCAATATAACTTCAACATGAATGTTGGAATGGACAAATATCAAAGCCACAGCAATAGGTAGCAGTAGAAAAGCATCCTCCATTCACTCGGCATGTGTCTGTCGAGTGTCTGCCTCGTTAGACATTGCTTTAAGCTCTAGGGATTCATCCGTGATCGAAACGAGTCCCACCTTATGAGGCCTGTGATCTAGAGATGAGAAACAAATGATGATCCAGTGTACCTGGAACTTCCAGCAGTGCCCAAGATATGCAGGAAAGTGGGCAGTGCTAGGATGGAGGTGGCTCTGGTGTTGGATGTGGGGTGCTTTCTGATGAAAGTATATTTGAGAGATGTGGCAGACAAGCTTTTGTAGGACCTGAGGGAAGAGAAATTTTCTTAGAAGCGGCCGAGGTGGTGTGGCCTGTTAACAGAGCAGCCTAGAGGAGAGGGGATGAGGGCTGAGGGAAGAACTGCCATAGAGTGCCCCCATTGGCCACCGTAAGACTGCGTTTCCGCTGAAGTGGAAAGCAAATGAAAAGCAAATGGATAATCAATAGACTTGGATGTTCAAATGGTCAGCTTGACCTTTTGTGGTGAAGGTCATTGGAAGTAAGGGGGTGCACAAGGAAGCGGGCTGCCAAGCTCAAAACGATGATAAACCAGGCTTTATTGGGGGTCTGCTCCCAGGCAAGGCTCACCAGTCTGCAAGGGAACGGGCCGCTGAAGTTGCACCCCAACTTAAGTAGTGGTGATGACAAGGCTTAAGGTAAAGGTGTGTATTGTCAGGGACTTTCCGCCTGCCCCTGGGCCCTCCAGGCTAACAGTAGGAAAGGCCTTCTGGAAGTGGATGTTGGGCAGAAAGCTGCTGAAGTGGCGACTGGATGTCCCCAGCATCTGGAGACCGCCAACAAGAGGAGCGGCTGACAAACAAAACCCTGAAGGGGAAGCTGGTGACATAAGAGGATCAAGAGGGAAAAGTGTCTGCAAGCCACATGAACGAAGCATTTCAACACGGAAATAACCGGCTGAATCCAGTCAGATTCAGTGCGCTCCAAGAGTAACCACTGCTCTTTGAAAACTGTCCAGTAGAGAAAGGAACAATTAATCACACAAGGGCCCAGTGTGGTAGCCTAGTAGCTAAATCCTCACCTTACATGTGCTGGGATCCGATATGGTCACTGAATTGTATCCTGACAGCTCCACTTCCCATCCAGCTCCCTGCTGGTGCCCTAGGAAAGTAGTGGCGGATGGCTCAAAGCCTTGGGATCTGCACCCATGTGGGAGACCTGGAAGAAGCTCCCTGCTCCTAGCTCCTGGTTTCTGGCTCCAGACAGCTCAACTCCAGCCATTGTGGTCACTTAGGGAGTGAACCATCAGACGGAAGATCTTTTTCTCTGTCTTTCCTTCTCTCTGTATATCTGCTTTTCCAATAAAAATAAATAAATATTTAAAAAGAAACGCCTTTATTTAGTCATGTGATAGAAGATCCAAGACAGGATTGGACAGGAGCATCCGTGGGTAAATCCATAGAGCAGGGAGACAGGCAGTACCTCCAGAGAGGGGGTGTGGGGTTGCTTTTCTTCTTCCAGTACTATGCATTGACTCTGTCCTGTCAAAGTTGTTGTGTTGGAAATCTGACAGATGTTGTTGGTGATATATGGAGGTGGCACCTTAGGAAAGCAATCAGGATTAGCTAAGGTTATAAGGATGGAGTCTCCAAGATCGTTTTAGTGACTTCAAGCGGGATTGGAGCTGCACACAGTTGTTTCTGACCTAGCGGGTGCCAGTGCTGTGTCCTCAGGCTCTGCAGCCTCCGGTACCTTGTGGTAAACAGCCCTTTCAGGTTCCCATTCTGTGACGCTCAATGACAGCAGATCACAGATTTGAACACCCACTGCAGGAAAGGATATGGGGTGTTAAGGTTTAGAGAGATGCTGTGCAAATTGTGTTTTCCTTTTTGCACAGCGTTTCTATCTCCAAGGAATTGCTAGATCCAAGTGCAATATGCAGGTTAAATGTAGCCAGCATCACCAGATCTCAAGGGCACAGAACTCAAGGGCAGTTATAGAGCTGGACATTTTGTCTCCTTAAAACAGAATCTTCATTGGCAATGGTGGTATTTGGGGGTTTTATGACAAATGCTACAATCACAGTTTATTGTGCACTTTCACAACCTATAGAATGACTGGTGTGGCTTAATGCTATTACTTGGATGTGAGCAAATAGACAAGGAAATGAAGCCACTGAAGGTGAACTGGAACATAATTCAGTCCACATCAACCAGCTCTTTGATTTCAGCTGTTTGACTAATTTTCCTTTACCTCAGAGTGCTCATTGTACAAAGGGGATAACGATAGTTTCAGCACCAGGGAGACCCTCAAGGTCAAATCAGTTCAGATTACTGATGATTCATGGTAAGCCCCAAGTTAACATCTCTCTCACTTTGAATTTTTTAATTTTTCTAGTTTGTTCCTACCCCCCTTGCCCCATCACCCTAATTTTAAAAAGATTTATTTGAAATGCTGTGTTACTGAGGGGATGAGCGAGATCTTCTGTCTCTTGGTTCACTCCCCAAATAGCTGCAACATCTGGACTACGCTGGTTCAATGCCAGGAGTTTCTTTTGGCTCACCCACATGGGTACAAGGGCCCAAGGACTTGGGCCATCTTCCATTGCTTTCCCAGGCACATTAACAAAAAGCAGGACTGGAAGTGCAGCAGCTTGGACTCCAACTGGCACCCATATGGCACCACAGGCAGCAGCTTTAGCCACTACGCCACAGCATCAATCCCCACTTCTTTATTAAACCACAATTCACCCCAAATGAGGAAAGAAGAGGAAAATTCAGCATCAATTCATGCTCCATAATCCTTTTGACCGATATGTTCCTATGTATGTTCTGTGGAATGTTATTGGAGTTTTAAT